AGTATATTTAATTTATAATTATTAGATTGATTATATTAATGATAATGACCTTAATTATATAAGTAATAACCTTTCTGTTTCGGAGCAGTTTTTCGATCGGAAACGACTTATTTGATAGTCGCATACCTACGCTAACAGCCAATGATGCCAACTCCTACAGAATGTTTACCCTATAACCAACTTCAAATACCCCTAAGGCTGTTGTTCTACGTTCGCTTTGAGTTCAAGTAGTACAACATTTCGATCTTGGAGTATTATAGGGTTTTGATATTTCAGTTATAGCCACACTTGAAGTTAATATTTGGTTTAGTTCTAGGCTAAATATAAATTGTACAGTATATTGCGATTAAGAATAAAAAATATTGTATAAATACCTCATTAAAACTCCCCAGGGCATCTTGAAAGCCCCCAAGTTGGCATCACTGTACCGATAACGCAGCAACATTTTTGTCTAAATCTTACATGTGTGCTCATAGTGATGCAAATTCCATTAGGGTGCATTTCTATGCGTACGTACGTACATGTAGCAGACAAGGATACAGACTCTAGCTTATGTGCGTGCCTTACACGACACGAAATTCCCGAGCGATTTTACGAATAATTCCGAGTACCTAACATATAACCAAACATGTTCACGTTTGGATTATTTATAAAAGATGCATAATTTTAAATGTTTTCATGAAATACATAAACTACACGCTAATAACGTACTAATTTATCATATAATTTTATAATAATAGATCGTCATTTTCAGTTTTTCTTGCAGTTCAGTTAGCCTTGATTTATTCAAATCCAATATGGGAGGTGTACACTTAAATTAAAATGCGTCACGATTCATTTATGTTAAGATAAAAAAAAATATCTCGATAGGGCGTTAATGTCCGCTATTGATAAGTTCATAAAACCTTAAATCAGTCGGATGACGGGTATCTTATCAGTAACAACCAAGAAAAACTTTATAGTGCTAATTTTAACCTCTATGAAAATTTTAAAAGTATATATTTTTTAATTTTTACCTACCGTCAAAAGACTGTGCGGAAATACTCCAAAAAGTTAGACTATCCTTTTAAAAAGAAACAATTGATAATAAAATTGTATTAAGATGACTGAAAAGAAAACGAATGACCTTCAGGGCGTGTATAAAACTTTTATTAAATGCTTCACTTTAAATATATCTTATCAATATACGTTTATATAACAATGTCAGGATAAATATGTTATACGCCAAAAATAGATTATATTTATAATAGATTTTCTTTAAATTTAAATATCGCGTCATTAAAAAATCTTTTTCGACACAATTTATTAAATACATTCTGATTCAAGTGTATAAACACGTTAACTGTATTATAAACTGCAACTATATTTTTGACCAGTTCTATTAGAGAGAAAAAATATTAGGTGGACTTGAAAGTTCGACTAACAGAAAAGACTTCTTAATCACCAATATTGACCCTTATTTTGAAATCTAAATCAGTTGTATCGCAATATTTTAATAAGCACCATTCGTCCCTCAGATTATGTTTACGCTGTGGTAAAAAGATAGTTCTTTAGTTAAAACGGTGCAATTAAACTGATTTAGTTTTTATTGGGCTTGCATTGCTTTCAGTTTATGATCAGCATATGAGCTGTTTGAAATACTGGACAATAGCTTTAACTTTTTCTAACTCTTCCTGAATTGTGGCCAGGCTATGAAAAATGACCAGATAATATCGTGAACACGAAAAGTGACGCCACGTCGTTGAGCGTACACCTGCTAATATATAAGCTGCATTGTCAGTAATGACAGCAGTAATTTTATTATTCACACTTCTGTCTGTAGAAAATTCAGTAAATTTTCTTTTGTTTTCCGCTCATGGAATTCAGGACATCCCAATAAAAGGGATTTAAGTTGTGTTTTTTCATCGATGAAATGTGCTGTGAGTGATACGAAACTCACATTATTCATTGATGTCCAGCCGTCTGTCGTTAAGCAGATAGCTTCAGCAGATGATAATTGAAGTAAAACTTTTTCTTTGGTTGTTTGATAGAATTTTGGTATAAGACTATTGGATATAGTTTTGCGAGTGGGTATTGAATAAGATGGCAGTATTATTTTAAATATGTTTTTAAATTTGTCTTCTGCAATGGAAAATGCTTGAAAGCCTTTCACAATAAATTTGACAATTTGCTAATCCAGTTGTTTTGCTTTATAAACAGGTAATGGTTTTAAAGACTTTGTCAATGCATCCATACAAGTCCGTACAGGCGCCGTAATTTTTTCACGTGCCTATTTAAATTTCCATTTTCCAGTAGCACCACCACTAAAAGAAATTACTTTAGAGCAGTGCTTGCATTTCGCTTTTTGATTATGTTCGGTGAGAAATGTTGCCAAATATAACTTTTAATATTGTTCTCCAAATCACTCGTAGCTGGTTATTTTCGTCTAGTCTAGTAGTAGGTATACACAATAGATGTGATCCTAGGATCTGCAGGATTGCTAAGAACGGGCTTCTTTATGATTAATCTATTTATATTGATATCTCCATGTCATCTGTAAGTAGAATATAATAACATCAAGGACTTGGCAAATAATAACAACGAAATGACGATTAAGTCAGTATATAATAAATACTCTTTATCCATAAATCCCTTTTGTAGTCTCTGAAAATTCTGCAACATAAACTCTATTTTTACAAACAATAGTTCATATTTTTTTAGTATTCTTATTATACATCTTACTTACATGTAAATAATAGGTAAGTCATGCAAGATTTGTCGTAAGTTGTTTCGATTTTTTTGAACCAGATTAAGTGGGCCGTGAGGTATTCTGAAAAAAAAACGTATTTAAAGAGTCTTCTTTTGTTTTTATATACTGTTGCTTAGTTGGTAATAAACTAAAACCAACCATATTATACTAAGCTATTATTTCAGTATGTGACTTACATAATATGTAAAAGTTCGCTCACAACAATCTCAACACTGAAAAACCTTTTCACACATAATAACTCTAAATCTGATATACATATTTGTTTTATCTATGTTAACTATACTGATTTCAATATTATACCATGATAAACACCGTTTTAGTAGCCAGTTTCAGTTAATTTAACCAAATTTTTGACTGTAACTACTGTGCAAATAATACCTCCCAAGCCGTCTTTAGTTAGATAATCATAACATATGATAGGATACTTATCAAATGTTATGTATTTATATTTCTTACACTTCAATTAAAATTTTACCCATGGCAATGCCTTATTATAACAAACTCCATAGTAACTAAAAATTTTAGGTATAAAGTTTATGTTTTCATTGAAATAATTTATGGAATATGTACTCAAAACCATTTCTTTAAAAAAAATTATTGAAATTAAAAGAAATTTTGGGCATTGGCAGTTGGATTTGCAATTAATTCAACAATTCCAATGATAGATAATTGAAGTATGGATTGATACAGTGAGGTATGTAAAAATAGTCTTAGCTTTTGTTTTTTAATTTATTAACCTAAACTGAAAAAAAACTACAGTTAAATTTAGTCAGTTCTTTTTTGTAGCTTTTGCAGTAGCTAAAACAACTTTTATTTTTGTAGTGTTATCTCTAAACAAGTTAGAGAATTTATAATTAGAAATCTAATTTTTTTTTAAAAACAGAACATTTTAACATAGAATTAAAGTACACAATTGAATTAGGTAGATCTTAAATAAAAAAATAATAAGTAAAAAGTGGAATTTATAAATGAAGATGTTTTCTATTTATCAGTTTTTAGGAATCCAAACCCATAACTTAATTAAACATTACTGTGGTACTAAATTCTCTGTATAAAATGGTAGCAATGGTTGTCTTGAAACAGGAGCAGTTATGTATGTAATTTGAATTAGTAACATAGCTGATAGATTAATATAACAACAGAAAGCTGGCGGTGGAACTCATGTGTTACAAATTTTCATATAATTTCTGAGATAACATTAAAATGGTATAATGTTATGAGTCTTACCTGAGAATCATTAGATGTACAAGTATCCTTATTTAAATTTCAAAATGAGGGACCTGCCTCATTAAATTTCCTAGTTGAAAGCATTTATTCAGTGTCTTAGTGAATATTCCAAAAAAATTTTGTGGATGTTGGTGGTTTTTCAAAAAGTGTTTGTAGTAGCTTTCCTGTTGGGTTTTTAAGTATTGGTTATCTGAATGCCTTTGGACATTTACTTGGATATGGGGATAATTGTATTTCATGCATATTTATCTGAATATTTTATATAATTCTAAATTGACTTAATTTAGAATTAAGAAACCTTAGATGTTATTTAACCAAGGTTCTTTAAAAACTTACTGATGAATTAAGGCGCCGCTGGTCCCATTATGTCTCCTTTGTTAAAGTTTTATGATTGCGGAACATTTCTGATAGCATAGTAAAAATTTCTTCATATGAACCATCAGTCTCATCAAATAACATTACAATATGTGCATTTCGTATCGCTTGAAATCTTTTTCGCTTTCGTATTGCGCTTTCTAACTAATCATAAAATAATAAAAATAAATTTATATTGTTTGACTTAATTAAGACTACGATTATTGTTAATAATCTTTAGTCTCTTCTAAAATTCTAAGTTATGACTTATGACCCTATGGCCTATAAAACGGCAATACGCTTTAAAAAATCGCCCACTTTTGTATATAGACGATAACTCTAAATTTGCATTATTTTTATAATAATGCAAATTAGAGTAGTGTAATTGTCACGTCAATCAAAAAAAAAAATTACATTGAAATATCAAAACTTTGAGTATTAAGCCAGAATCTGGCTTAATACTCAAAGTATCAAAAAGACTGTCGAACATACACAAAAACACCACCACAGTGTAACCACAGATTGAATACAAACATTCATTCACGTTGACTTCAATGCTACCTCAAGTATAATGAGACGCATGTGCATTCTTAATTAAACAAAAACTAAATAACAACTTTAAATGAATTTATAGAGCTTAAAATACTAATTGTTTTAGAATTTCTAGACGATGGGGAGCGCATTAGGAAAATTATGTTCAACAACCAAAGTTGCAGCTGTTGGTTCAGTTCTCGATCGAGTGATATCTCAACCAAGCACTGAAGATCACACAGTTTTGTACAAACTAGCTGATTATAAAAAGGCAGGTACTTTTTTTACGTGTGCGAGATGGTTAACTGTTATTTATTTAATTTCAAAGTCATTATTTTTATAAACAATATTACAGCAACCTATACTATAATATTGAGGGCTGATATGGCTAAAACATGTCTGTGTCTGTTTTACTTTATTATTTTATACACCTTTTGTGCTTGAAAAGTGATAACAAATGAGAATTTCAAATGAATTATAATTTATAAAACTTTATTTATCGCTTGTGCGTTTATCAATTTATAGCATTTTCTTATTTAGTTCTTGTTTTATACCGCGTAAGTATCTCGCACAAAAATACATAATTTATGTATATACATATATTTATAGTAATACATATTTTATAAATTATTTAAATTTCATTTATTATAATAATTAAGTAATGGGTATTCTCACTCATCAAATACTACGATCAATCTCTTATCTTCTATAAACAAAATAAATCAAAATATTCGTACGCAAAACAAGGGCAAGAAATTTTTTGTCCTTTTTCACTACATTTAATTTTTAATTTATTAAATTAGGGCGGTTAATTTAAATATGATACTTCAAGTAGTGTAATGTAATAACTTGAGTAAATTTATTAAGTAAAAAATGGTTTCTATTTTCCGAGGCTAGATTGATATAATGTTAATTAAAAATCAATGTTTCATATTATAGGTGGTATTTTACTAGAAACATATGCAAAGGGCGGCATGGTAGCTGCAGAAAAACTGATCCGTGAGGAGTTCTCTGGCTATATGTACGCTGCTGGACGGGGTAGAGTCATAAATCGGGCGGAATACCTTCGGTGGAAATTCAGAGAACAGGAGCAGGTTTACATTATTAGTTAAACAAACGTAGAAAAATGTTATGGCATGATATGTCATTTGTCAGCCCGTTTTTTACCCGCGAACTCAACCTATAGATTACAGTCAGCCATTTTATTAGTAACATGACAGATGACAACTTGTTCCAGGTAGTGCTACCAATAGAAGCCTCTCTTTCGCCTCACGATCCTTTAGCGAAGTGGGAGGATCACACAGCCTGTTGGCAAATGAGCTATCGGGGTGCACTCGGAGAATCTCTTTTACATGTACTCATTATTTGTGATACTAAGGTAAATTCGAACATCGAGATTCTGGTACATAGATAATATTGTGTGTGGATCTATCTAGGGTATATTAATCTTATTCTAGGATAAATCTAATTTCTGATAAACGTCATTGATTAATAGTTACGACTTACTTAATTTTCTTAAAAGTGAATTTAGCTTCCGATTTGCGGCTAAAAGCATGACGTCATATCTTAAAAAAAGATTTTGTTTCCTCGTAATTATTATATTTTTACAGTTATTACAAATACGATAGCTCTACACAATAACGCATACACCGACATTTATACAACAACAAAAAAACCCACAAGAAATGACAATGTACACATATGAACGTCAATAATAAAAAAAACTAAATGCTTAACAGTAACTAATTGCACTTAAATTTATTTCACTAGTCCTCAAATCAAGGGCGTAGAACTAACGTTTTTAGAAAGAACTGGTAACTAACTCGCTACCCATATTTATTGCCAATTTTATTTGAAAGTAGCTGTAACCGTAACACCATGCACCACATCTTAAAGCAATTCACAGGACTTTGACTGACTAGGGAGGTCTCGATCAGAATTCTATGTACAATAGCTAAACAATTAGAGTTTTTTGATTTTTTTAAATTTTGAATTAACTTATAAAAAACAATTATATAAAAAACATTCTTACTGTGGGGATAACACGCATACAATCCTTGACATCAGACACTGGGGGCTTCGGGCCAGTTAGTTCTTACACTACCACTGATCCTCCCTTTAGTTTAAACAACACTGCACCATCCATCTACCACATTGGATGGATGTGGATATAGAAAAATATTTTTTCAATTCGAACCAGTAGCGTTTTTTTAAAAGTATACTCCTCACTCAAAGGCCGGCAATCCACCCACTTACACTTGGTGTCCATGGGATGACTGCTGACTGAAAAATAAGACAGAGGGAAACGGGCAGGAGACTTACTTGATGTTAAGCTCATAGGCACTCTCAATGCCAGAGTGCTCGCTAGTACGTTACTGGCCTTTTACTTAAGGGTGATCAACGATACCAAATATTGTACATACATAAAAATAAAAAATAAATTAGTGGTGCTACAATCGTTTTAGGTCTGGGGCTCAGATTTCGGAATCTGTTTCATGATCATTTGTTAATCTAATAGGCAAGTAGGTGATCAGCCTTCTGTGCCTGAGGCCGGATTCCTCACGATGTTTTCCTTCACCGTTCGATCGAATGTTAAATGCGCACACAGAAAGAAAGTCCATTTGTGCACAGCTGGGGGTATTGTACCTACCTACAAACATAAGCAAAAATCATTATAATCATGAACCATAGTAAAATGTTTTATTTTAGATACATACACGATTGGCAAGGACATTAGTGAAATGTTTTCCGAAACTGTCACTCGATGTTGTGGAAGGTGAAGAATATTTAGGTAATTTTATTTTATTTAATACATGTTGCATTAAAAATAAGTTATTATAAAGGAAAAGCAATCCATAAGCCAACGTCAGAGTGGAAAAAGATACTATCGTGAAAAGTGCGCAACTAGATATACAAAAATAAAATTAAACCAAACTTATTCAGGCATACAAATTGTTTAAAATACAATTGAAAAGAACAATTCAATACTTCGATTTTGTTCCCTTTGGAGTAGACTTTTGGGCCGTGGGGTTCAAGTGTACAGGCGCTAATTAAAGATTTAAGTTGGCGCCTAGTAGATAGTACCGGTGACCCTAGAGCTGGCGCTTTCCTGGCTCAACGAATAAGTATTGCAATACAGCAAGGAAATGCTGCTAGCGTTAAAGGTACACTGCCACAGGGACCAAACTTTTAAATTTGTTTTAATTTTCTTTGTAGGTTAAGAAAATTGTTAATTCAAATTATACGTATGTAAAATGAAAGAACAATTAATATACTGTAAATTGTCAAATTAGAAATGTATCTAACCTAAATATTATGATTATGTGTGTGGTTTTATAATTATTTGCACAAGAATTTCTCTAAAATAAAATATGTTTATTATGGAACATAAGATGCAGGTATCACTTATTCCACGTCAATAAATTTGAATCTGTAGCCTGTAGGCATCCCTACTCATCGGCAAAGAAGACAGAGGGTCTGACCATAATGGCACTTGAAACGTCGAATTATGGAATAAATTCTTTTAATTCGTATTGGATAATTTCTAATCTACTTATACCATTAAAAAGTTATTTTCAATGTCGTACTCGTAGAGAACCCTAAAGAACTGTCTAGCTTTCTTGTAGAATGGTCCAGAACTTTTACCCTGCCTGCTGACAAGCTCAGTAATATTATTGCGTATTAAAAGTGATTTTGAAAGTGGATTTTTATAGAGATACTAGCTGCCCCCGCGAACTTCGTTACTCCTTAATGTGATTTTACATAGCCTACCTTTTCAGTACATACCAACATGGATCATTTTGCTGAAAACTTTTTAGGTTTTTCTGTGAATTTTTCTCTATATTTAAACCTCAGAGTTCAAGGCATAAGATATTAATTAAAAAACAAAAAATAGGGGTTGATCGTAAATAAAATAAAGGGTGAAAATTAAGGGTTGTGTGTATTTTTGTATTTGGTATCATAAAAAAATTTGTTTTAAAAATTACTTAGGGGTTTGAAAGATTGATAGTAGCCGATTCTCAGACTTACTGAATATGAATAATAAAAATTGTAAGTATCAATCCAGCCTTTTCGGAGGAGTATGGGAACGAACATTGTGAACCGAGAATTTTATATAAAAGATAAGGTTGGTTAGACTTTTGGAAGAAATATTTTAATTAAACAAAGTTTAGAAACATCTTTCTCTTCATATTTCTAGGCGCCAGTTCGCTTCATCTTGCAATTGCTTATAGCAATAACGAGTTGGTGCAAGACCTCGTGGAGGCCGGAGCGGATGTCAACCAACGAGCTATTGGTGAGATTTCAGTTAATATAAATAGATATTTAACCTCTTTTTTATAAATATATTTCCTTCTTTTGGTTTAGTTTGTAAGTGTGTGAGAAACTCAACCGCGAAATTTTTCTATCAGGGGTTGTCCGTTCGTCGTCATATTCTTTATCATTTAAAATTGTAATTTTGATATACTGCATAACAATTGGTCCACAGGCAGTTTCTTCCTACCACGAGACCAACAGCGGATACCACCTTCTCGTCAAACCAACTACGAAGGTCTAGCATACCTTGGCGAGTACCCGTTGGCTTGGGCAGCTTGTTGCGCCAACGAGGCTGTCTACAATCTACTTTTGGACTCGGACGCTGATCCAGATGCCCAAGATTCCTTTGGGAATATGATCCTTCATATGGTCGTCGTTTGCGATAAATTGGTGAGTGTTAATTAAATACGTCATCACTTTCTATAGGGAAAGGCAGCGTGTCACGAAATTATCTTTTTATAAGGTGTTGTTTACGTCACCAGGAGTTTTCTCGGTTTGATTCACGACGAAACATAGTTTGGACATGGAAAGCACTGGAGTAGTTACACCTTTAAATGATCCTTGGGATTGATTTGCTCCAGTTCAATCAATTTGTATGACTTAAAACATGGTGATTAAAAGGGTGGTGGAGAGTTTCTTGCCAGTTCTTCTTGCCCGCTCTACGCCAAGGGCGTAGTGGTTATAAATGTAAATTTACAATCAATTTAACTAACATCTTTTCTGTTGACGTTCATAAGTGAACTTGGTTACCTATATGAAAAAAGTTATTTTGAGTTGGAGTTTAAATGTCAATTATTTAAAATAATGTCACGCTAAATGCTTCAGGACATGTTCGGCTACGCCCTTCGTCACCCAAAGGTACCGGCGAGTAATGGGAGACAGAACGATGCGGGTTTCACTCCTCTTACCCTGGCCTGCCAACTGGGTAGAGCCTCCGTGTTTAGGGAAATGCTGGAACTGTCTTCCAGAGAATTCTGGAGATACTCAAATATAACCTGCTCTGCGTATCCATTAAACGCGTTGGATACTTTATTGCCGGATGGACGGACAAGTAACTATTTTGTTTTTAACTGTTGGATTTTAAGGCATTCATCCTCTGAATCATCCTCAAGAGTATCTGCAAGAATAACCCACTTCAGATCAGCCTTCTACCCGATTGCCTCCTATTTCATAAAAAAACATGGTAGGCTCTCTTCTATCTTAAAGGTTGAAGTCGAATTGGTTCGGAAATACTTCTCTACCTTACTCCTGTTGCAATTTATAGGAGCCTTGTAGGACACAACTCATGCATGAAGCGAGTTCTTGCAATAAAGAAGAGATATACGCGACATCGACTAATTGATAGGTTAAAGGGAGAAATAAATGACATAAAATACGGGGCTGATGGTCCTTGGCAATGGTTATAACAGTAATTTTATTGTAATATGGGGTTCAGATATTTTTCATAGATTTTTTGTTTTACAGATTGGAATTCAGCCCTATTCATAATTCTAAATGGTACAAAACAAGAACATCTGAACATGTTAGATGGAGGGATCATACAAAGACTCCTTGAAGAGAAATGGAAAACATTTGCAAGGGTAAACTCTTCTTTAACCCGCCTCTAGAACTTACACCGGCACTCGCGTGTAGAGAATTTTTCTCACGTTTATAAATGTCATTAAACGCAGGTTTTACTAAGTAATATTTTTACTATTTTTATTTTTGACTTTTCAAAACTTTGTCTACATTAATCTTTTTTATTTTAATTAAAACATCCATATTATCTTGATGACCGGTTAAAAAAGAAATTAGCTGTAGATTGCAAAAATGTAATATAATTAAAATAATTTTTGAACCAGCTTTTAGAAGAAGAAAAGTTATTGTCGTTGATATGTCGATCAAACATTGTATAGAAAAACTAGCTGCCCCCGCGAACTTCGTTTCTCCTTAATGCCTAGCCTACCTTTTTAGTACATACCAACATGGAACATTTTGCTATACCCCAGAGATTGTTCGGTTTTCCGGAATGAAAACTTTTTAGGTTTTTCTGTGATTTTTCTCTATGTAAATCTCAGAGTTCAAGTTATAAGTTCTTAAATAACAAATAAAAAATAGGCGAAAATTAAGGGTTCTATATATTTTTGTATGCTTTATCATAAAAAAAATGATAATTAAAAAGTTTTGGGGTGGACATCCCTTATCACTTAGGTGTTTGAAAGATAGATAGTAGCCGATTCTCAGACTTACTGAATTTGCATAAAAAATTTCATAAGAATTGGTCTAGCCGTTTTGGAGGAGTATTGTGACACGAGAATTTTATATATTAGAGTAAACATTTCCACGTCGAAAAAAATTTTTTTTCGGTAAACGCCAGTAAAAAAAGTATGATCAGTTTATTAAAATATACTCTACTTTTTGTTTTTGCAATGCAAAAATAAGTTTGTATTCGTAAATATTTATATACATAAAAAAAAAAACTTTTTTCAGAAAAAGTTTCTTAAACGTCTCATGATACTAATGTTGCACCTGCTACTTCTATCTGTATCGGTCTACCTCCGCCACAGTAGCGTCGAAGCTGACTCCTACCCTGACTGGGGTCTGGAAGTCACAGACGCTAGAAGTGGTATACGACTTGCCTGTGAATTGGGAACGATATTGAGTACGTTATGCTATATAATACTGCAGCAGGGAGATGAGATCAAGAACCAGGGAGTCATAGCGTATTTCAAGCAATTGGTAAGAGTATGGTGGCCAAATCGTGGAATTATCAGTGTGTAAAGTATTTACAACGAATTCAGACGTAGGATAGAAGCCAACACCATAAGGATTGCGTGTGCCGATTCCAAGTGAGGTCTGCCCCCAGTTTAGTTCAAAGTCGGCGGCGCTGGCGTCGTTCTCTCTTGCTCTCGTAGTTATGATACAAGGGGGGGGGACGTCCATCTCTCTCGCTCTTGTAGTTAAGATACACTAGGGGAACACCAGCCATGCCACCACTCGGCAATTTGGGTCGCAGAAAGTTTATCTTCAGAGGGCCCATAAGAACTGTGCTTCTATCCTACGTCTGAATTCGTTGGTATGAATAGACACAATTCAATTTCGCCTCGGTTGGCGAAACTGAATTGTGTCATGGTTTTTTTTCACTAATTTAAAACAGATGACTCCGATATACGTATGCCATAACTAAAATAACAGATGACGCCGATTATTTTTTGGTTTTGATTCGCTTTTGAGAATTACTGACATGGCTTAAGAAGTGAAAGGCAACTTTTTTGCAACCATTGTTGTAAATTTGAGTTGTAGTTGACTGTCGGCCGTTTTCTATACTCGATCTATAATCTAGAATTATTCAGATTGTCGCAAATTTAGACTGATAAATGTCAAAATTCGATCTTTCGAATTCAAAGATACTTTACAAAAACGATCCATCGATCGGTTATTGAAAAGTATATTTATGAGAAGTGGATTGAAATATCAATCTCTAGTAGTAAACATTGGATTGGGATTGAACTCATTGAGTGTAGAAAGCGGCCGTGTACCGTTTGATGCAGCTACAAAAAATTTATATGCCTAAATTATTACGATTTGTCTTACATATTTATTCTACGCTTTCATGAGCCCAAAATATGGTCAAGTGAAATAATTCGTCAAAACGCTTAGGAAATCTGCTGATTTGTTTCCTAATAGAAACTTACCTAGTTCTTTTTACAAATATAGGTTGCAACATAGGCTAAATGTCATAATAATATAGATTCGTATGCTTATTTCCATTACATATATACATACATACAAGTTTAATAGCCGTTATTAGGTCATATCTGACCCAAAGTATCTTTGTATATATGTTTGTGTTACTAAACCTAATTTATAAAAGCTTAAAGTCGCGTGTTTTAACAGTGAAGCAATGGTCACCGTTTGTATATTTCAGATACACGAACCGGCAAAATTTATTTTCCTTGCATCAAATTTGTTACTCCTAGCATGTATTCCAGCTCGGTTCAGTAGACAAACAATGTTAGAAGAGGCGATACTAATATTTGTGCTACCAGGGTCCTGGTTTCTACTTATGTTCTTTGCAGGGTGAGTTAATTGTATACAAATGAACACAATTAAAAAACAAACATACTTTAAGATTCGTATCAAAAATATAATTTTTATGTAGTAATTATAATTTTTTAAATTAATTAATTTATAAAATAATCTTCAAACCTCGTCCCAATTATTGTTATATATAATTATAGATCACTGAACCCGACCGTAATGGTTCGGTGACCCTAGACGTAACCCATGGCAACGAGTAGCGTCGTTTCTTGGCGGCCATTTTGTCGGTCATTCGCCCTTAAAACAGCCAGTACAACAGTGAAACAATTTTAATACCTGGACTTTGCAATACAAAGACAAATTTATCCTAATTTTATATTTAAGATTAAGCATAATTCAAAAGTTATATTTTATTATGAATGTATATAATATTTTAGTATTAGCAGCCTGAAAATAATAAACTCTTTCCTCCGACTTTGATTTTGTTCCCTTTGGAGTAGGGACTCTTGGGCCGTCGGGTTCACATATATAATACTGCAGCAGGGGGATGAGATCAAGAACCAGGGAGTTATAGCTTATTTCAAGCAATTGGTAAGAGTGTGGTGGCCAAATCGTGGAATTAAAGCAAAGTATGAGCTCAGTAATGAAACCAATAGACACAATTCTATATCACCAGCCAGGGATGTTTCTTTTTTCACTACTTGGAAACATATGACGCGTATACGTATGTTATAGCTAATACAAATTGTAGGTGACGCAATTTGCATATAACGTGCAATGACTGATAAATTACGATGAATGACGATTACTAGATCTCTACAACTTACATGCCCAAAAAAACTCAGAATAAGTTGGTAACAAAGTGTCGAAAGAGGTTTTTTACCTGTAACCTTCTTAGTGTGGTGACACCACATAGTTAGCCGTAGGTAGGTAGGTACACACGTTTGTTTTCACTTTTGGAGTTGTGAACATATTAATTTATCTTATAGACACGACACTTCAATAGGTAGAGCGATTCTTAAGTCAATTTCTGCCCACTGAAGTATTTCCGAACCAATTCGACTTAGGGTCTTTCAAGAAAAGAGCGTACCAATTCTTAAAAGGCCGGCAGCGCGCTTGCGAGCCTTCTGGCAGTGCGAGTGTCTATGGGGGGCGGTATCACTTAACATCAGGTGAGCCTCCTGCCCGTCTGCCTCATGTAACATAAAAAAAAGTATATCTAAATAAACAAATAAATAAATCTTGTTGCAGAGCCGTAAAATTGACGGGTCCTTTCGTGACAATGATATATAGTATGATCACTGGAGACATGTTCACGTTTGGTATTATATATTGCATTATTCTGTTTGGATTCTCGCAATCGTTTTTCTTTTTGTATAAAGGTACTTTCTCATATTCTGTATTGATATTAAATGAAAAAAATATTCTAATATTGGTGACCTTTTAGGATTTCCAAATGTTCAGTCAACGCTGTACTCAAGTTACCCCAGCACTTGGATGGCTCTATTCCAAATAACCCTGGGAGATTATAGTGTAAGTATAAGTTTATTTTATGTTATATGTAAAAAATATGCAAACCTAATAAACATAAAAATATTATAATAATAATCACAATATATAACTATTTATAATTAAAATTAATAAATAGAATATGAAAACAAATTTAAAAAGTTTGGTTCCTGTGGTAGTGTACCTTTAACGCTGGCAGCATTCCCTTGCTGTATTGCGATACTTATTCGAACTCTCAGAGCGGTTTACGCTGTTAAGGAGGGAGCTTGTAGTTTTATTATTGTTTATCAGAATGCCAAATCGAAAAATGAATGCTTTACGACAGATTTGAACGCGATCGCCGCTGCGAAAACCCCTGTGAGAGTTCGAAAAGTGAGTTACAGAATCGCAAGGCTAATCATCGTGTCTTTGTCATGCTTGTGAAGTCTAATATGTGTGATGTCGTGGGGTTCTTCTTGCCGTGGTGGAGTTATACGTCGTGGCGTCGTGGTGTGATTCGTCGTGCCGCGGTCCCCCTCCAATTAGACAACCAACTAACTTTGTTGACCCCTCCATATGTTATCAGTACTCCGAGCTGGGGCAGACAATCTACCCAAATCTATCAAAGACGGTCTTCGCTGTGTTCATGGTGTTTGTGCCGATTCTACTCCTTAACATGCTGATCGCCATGATGGGAAATACTTATGCACACGTGATAGAACAGTCGGAGAAGGAGTGGGTGAAACAGGTAACCAAATATATATGAGAGGAGATTCTGCATCATAGATTATGTTTTACGTGTTTAATGTAAAAGATACCGCCATTAAAAGTATCTTACGTTAGCTTTGTACGTTTGGGTAAACGCTATAATCTTAGGAGACATTAAAAGTTGATATTAGTTTTGCGTTGAATAGGTACTAAGTGTATGTCTTACATTTCCTTATATATAAGTTCTAAAACATACACGATGCATAATAAGTACAAGAAAATTTGACATCACAAATTTTATACACATACACATCATTTTTTTTTTTTGCGAACTAGCGAACTGTGGAAACGACTCCCGGTGGGGGTCTTCCCTCAGAGATACGACCTCCAAATGTTTAAAAATCGAGTGTACTCCTCCATCAAAGGCCGGCAACGCACCCACTAAAAATGGGTGTCTATGGGCTGCGAAGACTGCCCTTTTTGGTCGTCCCGCAAGCTCGTTTGCCCCTCTTATTATATAAAAAAAAACACATCAATTATAGAACATAATCAAGGGAAAAAATTAAACAAGGAACCACAACATAAAAATAGTAAATAATAAGCAGGAGGCTCAGCTGATGTTAATTGCCCATGGACACACACGGCCAGAATGATCGCAAGTGCGTTGCCGGCCTTTCAAGAATTGGTACGCTCTTTTCTTGAAGGAACCTAAGTCGAATTGGTTCGGAGATACTTCAGTGGGCAGCAAAAACTGCCTTAGATAACGATCAGTTGTGGAACGATAAAACGTTGATGATTTAAAATAATAACATATTTTAAGTTAGTTTTAGTTAGTTTTTTAGTTTGGAACTCCCCATCTTGAGTTACAAATCCGCATTGAAAGCACGAATTAGAAATTGCTATAAAAATTTTACCCCGGACAGGATTTTATAATTACATCGTAAACGCATGTGTATGTTATATCCCCAGTGGGCAAAAATAGTTGTATCCCTAGAGCGGTCCGTAGCCCAGGAAGATGCTCATAAATACCTTCAGGAGTACTCAATTGGACTGGGACCTTCAGATGACCCAAGGTACGAGCAGAGAGGGGTCATGGTAATCAAGAGTAAGGCTAAAACCAGAGCTAAGCAACGAAAGGGCGCTCTTGCAAATTGGAAGGTAACATATACTTTTGTAAATATATCTGAGAATAAAATCCGTTAGATTTTTGAAGTGAAACTTCTTTAGGCGCATGAGGGTAAATTTTTTTACGGTCACGATGATGTGCAGCGTTTTTTTTCGAAGAAAACCCTTTTCTTCCCCTTTCAAAGAGAGCGATTGAGACCGATTAAGAGAGAATGAGAAGGGCGAATTACCTTATAGAAATTCTTCCTTATTTAAATGCCACCACGTGTTTTTATCATCGAAGAAATATATATACATATTAAGATTCTCATGTAAATAAAACACAATTTTTGTAATGAGGTTCTATAAACATTAAACATTCTATAATATAATATCATTGCGTTCTAGCGGGTAGGTAAAGTGACGATAGCGGAGTTAAGAAAACGTGGTATCACCGGTGAGGAACTCCGAAGGCTAATGTGGGGTCGTGTCTCTATCTCTACACCTACTAAGCAAAAGACCACGTAAGTTGTTCAGTACAACCACTTGAAACCCACCATACAGAGTAGAAGTAGGAACAAAGGTTAGGGATGTATAAATAATAATTTTCACAATTCTGCATAATTAATTAGTAAAAAAAGGTGTTTTAGATTCCCTAGGGATGGGCAGCTGCATCTACCTGGGACCCTGGCGACACCCTTGCTTACCTGGCCCTTAAAAAACAGAAACAAATTTGAGGCTATTTATATAATATGTTACTAGCTGACCCGGCAAACGTAGTTTTGCCATGTATATAATATTCAAGGAAACATTTTTTCAGTTCAATAAAAATGACGATCTTCTATAATAAAAACATGGGGGTTGTATGTATTTTTGTATACTGTATCATAAAAAAAAATCTAAAAATAAAATTTGGGGTGGACACCCCTTATCTCTTAGGGGTTTGAAAGATAGATAGTAGCCGATTCTCATACTTACTGAATATGTATAAAAAAAATCATAAGAATCGGTCGAGCCGTTTCGGAGGAGTATGGGAACGAACATTGTGGCACGAGAATTTTATATATTAGATATTGGTTTTTATAGTGTACCACCACCGGAAGTGGTACAAGAGGCAGCGGGGGTTGGAGGCGTAGCGCTTTCTTCGGCGTACTCTGCTATGGCCTTTGCGCAAGACCTTGATTTGACTAACACTGGTAAAATTGATTGATCTTCATATAGTTTTCAATTCATGTATTTCTATATTGCAAAAAAAAATCAGTGGCGCTACAACCTCTTTTAGGTATGGGCCTCAGATTTCTGAATCTGTTACATATTCATTTTTGAATCTAATAGGCAAGTAGGTGATCAGCCTCCTGTGCCTGGGACACGCTGTCGATTTTTTGGGTCTAAGACATGTCGGTTTCCTCACGATGTTTTCCTTCACCGTTCGAGCAAATGTTAAATGCTCACATAGAAAGAAAGTCCATTGGTGCACAGCCGGGGATCGAACATACGACCTTAGGTATGAGAGTCGCACGCTTAAACCACTAGGCCAACACTGCTCAATTCTAATTCAATTCTATCTCGCGGGGTCTACCTATAACGCCGTAATAACAATATCTATTCTTAATTTAAATTTATCAGCCTTTCGTAACTTAGATCCTGGGATCGGTCCCCGGCGAAATAATAATCTCGGATACAATAACTGATCGAGGACTCAGAAATGTGAATGCCAAAAGTAGTCACGAAATATTATATCTAAGCTATTAGCTAAAAAAAATAGGTGCGGAGGCAATGCAACAGCCCCCGGACATCTTGGTGAATGGACTCCAGAAACAAAGCAAGGCAACAACCCAAATCTATCAAACTCAACCGAAAGTAGACGCAAATCTGCCAACAGCACCTAATAATCAGAACTACCTGGGCATTGATCTTCAAGCTGAATTCTTGAAGACTCAAGAGATCAAAAGTCCACGTAAGTAAATATACCTAATAAAAAAATAGATGTAGAATTGTAAACCTCACTTTTCTGAAGTCGGCTAATAAGTAAAAAAATATATATTTGCATTTATATTAATTGTAAAAACAAGATAGTGTTTTAAAAATATGGAGTATTCTTTCATAGCCTACAATAATAATTATTTAAAAAAAAGGGTGGGTGTACTTATGTACGCGCGTAAGAAGTTATACTTCTTTGGCATTATTAATAATACATACGAATAGTTAACCTCAATTGTATTGAAGCACTTAGGAAGGTTGATGAACACAGTCTTTTCACAAATATTTTCTAATATTAACTAGTGATTATAATCACTTCTTATTATAATTCAGACGCATATATATAACATTCGCACTTGTTTAATAAAAACACGTGTTTTAAATGTAGAAACTCAAAGCATGTGGATAAATATTATAAATACACAGTGAACAGAGGCGGCGTGCGTGCCAGCATGCGCCACTAACAGAGGTTCCATTTCTGTTTTGTTGGTAGCATTTTTTCCTCAACTTAATGAGCGATTTACTGGGCAACTTCATTCTGTTTATTTTGTGTCACGGTGCGCGCGCATCGTAAAATTTCACTCTCATCAATTTTTCATAACGCGCCTAAAGAAGTATGACTTCAACAAATTCAAAAAGTTTGATCCCTGTGGCAGTCTATCTTTAGTGCTGGCAGCATTTCCTCTCTGTATTGCGATATTTATTCATTGAGCGAGGAAATCACCAGCTCTGTGATCACCGGTATTATCTAGTAGGCGCCAGCATACTCTATATATTTTTTATGACTTATAACTTATTATTAACCCCCTTTTTCATAAAAACTAATTGATGATGTGTGTATGTTACACTAGTTATAACAGTGCAATTAGATTAAGTTAATGATTCCGTCGTTCGACCACCGCTATGTGGAACCAGCTGCCCACTGAAGATTCATATTTTCAAACCAATTCAACTTAGGGTTCAAGCAGAGCGTACCAATTCCTAAAAGGCCGGCAACGCACTTGCGAGCCTTCTAGCAATGGGAGAGTCCCTGGACGGCGGTATCACTTAACATCATGTGAGCCTCCGATTAAATTAAAATAGATAAAAAAACAGTTAACAGGGAGCTAATATTTTAATAGGTAAATTTAAAAGTTATACCTGCTCATTTCTTTATTGAATTATATTTAATCTAATATAATACCTACTGCGTGTGCCTCTATACTTAATTAATTAAATTTTTGTCAAGACTGGCTGAAATATGTTTAATGACAACACAAAGTTGTACTGTTTTATTTAAAAATATACTAAAAATATTTGTTTTAAGAACCAGTCCATAATTACGTTCAAAGTTTAAAACATATTGAATAGGTTATGAACAAAAAGCTACGCTAGTCATCTTTTTATATCCGTTGAATTTATATTCATATACAACTAACCTAAAAATATAGCTGCAGAAGTATTCCCTGACTACATGATGGAATTGGTGACACGGTCAGAAGAAGGTCCCAGCTCGCCTGACTTGAGGACCCTCGCGGAAAAGGCGGCGGAGCTAAACGGTATTCCGGAAATAGATGTCACTGTTTCCGTAAGTTTTTTACTTAAGCGATAGTTGTTCTGACCGATTCAGCCACAGTGAATATATCAATCACATAATTTATATTGAGACTGGCCAAATGCGCGGTAAACAGGGAGCACAAGTATCTGTAGACACCAGTGTCCTCCCTTTTTTCGGCTCAGCTTGAGAGATCGACAGCATTATTTAGTTTTGAATATATGTTCGTATTTAGTTAGGGTTACTATACGTACTTTTATATTTAAATTATTTCCCGAAAATACCTACATAGTTTTTTTTTAAACTTTGTTATTGTACCACTCGATTAAGTAGTTTTTGGGCTTACTCGGGTAATTAACTCGAGATTTTGTCATACTTTCTCTCGAAACGTCGGGACAGTTTTATAATGTTAAATTCAACTAATCTGAACTGTAATAATCATTTTTATTATAAATATGTGAGTGTATTTTAAAAGACGCGCTTAAATAGAAAGTATTTTTGAATAATTTCATTGTAGACGGGAGTTAAATCCTCCCGCCTAGTCGTAGCTGGAGCAGTCTCTGGTCTCTTCGGAGTGGCTGCTGACCAGCCTCCTCCTGATAGCGGCTGGAAAAGGGAGAGACAGGAACAGACAGATAGTGATCCTATATCTGGTAAGACTTGTATTACTATCTTTAACAATAGAAATCTACAGTTATTATTCGTGTGGAATAGACTTTTCTCTGGTGACGCCGAGTCCAATTTTCCAACAAAAAGAAATGGTTTTTCAGCTCGGCATAAGGCTTCCAAAATATTTTTAAACGTAGTATAGTAAGTAGTAAGTTAATAACTGGTTTATCAATTTGAAGCATTTCAATGCCTAAAACTTAGTTCAAAATCTGGCCATTTTCTTTGGTAAGCAGGTAATTTCAGAAAATCTAATATATAAAATTCTCGTGTCACAATGTTCATTCCCATACTCCTCCGAAACGGTTTGGACGATTCTAATGAAATTTTGTATCTATGCATATTCAGTAAGTCTGAGAAGCTGCTACTATCAATAATAAAACAAATTGATTTTATGATACAGCATACAAAAATAAACACAACCCCAAATTTTAGTACGGGAGGTAGCAACGTTTTCGAGAAAGAATTCCAGGTCAGCTGATTTTGTGATATGTCTTCCTTCTTGCACTTCCGGTTAGAGTCTGGGCAGTCTGGCTGGCGGTAGCGGTTGCGTTCATTAGTGCGCATCCTATCTGTCTAGGTAATAATCCTGGATTTTAAAAGCATTTTAAGAAGCGTAATTTTTGATTTATCCTTTTTAAATACGTCTACCTGATATACTTTTTTTATTGCCAGACATTTTTCACGTTGCTAACTATGTGCCAGACGCGATTTTAAGTTGTATTTTTATAAAAATTTCAAAGCATTTTAGAATGTCTGTAATTTTAATATTATGTTATTTAAATATAAGAAAAACTGAAAATGAATTTGCCAGACATTAATTCGATTGTTAAGTCTTGAATTAAAATGATAAAGTATTGCAGTATGATGAAGCATTGCATTTTAAGAAGCGTAATTTTTGATTTTTCCTTTTTTAAATACGTCTACCTGACATACTTTTTTTATTGCCAGACATTTTTCACGTTGCTAACTATGTGCCAGACGCGATTTTAAGTTGTATTTTTATAAAAATTTCAAAGCATTTTAGAATGTCTGTAATTTTAATATTATGTTATTTAAATATAAGAAAAACTGAAAATGAATTTGCCAGACATTAATTCGATTGTTAAGTCTTGAATTAAAATGATAAAGTATTGCAGTATGATGAAGCATTGCATTTTAAGAAGCGTAATTTTTGATTTTTCCTTGTTAAATACGTCTACCTTACATACTTTTTTTATTGCCAGACATTTTTCACGTTGCTAACTATGTGCCAGACGCGAATTTAAGTTTTATTTTTATAAAAATTTCAAAGCATTTTAGAATGTCTGTAATTTTAATATTATGTTATTTAAATATAAGAAAAACTGAAAATGAATTTGCCAGACATTAATTCGATTGTTAAGTCTTGAATTAAAATGATAAAGTATTGCAGTATGATGAAGCATTGCATTTTAAGAAGCGTAATTTTTGATTTATCCTTTTTTAAATACGTCTACCTGACATACTTTTTTTATAGCCAGACATTTTTCACGTTGCTAACTATGTGCCAGACGCGAATTTAAGTTTTATTTTTATAAAAATTTCAAAGCATTTTAGAATGTCTGTAATTTTAATATTATGTTATTTAAATATAAGAAAAACTGAAAATGAATTTGCCAGACATTAATTCGATTGTTAAGTCTTGAATTAAAATGATAAAGTATTGCAGTATGATGAAGCATTGCATTTTAAGAAGCGAAATTTTTGATTTTTCCTTTTTAAATACGTCTACCTGACATACTTTTTTTATTGCCAGACATTTTTCACGTTGCTAACTATGTGCCAGACGCGAATTTAAGTTTTATTTTTATAAAAATTTCAAAGCATTTTAGAATGTCTGTAATTTTAATATTATGTTATTTAAATATAAGAAAAACTGAAAATGAATTTGCCAGACATTAATTCGATTGTTAAGTCTTGAATTAAAATGATAAAGTATTGCAGTATGATGAAGCATTGCATTTTAAGAAGCGTAATTTTTGATTTTTCCTTTTTAAATACGTCTACCTGACATACTTTTTTTATAGCCAGACATTTTTCACGTTGCTAACTATGTGCCAGACGCGAATTTAAGTTTTATTTTTATAAAAATTTCAAAGCATTTTAGAATGTCTGTAATTTTAATATTATGTTATTTAAATATAAGAAAAACTGAAAATGAATTTGCCAGACATTAATTCGATTGTTAAGTCTTGAATTAAAATGATAAAGTAATGCAGTATGATGAAGCATTGCATTTTAAGAAGCGTAATTTTTGATTTTTCCTTTTTAAATACGTCTACCTGACATACTTTTTTTATAGCCAGACATTTTTCACGTTGCTAACTATGTGCCAGACGCGATTTTAAGTTTTATTTTTATAAAAATTTCAAAGCATTTTAGAATGTCTGTAATTTTAATATTATGTTATTTAAATATAAGAAAAACTGAAAATGAATTTGCCAGACATTAATTCGATTGTTAAGTCTTGAATTAAAATGATAAAGTAATGCAGTATGATGAAGCATTGCATTTTAAGAAGCGTAATTTTTGATTTTTCCTTTTTAAATACGTCTACCTGACATACTTTTTTATTGCCAGACATTTTTCACGTTGCTAACTATGTGCCAGACGCGATTTTAAGTTGTATTTTTATAAAAATTTCAAAGCATTTTAGAATGTCTGTAATTTTAATATTATGTTATTTAAATATAAGAAAAACTGAAAATGAATTTGCCAGACATTAATTCGATTGTTAAGTCTTGAATTAAAATGATAAAGTATTGCAGTATGATGAAGCATTGCATTTTAAGAAGCGTAATTTTTGATTTATCCTTTTTAAATACGTCTACCTGACATACTTTTTTTATTGCCAGACATTTTTCACGTTGCTAACTATGTGCCAGACGCGAATTTAAGTTTTATTTTTATAAAAATTTCAAAGCATTTTAGAATGTCTGTAATTTTAATATTATGTTATTTAAATATAAGAAAAACTGAAAATGAATTTGCCAGACATTAATTCGACTGTTAAGTCTTGAATTAAAACTATTGAAGAATCATTATCGTGTGAAGAACACGAAGAAGCTTATTCTAGGATAATTTTTCATATTTGCCAAATCGATTTTGACGCAGAAGTTGTTATACGCTGTTCTGATTCTGATATTTTAATTATACTTCTGGGAAATATGGATCACCTGAAAAAATCTTTGAAAATTTGGATAAATATGGGTGTTGGAAATCATCAGCGTTACATAAACATCAATGAATTGTACTGAATTCTTGGTGACTCTTTATGCTAAGCTTTACCATGCTTCCACGCAATCACCGGATGTGATTACACGCCAGCTTTTTTTAGAAAAGGCAAAGTTAAGCCTTTTAAAATATTAGAAAATTCTGAGGAATACCAGTTAGCTTTTGATAATATAATTTCGGATGATAAAGAAGTACTTGAAACTACGTTTGTAACCCTGGAGAAATTTATTTGTCAAATGTATGGAGTTAAAAATTGTTCGATTGTTAATGATGTTCGATTTAATTTATTTTCAAGTACGTTTAAGTCAAAAAAATCAGATGAGAACTTTGACAAAAAATTTCGAAACTTTGACTCATCCAGTTTGCCACCCTGTAAAGTGGAATTGGAACAGCATTTATTGAGGGTTCGTTACGTGACGAAAATTTGGAGAAATGCTCACTCAAAACATCCAACATCTTTATCTCCAATGGCTTTTGGGTGGACCATTAACGGTGAATTACTATCCTCAGTTGCAGATATTATTGTTCAAAGTAAGTGTTAAATGGAACATTTATCAATAATAACTAAAATGGTTAATAACGAACAAGAAAAATTACACTGTTTATTTTTTTTCTGTTGCAGATGATTTAGAAGATAACGAAAGTTCCCAAGAAGATGATATGAATGACACCGACAAAGACAGCGACGATGATGATGATGATTATGAAGATGCCTCTTTTTTTGTGACGTCACTATAGGCTAAAACAACTTGTAAAACTCAATATTAATTATTCATAACTTACATTTAGTAATTAGGACAATTTAAATAAAGTGTTGATTATTAATTTTAATCAAATTTTATATTCCTTTTTATGCTCGTACTACAAGCATTATACTGCAATACTTTTCATGACTTTTACATTTTAATTCAAGGCTTAACAATCGATTAATGTCTGGCAAATTCATTTTCAGTTTTTCTTATATTTAAATAACATAATATTAAAATTACAGACATTCTAAAATGCTTTAAAACTTTTATAAAAATAAAACTTAAAATCGCGTCTGGTACATAGTTAGCAACGTGAAAAATGTCTGGCAATAAAAAAAGTATGTCAGGTAGACGTATTTAACAAGGAAAAATCAAAAATTACGCTTCTTAAAATGCAATGCTTCATCATACTGCAATACTTTATCATTTTAATTCAAGACTTAACAATCGAATTAATGTCTGGCAAATTCATTTTCAGTTTTTCTTATATTTAAATAACATAATATTAAAATTACAGACATTCTAAAATGCTTTGAAATTTTTATAAAAATAACACTTAAATTCGCGTCTGGCACATAGTTAGCAACGTGAAAAATGTCTGGCAATAAAAAAAGTATGTCAGGTAGACGTATTTAACAAGGAAAAATCAAAAATTACGCTTCTTAAAATGCAATGCTTCATCATACTGCAATACTTTATCATTTTAATTCAAGACTTAACAATCGAATTAATGTCTGGCAAATTCATTTTCAGTTTTTCTTATATTTAAATAACATAATATTAAAATTACAGACATTCTAAAATGCTTTGAAATTTTTATAAAAATAAAACTTAAAATCGCGTCTGGCACATAGTTAGCAACGTGAAAAATGTCTGGCAATAAAAAAAGTATGTCAGGTAGACGTATTTAAAAAGGAAAAATCAAAAATTACGCTTCTTAAAATGCAATGCTTCATCATACTGCAATACTTTATCATTTTAATTCAAGACTTAACAATCGAATTAATGTCTGGCAAATTCATTTTCAGTTTTTCTTATATTTAAATAACATAATATTAAAATTACAGACATTCTAAAATGCTTTGAATTTTTTATAAAAATACAACTTAAAATCGCGTCTGGCACATAGTTAGCAACGTGAAAAATGTCTGGCAATAAAAAAAGTATGTCAGGTAGACGTATTTAAAAAGGAAAAATCAAAAATTACGCTTCTTAAAATGCTTTTAAAATCCAGGATTATTACCTAGACAGATAGGATGCGCACTAATGAACGCAACCGCTACCGCCAGCCAGACTGCCCAGACTCTAACCGGAAGTGCAAGAAGGAAGACATATCACAAAATCAGCTGACCTAAAATTCTTTCTTTTCAAACGTTGCTACCTCCCGTACTATTTTCATCCCTCTACGATGAACCCCTATGTTTTTATTATTGTAGATAGTTATTTTTATTGAACTAAAAAATGTTTCCTAGAAATAATGTAGGGGCAAAACAAGCGTTTGCCGGGTTAGCTAGTATTCTAAAATAATAACGAGTTTATCACTCGTACAATATCTTGGAGATAACCAACTCGTGTACAACCTAGCTAACCAGATCTATAATTTAATAATAAAAATATGGGAATGCATCAGAATGTGAACATTTGCAGACAGTGCAGTATTGGGTCGTGCATGTCGTGCTAAACGCGCACGAACTGCGTCCAGACGCGCTGCGCCTCCACCGCCTCACCTTTACGTGCCAGCACGGTCAGATTTTTGTTAAAATTGTTACCTATATAATTGACATAAGACACGCATTCAAACATAAGTGTTACCTAAACACTACATACAATATATTTAATAACGTACTTAAAATAAATCAGTGGCGCTACAACCTTTTTAGGTCTGGGCCTCAGATTTCTGTTTCATGATCATTTGTTCTCCTGACGCACGCCGTCGACTTTTTGGGTCTAGGGCAAGCTGGTTTCCTCGCGATGTTTTCCTTCACCATTCGAGCGAATGTTAAATGCGCACATAGAAAGAAAGTCCATTGGTGCACAGTCGGGGATCGAAGCTTCGACCTCGAGAGATGTGAGTCGCACGCTGAAGCCTAGCTATTTTATTTCTAACGAGTATATTATTTTCATCAATAAACAAGGTAGGTAACTTAAGTTTTCGTAAAATTAATATTGAAAAGCTGTTCCGTCAATAAGTTTGTTTTCAGGTCAATGTATTTCGTCGCTTCCGAGAGCAGCGCCGTTGAAAGTGATGCACCCTGGGAGGAACCACAAATTAATAATACTAACTCGTGAGTCACCAATTATTTATTTTGTTTTTAATTTTGTCATAATATCTTTGAAACTACTTAGATATATTTCACGCCTAAATAATTTTGGTTTAGTAATATAAAATCATGACTGTTATATTCTATACTAAATGATGTCATATTATGTATAACGATGAATGGACTTTTAAACACAAAAATAATTTTCCAATTCAAACCTGAAATTCACGACTTCGAACAAACAAAGCTTCAGCTTTATTATGCATGGATAGATAATGATATAGACTAGATTATTTCAAATTTTAAAGTTAAATATCGTGCTCGATAATGCATTCCTTATTTTCGTATTGCCAGGATAACTACATAGTGGGTCAAATTGAAAGAAAATTTATCCAGTCGGTCAAAATAATATATGAATGTTGTCACATTGGCAATAACTAATATAATTATTTCAGCGCCAACATAAACCACCGAGATATGGAAATTAAAACGAATAGACCGATTTGTATTCAATACGCCACGGGACGAGCACAAGTAGAACATTCTCTCTTTATACAAGGTAAACGAATAATTGAAAGTAATACCATTATTCTAAAATATTTCTGAATTTGGAAAAGGCCCTCGTGTTATTTAGTAAATGTTTTTCAAACACATATCCTCATTCTACGCACGAAGGCATTCATATTAATAATTGACTTCAGACAAACCTGTATTTTATTATAAAAAATTAAAAGTAGAGACGTGACAGTTAGAAACACATAAATATTATCTGTGAACCTTGCATATAGGGGCCGGAAGTGACGCAGACGTTGAAAGCGCTCCACCCCCGAGGAAACCGGAAGCACGTAGAATCCGCCCTAAAACAGCTCGACCGCGACGAAATAGGTTAATGTAATTTAATTATCTTATCTTTAAGTTCTAGTTAAGTTTCGAAATCTCTTTAATTGATGATCAGTGACATCCATAGTAATCTTAAGTACGAAGTCTAGTCACCCTTCAACGGGTTATCTATATTTTTTTAACAAGGTTCATGACGTCGTTCTAGCCAGAAACTTGTGCCTTCAATCCAGTAATCTGTATTAAATAATTTTGACAGAATATCCCCGGTGCCTGCACCTGGTAGTCCATTAACGCCGTGGGCAACAGCGCCTTTGTCTAAACTCACCCGACTTATGCATTCAGCCAGTCTCACTTCTTATTCTTCACAAAGCTCTTCAGGATCACCAAGATATTAACTAATATTTGATTATGTTTTCGTTTCATGTTTATAATTTAGACCAAAGTATTTTGAATTGTTCCTATTTTCAAGTTGCTTAACAATTAAACTGCCATTTTTAAAAATAAAACTACAAATTCATTTTTATGTTTTATTTCACCCAAATGCCTGTGAAAACGAGTAAGGAACGGATAATCAAAAATAAAAATATTACATTTAAACACAAAATGATAGATTGCAAGAAAGACCAAACGTTGGTAATGAAAATTATTAGGAGAAATGTTAGGCAATTATTCACATACCTAAGATACATGCCACAATTCAGACATTATATATCAAGGGAGAGTTATGGATTAAAATAAAATAAAATCATTTTAACTAAATGCCATAAAAGTACAATAAATCATATATAAATTAACCATGTTCCTACTAAGTATACTTACCCACAACTTATTACCTTTAAAATTGGTATATTTCAAGCAAACATAAATATAAAATAAGTAACGGATATAAACACAATTCTAATTTATATAGCATTCTTTACATAGCCGAACGTAAAAATGCGGATATTGTAAATACCACTTCACGGCCATAGATGGCGTTGACAACATAATACACTAAATTAGTTATCTGTCAACTTTTAGCAGTCATTCTTTGACAACGAACGTCAAGTTATGTATTTAATGTAATAAATCCGCGATTCAATTCGTAAGTTTCATTTCTAATATGAATTACCCATTTTAATCAAATAATATATTGGTTAAATCAAATGCAGATACTAAATTGCCTTATTTTTCTCAAGACCACAGACCATATCGCACCTTGATAACGACAACGTCACTACACAAAAAAGGTACTTTTGAGTAATAAGCGATCAAAATTCCAAAATATTCGAAGAATGCAATTTTGGCTTAAATGAAGATTTTTAAGTCCGGTTTTCAGCAGTATTCATAGGAAACAAAGTCAGTTTTAAGATCGGCATACTAATTTGATTTCAACCCCTTTAGAACACGGTATTTTTTGAAAATTTCGTTTAGTGTCACTATCATTCGTATTTTATTTATTTTGTGATATGGCTCCAAATTAGGAATAACGTCACTAAACCTTCAGATTATGAAATAACGTCACTAAAATTAGATAGTAGGTAAAATTAGAAATGGTTTTAAATAAAAGAATAATTTATGTATTACAAAACTCTTTATTCTTTAATAAAAAATAGGAACATTGGCACTTTTATTAAGTTCTTTAAGACACTTCTCTCATTGTTTATAAAGATAGGTTAACTTGAATTCAAAAATCAAAACAGGTAACAAGGCTAATGCCGTTTAAATCTACATAAGTAGGTAACTTAACATTTCACGTCTAGTATAATAATTATACTTAAATCTATACGTTTAATCACAGAAAAATGTCACATACATAAACCTTCTTAATTTTAACATCAAACTAAAAAAAAGTAATAATCGGCAATTCATGCCAGTAAAACTTCTACAAAACTTGTTTGGTAACGTAAAACGTAAACAGTATAAAAAAATATATTAAAAAGGGATCAAAATTAACATTATAATAATCAGTCTCAAAATATATCAGATATGGCGAGGACTTACATAAGTTACATAATAATACTATTATAAAAAGAAGAAGCATAGTAAGGTGGTATAGCACGTTGTCTAATAAGAGATTTCAAGTCTTCTTTCTTTCTTTCTGCTAAAGGTATTCTTGCGGTATACAATCGTTTTAATGTTGGTCTGGCTCGTCTTTGGCTTTGTAATTTGAATTCTTTAAATTCTTCTTGTACGTATGATGTCTTATAGCTAACTTTCGTACCTGTAGATTCTTCAGTCTTTTCTATTTTTATAATTTTTATATCATTTGTTTTGATCGTTTCACCTTCTGTGTTTTTAAATATCTTATATTCCTGGAGACTTTTAATGTCGTAAAATTCAGTGTGGCTCATTTCCTTCACTACGTATTTCTTTCCTTTTTTTTTTTGCTTCTCTAATGGCGGTTATATATTGGTCAGGAACGTAAATTGGCCCAGATTTGAGAGTCTTTTTAATCTGTTTCTCTATGGTCGAATGAACGGAGTCACCTTCATTCTGAGTATGACCTTTTATCAAAAACTTATGAGTTATTGACTGTATATTAGGTAGATTCTTCACAGCATAGATATACATAGAAAATATAAACTGGTTTTTCTGCTGGCCGCAGCAATTGTCACTGTAGAAAATTATATGTAACTTCTCAGATGACGAAACTGACTTTTCACGAAGATATCTAAAAACACAAGAACCTATCTCATTGGCTCCTTTCTGGCCCTCAACTTCATTCCAAAAATAACATTCTGTCAAATCGGTCTTTAATTCACTGATAGTAAAATTTAAACAGTTCAGTCTGGATTTATAATAAAATCCGGAAACGTCACCTTTGGGTACTTGTAACATTGCTTGAAGATCGTAACATGCTACTATATGATTCTCGTCTACTGCTTTTTTATCGTTAGTTTTTTCTTCCCTACTCTTTTCTTTTTCTATCAAATGTTTATTGTAATTCTCTTGAAGCTTTTCTTTTTCAACTGGTTCTGCATTTTTATACGCAACACAATCGCCACACTGATCTTTTTTAGGAATAAAAAAACTTATGTTAAAATCTTGATTAAACACCTTCCGATATATATGTATTTTAACGAAATCTTCACCCTTGTCTTTACAATCTTTCTTGTAGTCATTGTACAAATCTGTAATATTTTTACCACCATCAATGTATTCTCGTGTGGTTTGTTTCCTCAAATAATGGCTCTCAATTCTAGGAATACTATCGATGTGTCGTCGGACGCCAGACAGAAGATCCTCTCTAACTTGATTATGTTTTTCATGTTTACCACGCAGATCCGGTTCAATTATCCCAGAAGAATTCAGTTTTTCGATTACAGTACGTATCGGTCTGTCATTGATCCCCAAAGTCCTTTTAAAGTAAATCTTGCAAACTTTTTGTTTTATGTTGTCAATAGTTAGATAAAATGCATGTTTAGGTTTCCGGTTGCTGTCTATTTTTTTATATTGATATTTGGGTTTTACTTCAGTCATGTGTTTGGCAATAAATTCTCTTTGTAGAGACACAGATCCTAAATTCCAATACCTGTCAAAAACAACTTTTCGCTGATGCTCTGTTAATTTCTCTGAACATTTTAATCGACAACGATCATTGCACGTAGGTCCCATTTCCCTCGCAGGTTTCAAGGTATTTGATCTTAAACATTTGTACTCTACACCCCTATTGCGTAGTTTCTTAGCTAAAGCTGCTTTGTTTACACCTGTCTTTCGTTTACGCGACTTTTTTGACGGTGAAGAAGTACTTGGACATTCAGTTGGAAGCTCACAAGGCATGCCAACGTCTCTTGACGAGTCTACGCCATTATTTATTATTCTCATCGCAAGTGTTTTCAGTGGCATTGGATTATTTATGTTATTGACCACTTGTGATTCTACTACCAACGATTCGTCTTGGTTTTCAGTGGTTTTGTCGTATGGTGGCAACGATAATCCAAACCTGTGAATAACTTGAGTGGCTATAGTTTTTAAAGAGAGTGGGGTTTTTCCGTTATGATTGTGTGTTGAGTTGGAGTTAATAGGAGGGTTGTAATTTTTAACATTGTCTACAGTGAATTGATTATCTGAGTTATTGCTGAGGAGCTCATTAGTGATGTCTGTATAATCGCGTTCTGATTCAGGTATACTGCAATCTTGGTCATCTGACGAAGACATGTAAATGTCTTTCAGTAGCTGTAAAGTAGATAATGATTGTATTTCAGGTAATGTAATTGTAGGTTCTTGCTTTTTTTCAGGTGTAACTATTTGTTTTTGTTTTTTTGGTGGAGGACCACCCTCTGTTTTTTCACGTGAGATGGATTCTGTGTCAGAAGAAGAACTACTGGAGTCAGAGTCGGAGCTGGCGGAATCAGAATTGGTGCTGGTGGAATCAGAAGTAGAGGTACTAGAACTCGATCCAGAAGACGAACGTGAAGAATTTTTTTTTAGCGTAGTTTTGTATTGAGCTTTGCAACTTTGCTTAACGGGTTTCTTTGTAGTACTTTGCAGTGAATCATATTGTGACGATGAACTATCGGCGGCAGAAGGTTTGTATTCTTTATCGTCATCAGAAGCAAGAGAAAAATCTTCGCCAGAACAAGAGGAACACGATGATTTTTCTGTTTCGAAAACTCTGCGTTTGCTGCACATTTTTAGGTCTCTCAGTTAAATGTGACTGATTTTTTTTTGTCTCAGACGCAACGTTCGGCGAATAATACTTTAATGCAGGTTTGTATACTTTCCTATTATTATCTTTCTCAGCAACACGTAAGTTTTCTTTTTGCGATGGATTTTCAGAGCTTTGTAAATTATGTGGAAAATTTGGCTGATGATCATCTTCTGAAGCGAATGAGTTATCTTCGGAATCGAACTTATTCAAATCTTTGATTATATTTTTTAACTTCAAAGACCGCGGGTTCGGAGGTGGCATTGTAACTGTAAATAATAAGATATGTTTTTGTCAAGCTTGCAAAATGCTGTCACAAAACAAATTAAAACGTTTACCAATTAACTTAGAGAGAAATAACCATGAAAATACAAAAAAAATAAAGGCTTATTTTCTGAAGTGTCGTAATGTTTATCTTACATTCGATTTTTTTGAAGAGAATTTAAATGACATCGGCTTTATCACTAATATGTCTCTAACAGTTTAAATAATAATAGTGATTTCTTACAAGGAATGACAGTGAAGAGTCACTAAAGAAACTGTGTCAATATCACTTTTCAAAGCAAATTAAACATAGTGAATTCAATTAACTATCAATGACACTTTTAACATAATGTCGTTGTAAGTTGACGAAAAAATACGAGATATTAAAGTAATAGTGTCATTAAACGAAAAGTGACATTAATACTCTGAATGAATCGTTACAGATTTGTTAGAACTTAATGTAATAATGTCACTTTCACGATAAAGACGATATAGCTTTAATTAAAACATATAACTTACCGGTTAGATTTACTGCAAAACGATACTAAACAAAAAATGACGTTATCCTTCACAGACCAAGCACTTATCTCTTTGACGTCCCCGTCACTACTAAAAATGTGCCGATATCACGCCACGTCATACGCTCCGCCCCCTTAAACGACATAACGACACCACGCCATCTAGCGGTTTCTATGAGACCTACGTTCACAGGAGTCTTTGCATTTTAAAGTTCATGCCTAGTAATGAAAGGTGGCGCTCACAGTAAAGATTACCTGATTTTCGTATAGTGACGTTGTCGTTATCAAGGTGCGATATCTTGTTTCATAGTATAATTTTAGTTTCTATTCTTACCATATTATTACTTACGTTTTCTGTTCGTTCCCGTTCGTCCATTTGTCCCATTATCCACTTAGGTTTACTTATTTGCCATTTAATAGGTTTTGCACCTTTAACAGATTGACAATTGACTAAATGGCATGTTATAGGAAATATCAAAAATCATCATATAGTAATCATCAACAACAGTAAAATATTTAAATAGTGATGTAATACTGTAAAATCACACGAAAATCGATAGTCAAGTTACTGCACAGGGACAGTCTTACGATAAACACATGGCATTAAATCATCAATTTTTTAGGGTCACTTACCTCCGGGGTCTGTGGAGAAAAATTATAAATAAAATGAACACAATATCAATTAAACATACATTTTATATCTTAATATTAGTACAATGTTGGGGAACACCCAGTGCAAACTCTCGAACAATAATCGGGGAGGAATGTAAAACATACCTTGGATACACCTAGATTTATCAAATTAATTACACAATTTTAAACTACCGTCAAATGTTATAAATTTTGCAACTACCGTCTGTTTCGTATTAACCTACCGAGCTCAAGTCGCGATTTAAACTTAATCTAAACATAGTTGTGACAATTGTGAACGTCCTGTAATAGGAGATTTTATTTGCACTTTCGCGAAATAAATAATAAAACCATGTGAAGAAGAAGTCACTCCAGTGCATTTACCTCGTTATTCCGGTGGCGTAGGATCTCTTTTCGTCTATAAGCTCCGTCGGTCTAATACATCGTTTGAGGCTGTGTGGATATTTTAACCTGGACAAACTAACATATCGAATTTAACACATTTACTAAAGTCCACACGCCCATAATACAAATCACAATTGAAATAAGCAAATCGATATTTATGGAGTGCACTTTGGCCTTTTCGCGAAAATCGTGCGAAGGAACCGTACAGCTGCAAAGTGCACTCGTGGAAGTAAGTTTTGGCTGTACGTAAGACGCTTTACTTATAATTATCATATAGCTAGGAGGTATCTTCTGACAATCCGTGGTGCCCCGGCCGGTTTCTGCAATCAGACAGAGACATGGCAAACATCACATAATAAGAGCAATTAGTTCTGGATACGGCACCGCAGCCTCGAGCCTACACATCTGCAACACTACACACACTACATCACTTCAGACACAGCTATTTGGGACACACAGTGCTTGTGGCGCTTCTAGTACTGAGTAGAACTTCTACTTCTACTTTTTGACAATATTAATATGGACTATGAAATTATTAAGGCTACTAAAAATTTAGAACTTTACACTGAGATAAAATCCAGAGCTTATAATTATTATAATATATAGTAGGTTTGAATATTCCTGTATAATTTAACATTAAATACAAATAAATACTTTGCATAATAAAATGTGTGCAATCAAGCTATTGTACTTAAGCACTATGTGTTCCCATACACCTAATTAATTATTGAAAAAAATGCATTAATCAAAAGTAAACATCATAAAATAAAAATTGTAAAACATATTTCAGCATGCTTTTTACAATCCGGAAAGAGTAATATAGTATGTTATTTGTTTGCAAGACAATTTTATATGAATCCATAGTCATAGCTAGGTAAAATCTTATTACAGCCCTAGCTACAACTAATACAGCCGACACACCTTTAAACACCATAACTTAAAATAAATAAATGTAATAGAAATAAATTTTCCAAAAAGCACAAGGAATCTGAAAAGCATTAAGCTAAATGTTTTATATTATTTGATTGGTAAAGCGCTTATATTTTATATTAATTTGGAAATAAATATATGTTAGGGATATGTAAAAGAATTTTGGAAGTTGGATTTTTAAGTGTCACCATGATACTAGACACAAATATCATTATAAGATTAGCGAATATGTTTAGTGGAAAACTATATTATCAATATAAACCAAACATTTTTATAATAAAATGTGTTTAAAAAAACTGCGTTTTACAGTTATAATAATAATAACAATAAATAAATAAATAAATACAGTCTGTTAAAAAAAGTTCTGGTTTTGAACTTACCTTAAAACATGTAAAAATCTAGTGTAATAGGAAAATAAAGTTCTTTACCAATCAAATAAAGACATCATCAATACTCACATTACTGGTGTCCAGAGTCAGGTGCGTTCCCGTACGGGTACGGATAGGGGTACACCGGCGGGTACATCGGGTACTGCTGATATTGGCCCATGGCCCCCGGGGACTGGCTAGGTGGCGCCTGTGGAGCGTTGCTCGGTTGGGGCGGTTGCTGACTGGGCGGTTGCTGATGTAATAGGGTAGATCCAGTATTATGGGTATGATATTACTCAACGGAAATTATACTAATTAAAAATATATAGTTCGTAATAATTTTTGTCTATTTTAAAATTTATTCCTTTTTGTTGTTAATACGTATTTTATAATTAACAAAAATAACGTTTTGTAACAGATAAACTCTTAACTACAAGGCAATTTCATAATTATCATTGAATGTGTGCAAAACGGGAGAAAAGTATATCACATTGAGAGCTTCCCTTTTAATCTCAGGAACTATCTCAGGACCCTAAGTCGAATTGGTTTGGAAATACTTCAGTGGTCAGCTGATTCCACATAGTGGTGGTGCGCGGCAAAAACTGCCTTAAAGAACTCTCAATTGTGGAACGACGGACGTCGAGGTGACACGGGTGGAATTTCCTATTCTGCCTCGACGTCCGATTTTGAAACTCAGCTGCATGTATTAGTCCGAAAAACTCTGAACACTCTCCATAGTAAATGCTGTAGAAGATGCTTTCGGTGGAATAAAACTAGGGCATCGAAACTCGGTCCAATTTTGAAAACCCGGGTTTTCGGGTCTAAGAGTAATCAAAACCCGGGTACCCGGTTTTTTCGAGCATTTCGGTCTTTTTATTGATTTTTTTTTAAATGCACTAATCTGCGTTTATATATCGATTTCCTACAATGAATACAAAATATAAAGGATGAGGAAGAATTTAAATAAATGAAACAGTACTTTACAAATTACAAAAACAGTTTTAATGTTTAAAAAAGTGATAAAGATTTATTTTTTCTTCAGAATATCTTAAAACTTAGTAAGTAATCCAGTATTTTTAAATCACAGACTTGCAGAGATTAGTTTTAACATTAAATGAATTATTTTGGAAACATTCACTTATTGTATTTAAAAGCTAATAAAAATAAATCTTCAAAAGACATTTTTGTAGTATCACAATTAATTTTAATATTAATAAAGCTCTTCTTCGCATTAACGAATAATTCTAGTCTTCTATTCTACTATAATTTAAATTGCAGTCGTTTTCTTAATAATTAGGTCTTTATATAATTACCTAAAATACTAAGTAAAAAGTAGTTATGCATTTGACACATTATTTAAGACATAACCTCTGACCATCTGACCACTTTAGAAAAAAAGAGAGGAACGCTCTCGCCGTCGCGTACCGCCATTCTCGAAGAGTGCTATTTCTACCCTCACAGTAGTAGGTAAGCAAATCGTCTGATGGACAAGCTGATCCAGTTTCAGGAGCATTCTTATCAGTAGCAACAGCTTGACTTAACTGTCTGTTCAGTTCCTCTTCATTTGACAAAGTAGACAACTGAATGTCAATTTCTCGCAGGTCTTGGTCTGGCGCTGGCAAATTTTCAAGAGGTATATTTTATTTTTTGGTTGTGCGTTTAATCAGATTAACAATTTCGTTTAGCATTTCATTTACTGTAGGCCGATAAAAACAGTTTTATCTTCATTTTGAATGTTCTCAAATGAATGTTCTCTCTTTACCCGGATTTGTCAAGTTACTGTAGTGTGGCTGCTTGAGTTAGTATTTTTTTTGGGTATCGTTTGCCAAATGCAGTTGCCATTTTGTTACTTAGTGGTGTCTTTATTTCATCCATTTTTTTCAATGCAAATTTTAGGGAAACATCAGCTGTAAGTAATGTTGCATCGCGTCGACATAGCGCCTCGACGACAGTTTTAATAACATCCAATATTTTTGGATCTCATCTTTATTTCTCCAGTCATCATCAGTAAATACAATATCTGTTTTTAAATCAATTAAAGCTTTAATTTTAAAAAAAATCATCACCGGCAACACCCCGCACAACGCGCGACGAGCTTCACTACACCCTCCCCTTTCCACTGCTCCACACTTCACTCTATTCATGTCTTGAGATGGACGCGCGGAACGCGAATTTAACTTGCAAGGCTTGTTTTATTGGTAGGAACGTAGCAACGAAGCTACTTTTTACGTAATAAAGAACAATTTATCAAAGCGTCATTTTTATTCCATTTACTTATTATTGCATTCGAAGTGGCTTAAACTAAATAAATAACAATAACAAAAGTATTAAAAAAAAACCCGAAACTGGACCGCATGCGTAGCATCCGCAAAGAACAATTTCATATAGGTATCTATTGTAAAGCGTGATAAACGCACGCGGGACGCGGGGCGCTGTGCGGGGCGTCACCCCGGTGCGGGGTATCCGCATGCGTAAGCGCTGCCTACAACTTCAGTGCCCATTTTAGAGTCGAGCTGGGCGCACGCGCCGTATTGTACTACCGAAATGAAAATCGATACAGAACGAGTAATCATTGAAGTTCATCTGCGGCCCGTTTTGTGGGATAAACGCAATGAATTATACAAAAACAGGGACGCGAGGGAGGCTGCATGGAGAGATATTTTGAAGGAATTGGCACCTAACTACGAAAATTTGAGCGAAGAGGAAAGAAAAGAGGCGGGTATGTGTTTGGTTCATTATTTTATTTATACAAGCATCATTACTTTATTAATATAAGCATAATTATTTAATTCACAAATAACATCAAAAACCTTCTAAAACCTTTTGAGTTTAGTTAATTAATTATATATCGGTGTTGCCAGGAGACTTTTCCTTCATTGATAAAGTAATCTGCAAATATATCTCTGATATTACTTGCCGACGTATTACTACTTTCAGTCTGCTGCCTGGGTAGTGGTCCCGTAAAACCATTTGTGACAAATGTATGGCTGACCTTGTAGCCATCCCGTTTCCTTATGAAATTGTGAAGTACACATGCCGTCTTGACTATTAATTGTGCTAGATCTAACTTGACATTCATGGATCTGTGAAATATTCTAAATTTATTTGACATAATTCCAAAAGTGCATTCTATGTACCTTCTAGCTCTGGACAGACGGTAATTAAATATTTTCTTTTTTGTAAGGTAAATTATCACGAGCATAAGGCCGCATCACATGTGATGATAAACCAAATGCCTCGTCTCCCACTATCACGAACAGCAACTTTGCTCTTACACTAGATGGATAAGCTACTTCGGGGCAAATAATAGGCAACTCTTGCGGGTCAGGGATACCCAACGTGTTACTTTCCAGTTTCGTATACAATTGACTCCTTCTAAAGATGGTTGAATCGGCGTTGCTTCCACTGGTACCGACATTAATATATGTAAAATTATAATCAGCATCACACATTGCGAGGAGCACTACAGAATAATATTTCTTATAATTAAAATATAGTGATCCACTGTGCGGCGGCCGAATCACTCTTATATGTTTTCCATCAATTGCACCCAAGCAATTAGGAAAATTTGTATATGTGAGAAATCCCTCTGCGATTTCTTTCCATTTGATCCCATTAAGCTGTGGAATACATTCAGACTTTAGTTCAATCCATATTATGTAACAAACTTGTCTTACTATTTCGCTAATTGTTGCAATTCCAATCACATAGGAATAGTGTAGATCAGTGAATGTATTACCAGTTGCCAAATATCTGAAAACAAAAACAATATATTAATAATATGATAACATAATATATTAATAATGCTGACATCAGACATAAGACAGCATGCACCGCTCGAATTTTACTTCAGAAGAAAAATAAATACCCTTAAGGTGAAAGGGCACGGAAGTAGCTAGCGCTAGAAGTTTTTAATTCGTTTTAACTACAGTACTATAGCTACGTTAGATTTCTATGATTTGCCGAAAATTTTATCATAGGGGGGTATTTATGCAGTTATGATTTCATATGAAAAGTTCGAAGTATAGTTATGTATCTCATATCTGCTAAAAGTGGCCACTTTTAGCAGATTTGAGACACATAACTATGCTGTAAATATTTTATAAGAAATCTTCTCTGTATAAATTAACCCCTATGGTAAAATTTCCGGCAAATGAAAGGAATCTAATAAATATATATAATATAATATAATGAAATATCGTTTATTTCAGGCAATATTTACATTACAAGATGTCCTCCTTCATGAAGGTTGACAGATGCAAATAAAGCAAATTTTTGTTAAAACAAATTAAAAACTTACAGCGCTAGTGACTTCCGGAAGTTTTCACCTTAATTTTGATGATGGCAAATTTTACTGTAACAAATAAACAAATTGCCCGATTCAATCCGGTGTTTTTCCAAAAATCCTTAAATGAAGTTCTAATTATTTTTGTAAAAAATGAATTATTTCGTCGATGTCTGCGCCGCGCCGCCCCGGCCGCGCCGTCTGCGTCTAGTATAAGATTCACTTTGCGCTATCGTTCGCGGCGAAATTGACCGGCCTGCGCCGGCCCGCCGTTTGCGTTGCGCCTAAGGGTACTTTTCCTTCAACTGCGGCCTTATTTTTCCACTCTGTATAGGTATATATATATTGCTTGATTTATCTAATGCTTCATGAGACAGTGTAAAGTTGACAACATGTGTGAATTAAGGAGGGCCTTTAATCGAATGCAGTTAAATTTCCAACTAATATCAGATTTGTACACACGGCCACAGATCAAGCTTCCCAAAACCAGTATAAACAGGACTCATGCGTTGTTTATTATCGTAGACGACTCGGCGCCCGGCGAGGCCCTAGCAAGTTCCGTTTATTGGTACTGGTTTTGGGTAACTTGATCTGAAACTGTGTGTACTTTTGCCACTTACTTATTATATTTTGTCATTTCAGACAAGAAAATACAACAACGCTGGCGAACAGCAAGGGACACTTACCAGAAAGACAAGATATCTGAAAAAAATCAGCCATCCGGCTCTGGGAGTAAGAAGAAGAAGAAGAAATATTCTTACTATGACATTTTGACTTTCTTAGACAGTACAACGGAAACTGCTGGAGAAGAGTCACTCTGTGAAGAAATGTCTGAACAAAGTAATTTAGAAACACCTAATGAGTCCACGCAACCAGATACTTCACGTCAAGAAAGTTCTCACCCAACATCAAAACAAAAACAAGTAAAATCTAAAAAGCAAGCACCATCTGAATTTGAGGCACAGTTATTAGAATGCTTAAAGTCTAATCAACTGGAGCTAGAAAGTGAGGATTTGGCTTTCTTTCAGTCTCTGCAGCCTTCATTAAAAAGATTCACTAGATATCAAAAACTAATGTTCAGAACAAAAGTGTTAAATATAGTTATGGAAATGGAAAGTCAAACACAACCTGCATACTACAGTCCCATACCTACAACAAGTTCTAGTGCTTTTACTGAGCTTGACAGTTTGTCACTGATAAATTGTCACCAAACCAATAGTATAATCCAGGATACTTCGAGTCTTAACGACAATGCTATTAGTTCTGCTGCAGTGAATGACAATGAAACTCTTATTTCGACTGAAAGCGGCCTGTTTAATATCACGTCTTATGACGTAATTTATACCCCAGCAACAACATCATCTACAGGCGAAAGTAATGTCAACGCTCAGGATACAAATTTACAAAGAAATGAATGATGTAAAATTTGATTTTTTAATTTATGAATAAAACTCTTTTTATTAAAATGAGTACGATTAACTTTTTTTCTCCAGTTTCTCTCTAATTGTTTGTTTAGTCATATGAGTGCGGTTGTACACACGGCACAGATCAAGTTACTCAAATCCAGTATAAGCGGGACTCCGACGGGTTACCTAAGTATGATAATACGCAAGGCGCGAGTTCCATTTATGCTGGTTTTGGGTAACTTGATCTGTGGCCATGTGTACTTTATCAGATAAAAAAAAAGGATTGTGTATGTAGGTTGAACGTACCAATCCCAAACCAATTAAGGACTTTTTTTTGACTTTAAATTACTGTCATGTGCAAACCTATAACTTTTATCTATATTATAATAAGTAGCGTGTGATGAAAGGTAGGAATGATTCCACTTTAATGGCGACATTTTATGAGTGAAATAATCTTATTTAATGAAATTTCAACATGAAATTGAATGAAATTATGAACAATGAAATTTCAGAGTACATGACAAAATTTTTTTTTTGCACATGTAAATTTACACATGACAGTAATTTGAAGTCAAAAAACGTTTATCCTACCTGTTCAAATCCCTTTCCACTAAATCATAGCAGGAAATTAAATATTTAAAATTTAAAACTTACCTTAATGTAATAGCGAGCCTCTCAATCGGTTGTATTGTAATCCTTCGTAAACTGCTTTTTTTGTAGCTTATTCTCAATTTTACACAACAGTTCATCAAAAGAACGAATGGACATTCGAAAGTAATTTTTAAATTTACGTTCATTATTTTGTAGTTTTCCAAAGCGTGTAACAAACGCCCCAGCAAGAAGCCTATTTTCAAGAAAGGGATCAACATGTACTCTTGTCTTCTTGTTTCGTCGTTTGTAAAGTATGTAAGCGACACATATTCTTCTGACATTGATCATTTTTGAACACGTCTGTACCGTTACGCAGCCCGTAGAAAACTGAAACTCATGCTGCGTATGATCCGCAGCGTGAAATTTTACGCATGCGGTCCAATCCCGCGTGCGTGAGCAAATCCGCGTGACACTAAAAGCGCCCTAAACCCGGGTTTTTTTGTAATCCTCAGAACCGGGAAAACCCGGGTTTTTTTCGGTCCGGGTAAACCCGGGCTCGATGCCCTAAATAAAACCATCAGGCTACCTTGGCCTTGATCTGCGCCTCGATGGCGTCTGCCTCCTTGAGCTTGCCGATGCTGCGGTAGTACTCAGCCCACTGCGCGCTGTAGTCGGGCGCATTGCTGGGCGTGCTGCTGGGCGGAGTGCTCGCCGGCCCGCTCGTCTGGCTCGGGCTGCCCGAGTTGGATTGATTGTTGGGTCCGCCTGAAACGTACAACACTCCAATATATTCTTTCGTAGATAATTCAGTAATTCCACTATTTCTACTTTACTCATCACAGAACACAATTTGACAAAAAGAGCTGTATCTCTCAAAACTAACACCAATTGCGAAAACTGTTTTGTGTTTAGTTGTTTCTGCATTCTTATTAGGTATATTAATATGTAAGTAATTGTTGTATTTATATATACTATATGTGATGTGAATTTAATTTTTGAAGTGAAAACTTCTTTAGCGCGCGTTTTACACTTTTTTTGGAATGGGTAAAAAAAAATTAACTCGCGTCAGGCCACGTGACCTGATCGAAAATTCTTAAGACGGTTGGAGAGTAGACAACTGGCGCGGCGTATTTAATGTAATATAAATTGTCATGTTTGTGCGATAGCGTAAATAAGATAAACGATAGTACTTTTAGGCTAAGTTCAGATGACCGCGCGCGTAGCCGCGCGTCGCCGCGCGGTTGGAGCATTCACATGACGGTATATGTACGCGCGGCAGTGTGGCTTCAACATTGATTGACAATGGACGTGGAGGAGGCAATTTGCTTATGAATTTTATATAGAAGACTGAGACGTCGCAGAAGAAGACAAAGACGATACTGGGTGCATCCAATTTTAAGTGACAGACTTCTTTCCAGCCTGTTTGTCACTTTGTATCCCGACTTGAGGTTACACAAAGATAATTTTTTTAACTATTTCCGGATGTCAGTTGCATCCTTTGATTTTTTATACGATTCTATTGAAAATGATTTAAAATCCAGTGAAGATGCTATACCCAACCAATGCACCAAATACTTAATACCATATCTACGGTACTAATTTTACATCGATCTATGTGTCTTTCCGTCTCAAGCCGCGCGGATCAACTGAACAGGTCGATACACGCTTGCAAAACTTGTGCCGCGCGCGGCCGCGTGGAAGCGCGCGGGACAAGATCTTGCGCGCGGGTCGGAGCGCGCCGCGCGTTGGCGCGCGGTACCGCGCGGTAATGTAGACGATAATTACCGTTTATATTGATCTTGTACCGCGCGGTTCGTAGTTCCGCGCGGTACCGCGCGGTCATCTGAACTTAGCCTTATACTGATAATTAAAGCAATTCGTGCAAAATTATTCCCTAACCATTCCAAAATATCAAAAATGCACTATAATAATATTCAAGTTTTCACTTCTGCCGGCACTCCCGGAGTGCAACCCGTCGTTTTAAACTAACTGCAACTAAGAGTGTAAATAATTGTTTAATATCAAAACCTAGATCTCCTGTCAGCATATATTATTTATATACCAGTTTAGTTATAAGGATAGAAGTCCTGTTGCATTATCCTTTTATCAAATCAGGGAGGCACACAATAAAACTGAACACAAATTGTTAGAGACAAAATATGTTTTATTATTCAAGCAGTATACAAAATATATGGTCGACAAACATCAGAAATTTTTATACTTTTAAAATCAAAATAAGTAAAAAGAGACTACATACATATATATCATAAACATGTGATACTCACAAAATAGAGACAATGAAGTTATTACAATTTTGTTACCCGTTAATAACAAATTCATAAACTTAAGTTTGTTAAAATTGGTATCCGGAATTGTGGTCAGATATTACCTAAATCTTTTCATACATTAACCACACTCACCCATTTGCTGCTTAGCCTGCTGCTCGATGGCTTCAGCCTCCCTCATGAGACCGAGAGACCGGTAATAGTCTATCCACTGCTGGGAATAGTCTGGCTGTCCGGTCGCAGGATTTATCTGCACTTGTTGTTGCTGCAAGATATTTCATTTCAATACATGTCAGAACCATCAATCAATTACTTGGTAAGCTTGTTTCATTATTTGTGACTGATATATCTGACTGATTAAAAAAAATTATAATGAATATAAAACATTAATTAGCACATAATAATGTCCCAGATGTCTACTTATAAGACCTAACCTAGGAAATACAGTGGAAACTCTTTATAACGTTACTCGTTTAAAACACTGTATAACGTAATTTGTTGCATTTGTTTGGTTTAACACAAAACCCATACATTAATTCATTCTTTATAACTAAGAACATTTAAGTGTAATTGTTTGTTTTTTTTTATTTTTTTTTGTTTGTGTTTCTAAGAAAGACACCTGAGGTCATAAAGAGTCTCGCCTATCTTATTGTAAATTGCATTAACACGTACGCCATTATTCTTAGATTACATTGCCTGTCACAGGCCACAGCAAAGTACGTCAGGCATAGTTAACAGAATATGTGTTTAGAATAATTTACCTTTTGATAGTAATAAAATTAGAAATTTTTGTAATTGGAAAAATTTGTTGTTTTTTCTCTGCCCTCCGTATAACGAATAAAATGCAAGCCTTGAAATTCGTTATAAAGAATTTACACTGTACCTAAATGTAATTTTACTAAATTCAAAAATCTGTCTCAATTTACACGAAACCAAGCGAAAGAGACAACTATATCTTCTTGACCCTCACCTGTTGCTGCTGCTGCTGATGCCAATGCGGGTTGTAACCCCAGGCGGATCCACCGCCTTCCCCGCCACCTCCGCCGCCCCCGCCCCCGCCGCGGTAGTACTCCCCACCCCCGTTGTTGCCACCGTTGCCGTTATCGCTACCCGGGCCGCCCCCATCGGGGATAAAGTTTACTGGCTAAAAAGTAAAAAAAAAAACCATTACTCCCAATATAACTATAAAAAAACACGTCACGGACTTTAGGAAAGTCGCTAAAAATAAAGTTTCTTCTTTTTTTATGTAATAGAAGGCGGAACGGGCGGGAGGCTCATCTGGTGTGAAGTGATACAGACGCCCGTGGACACTCACATGTCAGAAGGCTCGCAAGTGCGATGCCGGTCTTTAAAATTTAAAATGTCTAAACTTTGATAGCACAAAAGCTTCGATAATCCATAGAATTTGCATAATTGATGTACACTTTTCAAACAAATTGAAAAATGTTGTATTTCCATTTTGTTTTTCTATTAGATTTCACATATCATTCCTTGTTCTCGGTTACTAATAGACTTTTGTTTAAAAATCACCCATAAAAATAAATCAACAATTTCTAAACAGCACAGAATATAAGATATTTGTAACAGGTTTAAGAACACTAGTAGAATATAAGCAGAGAATAGATAATCTCACCCAGGCTTTCTTAGTTTTATTAGCGTGGATATTGCCTTCAGTTAAACCGAGAGTATAGCCAGACGCAGCCACTCTTTTCAGCACATTACATTCATTTAGCATTCTATGTACGCGAGGAGTAACATCCTCTATTATTTAAAGGATCCTGATGACGCAGGAATCGCAGTAAATAAATATTTATTTATTTCCTTATTCTATTTTTACAGCAAATTAATACAAAAGAAAACTTATTAATATAAAAATAATAATGCAATTCTTGTACATCTAAGGACCTTAAAATGTAATATAATGTGATAGTAAGGTAAATGGTAACTCACCATGCCAACCTTCTCCATGATGATACGTTTGCAGCTTTCGACGGCATCAGGATGTCCCTTGATAAAGAAAGTCCGGTTCACTCGGTCTTGGTTCTGCGCGCGTCGGTCCAACTCGCAGTGCGCGCCCGATTGAGCGTTAATTTGCTTAATTACTTCGCCACCTATAAAATTTATTAAATTATACAAGCTTTAAAAGACGTAATCAGAAAGAGTTTTCTAATGCTTTGGAATTGATAAGAATATAATCAATTCTTAGTATTACAGTCAAAACCGTTTACGACGACATCGTTTGGTCGACATACCGGTTATATTGACCACAATCAAAGATCCCGGCTGAATTCTGTTGTATTAGGTTTTTAATAACAACGTTCGGCTGTTACGACCAAATATAAGTAGTCCCTTCGGTGTCGTTATAATGTATTTTGACTGTATCTTTATAGATATATAATTCTACTATTCGTTTGTATGTCACTGAATTCCTCTTAAACTGGACAGATTTTGATAATTTTTTTTTAGGATTTGTCGAGAGTAAAGGACTGCTGATTTTCATTATCTATTCTAATATTCCTTAAATAAGTTTTATTATAAAAATAGTTCTGTGAGATATTAAATTTAATAATAAAAACTATATTCATGATGAACCTATTTCTGCAAAGGTTGTAACAAAATTCATCTACATATTTATAGACTGTAAACTTAATTGAAACTAGTTGGAACACCGTTTAATAACATAAATCTGATAGAAATAAAAATATGTATAATCAAAATTACACCGGATTTTATTTAATTAATCATCTGTCTCTTTTTCACGCAGCATAAACATAATTTGACAAAAAGAGACAATGTTCAAAGCCAAACAAATAATTAATTCTAAATCTCACCTCTGCCAATAATGAGTCCACACTTGACATTGGGCATCGAGAAGGTGACCCTGACTTCTGGACTGTTGTCCTGCCACTGCTGGGAGTCTCGGTCGTTGCCCGGGTTGTTGTTCTTGTTGCCCGCGCGACCGCGCCCCGAGCGAATTGCCAACTGTTCAAATGACTGTCTTATACATAAATGTACTATAATATTTGATTCAAAAGTCAAAAATCATTAGAAGCTAGGGTTTCCTAGAAAAGCGATGTTGTTATATAACGGCCGTAATGTAACGTTGGGTGACGTCACCCATACGTGGTCTATAAATAACGTCGGAGTAGGTTTTCTAGAGAACGTTGAGTGTCACCGTAACGTCAAATAGCGGTGCTGTCATTTGCATGACGGCTGTCATAGCGGTGATAAACAGCCCATATTTAATTATTACAATGAGTGGAAACGTGACTTGGACGAGCGGAAATGATGTTTTTTTTTCATTATGTTAAAAAGTCAAGACGGCCGTTATTAACAACCGTAAAATGACGGCCGTTAGTTAACGGCACCGCTTTTCTAGGAAACCTAAGCTTAACACAATGTACACTTATGAACGTCAAAAAATAAAATAGACATTAAATGCTTCTAATTTTATATTTACTGCCAGTTCTCAAATCAAGGGCGTAGAACGGTAGAGAAGAACTGGCAGTAAACTCTCCGCCACTCTTTTTAATCGCCTTGTTTTTCTTTTACACAACGTTTGTAAGGAGGTGCAACCATTGCACCACATGACATCTTAAGTAATAAATAATAATAAAATTATGTTGCATACATTTTATTAATACTTTATCAAGTGCTTTCCTTGATTATTTTAGTTATAGTTCACAAATAGGGGATAGTTGTTATAGTAATGTTGACAAGTGACATAATGCCATCAAATAATTATTAAAAAAGATAAAACAGAGAAATATGCTCCATACTTTTACGAGTTATCCAAATATTGCGAGTGAAACGACCAATTTATTAATAAATAATAAAAGAGCAGTTTGCGCCTAGTGGCTTCAGCGTGTGACTCTCATCCCTGAGGTGGTAGATTCGATCCCCGGCTGTGTACCAATGGACTTTCTTTCTATATACGCATTTAACATCGGCTCAAACGATGAAGGAAAACATCAAAACATCGTGAGAAAACCGACTTGCCTTAGAACCAAAAAGTTGACGGTGTGTCAGGCATAGAAGGCCGATCACCTACTTGCCTATTAGATTGAAAAATCATGACTCAGATACAGAAATCTGAGGCCCAGACTTAAAAATGGTTGTAACCCCACTGATTATTTTTAAAAGATAATGCAAAAAAGCCTTTTTATTTCTTGCAAAAGAACAAAGTAAACTTAATCCTATTATATATTCTTTTATAATAAAATTTATTTAGTTTTCAACTCTGATTTTTCTTTCCGTAGATTTCTGACATTTCATAAGTACTACTAAAAACTTCTCCAAGAAAAATTGACAAATTTGAGTTATTTGCAATGTGACCTAATACAAAAATATTTCATAACATTTTATACATCAAATTAACTTTAATTACTTTATTTTATTTTTTAGCTGGCATCACTGCCTACTAATTCCAGGTATAGTAAACTTTAAAAAAATATTTAAAGTTATCTTTACTTGTGCGTTTTTTACTGTTTGTGATGAAAAGGGACGTAATTATCACTCGCCGTAAAACCACTTTTAATGTGAACCACCGCATTCAATAAAATGGATACATTCACTAACAAATAAAATTTATATATAGACTCAGATGTTCAGACTTGTATTGAAATTGGAAAATGTGTCCGGCCAAAAAGGTATGCCAAAAAATGATAGTTGTCAGAATTCTACGGAATTAAAAATCAGAGTATATCTAGATCTATTGACATCATTCTTAACGAAATTAACAGACCACATAGACAGCCAGGGATCGAAGGTACAACCTGAGAGTCGGTTTGAGGCGAAAAAGCTTCAGTTAAACTGCATTTTAGAAAATTGCAATTATATGAAATTTGAGGTTAGGATAAATTTTCAAATAACTCACACTCACATTAACACTGTTAATCAAATCTTCAATCATCTGCCGGGCGTGGTCCACTTGATGCGGAAGACCTTGCAGATAACACCTGGTGATAGAAATATAACTACAATGAAAACCGTTTATGACGACATCGTTTAGAACAACACACCGGTTATATAGACCAAAATCAAGGAACAAGCTGTCGGCTGAATTCTATAATCTATTGTATTAGGTTCTTAATAACAACGTCATCGGCTGTTACGACTATCGAAAGTGATTTTTAAAAGGTGACATTTTTTATTGTGATTATTAAAAGATGACATTTTTAATAATTGATTTTCAAAAGGTGACATTATTTATTAAGTTATTTTTAAAAGGTGACATTTTTTAATAATTGATTTTCAAAAGGTGTCATTTTTTATTAAGTTTTTTTTAAAAGGTGTCATTTTTTAATAATTGATTTTTAAAAGGTGACTTTTTACAACTCCTTGGAATCAAATGGTAACATTTACTTAGTGTATGATCAAAAAGTTTTATCATACCATAAATATTTTAATAAATATTGGCTTAATTCAAACGTCTACATAAATACTTTTATATACCTACTTACATACATTCAAAAAAGTATGTTAGACATTTAAACAAACTCTTGTCTCTTTCTGGCAAATTGTGTTTTCGCTGTGATGAAAAGAGACATACGCTTTAGCTGAACGGTGAAATTGGGATTGATTATTTATGTGTATCAATAAAGGAGAATGAGAATATATTTGACATATTCCCGAATATGTCAAATACACTAAAAGTCAATCATACTGACCTCTTATCTCCCGGGCCCTCCTCCCTCTCCTGGTGGAACTGGACCCTACATCCCGAGTCACTTTGAATCTTTTTAATCATATCTCCGTTGCGTCCGATGACGACACCGACTGCCGTTTTTGGTACCAAAACCTATAAGAAAATATTAGAATTGAGTCAATCAATAATTTAAAAACATTCTGTAGCTAAATCAGAATTTAATTGCAGTAAATCTGCTTAGGTTATACTTGAATGGCCTCATATTCTTCAGACCCATGGTTATAAAAATAATGTTTTTTTTGCTCGTTTATCGAGGTACCACTATTAATACTAATTGAACAAGTTAATGTCAGAAAATTATTTTAGTTTGAGTCTATTGAAAAAGACAATTTCATCATAACGTAACTAATACAGGCGAAACCGCAGGACACAGCTAGTTATTAGCTAGGAGTGATTTATATACATTACGGCATGTCTGAAAAGTTTAAAGTCACATATAATTTGCTAATCATTATTACATGGCGCTACAACCCTGAGCTGGTTTAAACTTGTTTCTAAACTAATGGTGGTTGGGAAGGACCGTGGTTCGAATCGGCAATATCATTAGGGTTGATAATAAAATAAGGGTACGATTTGCCTACACATGAAGCGATCTAGGGTGATTTCCACCACTTCTCCGATATTGTTTCCGATTTTAGAAGCGTGTGTAGACGCTTTTAGACAGTTTTTTGCTTCAACAAAGAGATCGGTCGAGTGCGCCTAACCATTTCTTATGTAATATAACTCACCTCACTCGATGTAACACCATTGCCCTGTTCCGCATAATTATCGTCAAACCCGCGACCTCCGCTCTGTCCGCCTTCTTTGTCCTGAAGCAACTCGTACACCAACTGCTTGGCGTGCTCTACTTTAGCCGGATCGCCGGATATACGGAGTGGCTTTTCCTATTCATCAGTATTTGATACATACATTTTTGTTGCTGAACACTTTTATAAATAAATCAGTCAATCAAATTGATAGATAATACAGTAAACCCCCTTATAACGCGTTTTCATATTACGCGATTTCCGTCCCTCGTATAACACGGGTGGGAATGCAATCTTTATATTTCTCCACTGTGGCATTTCTAATGATTTGTACGCACTTATTACGATCATACAATAGTATTTTCAATTTAAATCCCCATTAATGAGAAAACCGTGATTAAAATTGAATTGTTTGTACATAACGCTTTATATAACGCTTGTATGGGTCATACAAGCGCGTTATGCGAGAGTACTCTTACAACGCGTTTCCTATAACGCGGAACTAATCTATCGTGTTATAGAAGGGATTACTGAACTTTAACCAAGTATATTCTAATTTAAAGCAGTTCAAGTATCATCAAAAACGGTTCAGCAGTTTGTAGATATGGGCACCAGTTTTCATAATAAGGCAGAGAGTTTACAAGAGAATAGTTGGACCTGTTAAAGTGAAAAACATCAATAGTTATTACCAAATTAGCTAAAACATTTTTTTTTGTTGGCCGAGTCACTTGGTTTAATGGTCCCAACTTAAAGTTTAGTGATAAGGCAAAAAATAATTCTTACATATTCCGTGTTCGGTCCATCCTGAATGACCACCATTTTGGCTCCAGACTGCTCTTGCAACTGCTTGATGGTTTTACCATTTTTACCAATGATGAGCCCAACTTTGGGACCCGGTAGCATTATCTCATCCTGGATAATTAAAAGAGTTACTTCATCTCCGTGTCATAAAAAGTTTTTAGTATTTAAAATTGCTACATTTTGTTTAGTAATTTTAAGAGTTTAAATCACCTAACATTGTAAAATGTGCTTTCTGGTTTGTTTTATGTTCTTTGAGCAAAAATTTCTGTTTTGCTCTCTCCTTTGAGACTTACAAACTTTAGGTAAAATAGAAATACAAAAAATATGGATACTTGAAAGAGAATAGAATCTTTTTCATTAGCATATGGCTGAAATTATTATTATTACCTGTATTAACTCAACATTAAAAAAGAGAGGTAATTTTCCTATCGAAAGCACTATTGAAAATAAGTGTACAATTTAAATATAACTCAAAACAACTTTATTAATATTAGGTAACTAAATACACTTATAAACGTCAACAGAAAAGTTGTTAAATTGATTATAAATTTACATTTACTACCAGTTTGCAAGTCAAGGGCGCAGGGCTGGCTAGAAACTCTCCGCCACTTTTTTTAATCGCCAAGATTTGAGTCATACTAATTCTTTGTAAGGCAGAGCAGCCATAAATATTTTAACTAACTTTGGATAAGGGAGCGTTCTAGTTTTACGTCACGCAATTTTTGAAGATATTTGACTCGCTCCCCCTCCAAGTAACGCTCCGTAACGTTTTTCTGTACCCAAGTATAGTAAAACGTTTCATAACCACTTAACCACCTAGTGATTCATCTCTTTTTTGGAAAGACGAAAATAATATTAACAATAACGCGTAATTCAATCTTACATAATACTTGAACACTCCCTAAAGTCTGATATGGTGCTTATAAAAAATGTAAGACTACATTGATTATATTGTGTTTGAATTTCATAATTAAAAATACTTACAGTGATGCCCAATCCACCACCACCACCGCCGCCGCCGCCGCCTCCCCTAGGTCCCATGGGAGACATGCCCTGTTCGGGATGTTGTTGCGCGTTTTCCCGTCCACGGTGATTCACTATGTTATTTACAAGTTCCCTGAAAGAAAGAATATTATTCATTAATTTATTTATTTAAAATTTACAACACATTCAACATAGATATAGACGGAATTTTATATATAATTTGGCTTCAATGTTTAAGCTAAAGTATTTTTATGTATGTTTTAGTTTTTATAATTTTGACTGTATCATTTGCACCCATGATTTTAAATTTTAAGTAAATTTTACAATTTGTGTCCTTGCTTCATTTGTATACATATTGACAACTTGATGTTATCCTCAAATGATTCAAATATAAGTTTAAGTTTAAAATCGTGACCAACATAGACCAACCATCGAAAATGGCATAAATCTGTCAAATGGACACAGAATGTTGACAGTGAGGTTAAAGCTTGTCAAATGGTCATGAGATTATCGTTAGCATTACTTTGGACTTAAACTCATCTCTGAATTTTTGACATACATCAACAATTCTAAAAAACACCATAACAATGGAAATATGAAATGGTACTTAAAGAAAACTATGGTACACTTGCATAAATCTATATCTTTATCTTATTACTGTAAAAACACAAAATAATACAAAATAACGGAAAACAAAATCATTTTTTATGACATTTTTATTATGAAACATGCTAATTGCATAAATTTGACTAAGACTAATGATGATTATTGAACTCCTAACATTTGATTATTATTTGTATAAATGTTGACAATATTAAGGCATGCAAAATGTTTTTCTAGTTTTTTTTCAATAGAAGTGTCATATATTGTACAAAGTCTATAAGTGAAAGTGCTCATATTTTTGTTCTTAACAATACCTACCTATATTTACACTACTGTACGGTCAGTTTGCTTCTATAAAAAAAATAAGCAATAAAAAAACAATTACTTTGCCCTATTAATAGCCTCTTGCGACCCTGTAAGGGTACAGAGACGTTCTGCTTGACCGGAATCAGGGGCCATTTGAATCTTGCACCCTGTCTCTGCTTGCAACCTTGTGATCTGCTCTCCTCCACGACCAATGACTGCCATCAATAATTATTTCATTAATAAATTAACATGCTAAGGCGATTATACATTTTTTTTTCAAGAGTCCATTTAGCTATGTTTCAGGAACAATATTAAAATGGATTCAAGGAACTGCTGATATATAAATGGGTTTTCCCCCAACAATGTTCTTGTTTGTTCTTCTTCACATCTTATTGTATAAAGTGTTATTTTATATCTATTATAGATGTCTCCTTGAAAGCATTTTGAAATATCCCTGTAAATGTTAGAAATGAAGCAAAAGCCTTATTCACCAATTCAATTAGCAGGTCTACATTTACTCACTGAGGCCGACCATTTTATCAGGAACCCTGATATAGTCATTAATAGCCTGGTCATTCATCATGTTCGGGGGCCCGGATGGAGCAGGCGGAGATGCAGAATTAGCAGCAAGACGTGCTGCTGCCGCGGCGGCCGCTGCTGCTGCTGCTGTTACACTGTACAATATTTTCACATTGACGGTCTTCAGAAATCTTCAGTATATTGTTTAAGGCCAAATTTTTCAAAATTTCTTAGGTGTATTCTTCTGAATATTGGAATTCAAAACTTCTAGTGCACCCAACAATTTGTTTTCAAAAATACATAATCTAGCAGTTTATAAAACTATACACAAAATTTTAAGGTAACAATCTTATACGAGCTTGTTTATTTTATAATGTATTCTTATAATTATGTATTATGGAGTTGTTAACCAACACCATTTATATTTAATGTATTAAACATAAAATCAAGAACACAACTTTACAGTCAAACAAGTCAAAATTAGATGTATTTTATATTAGAATATTGATTAATTATTATCAATAGTCTGAGAGATAAATATTGCTTTTAAAAATAAACTGGATACATTTTATGTAGTGTAGAAGCAAACTGACAATACTATGTTGCCCTTTTTAATAAAACCCTACTATCAGCCAATATATTGCACAAGTAATATATAATGCTTACATTTTAGCCAATAATTATACTTTTATAAAAACACAAATTAAAAATACACAATAATTAAAGCTATATAATTTAATTAATATATTTGAAAGACAAACTTACCTCATTGGAGGTGGAGAGTAGGGAGGTTCTGCTGATGCAAGTTTCTTTGAGCTTGGTTCTGGTCCGTCGTCTAGTGATCTCTTATTTCCACCAACTTCAATTTTGGCGGCTACCTACGAGAAACCCCATTAAGTATATTATTTTCTTGCTACGTAGATACTGCTTTCGAAAGTAGGTTAGGATTTGAAAGTTATTGTTAACACTATTTGACAAGGTTCTTCACCTTGACAATACACAAGCATAGTAATTAATGATGGTAGATTATGCCTAAACGGCATAATATTGGAGGGTAAGAACCCAGAAAAATATAGGTGTACAATGCAAGACATTGTCTTACCAATTTCGCACGTTGTAAAGCTGCCGCAAATCCCCCTGTGACACTATTGTTTTGAAGCGTAGCCATAGAAGAATAATCACTCATGTTTGAACTAGAGTAAACATTCAATCACGCAATACGGCAGCCATTAATAAGGATCAAAAGATCCAAATAAAAATTTGGCCACTGTCGCAAACTCAAGAAAGAGACGCGTCCATTGACCATAAACTATATGAAATCATAGAATTTTGTGACAGGCGCGACGACAATAACAACCAATCGAATCAATATATGTTTTGACAGTTCGCCAGTTATAGGATTGTAACGATTGCAATTGGTAGAAAGAACTGATAATTTCTAGTCGTAACCAGATCTATCAAAAATCCTAAAATCGATTATGTGTCTAATATACTTTTTAAGAACTTAAATGGAATTATAACAACGATAGTCTAGGTAGTGATATTAAATATGTTTTAAAATAACATCACGTCGTTAGTTTAAAAAAATACGTATTGCACTCTGTTCGTTTTCTAATTATTTTGAGTATTAGTTTTTTCGAATTTGTTGTCTATGGATCTCGTACGTTTCGTTTACCGCGAAACATCGTACGTTATGATATTTTTATATATCCATATAAAAACCTATTAAACACGATTTCCCAATAATAAAATATTTTTTTCTAATAAAGCAAGAAATTCAAAATCCATTGTTACAAAAAGCAAAATCGTATTGTTATTATCCTTAAAGAATGCATATTACATACTGCATTGTGTGAAACGAAACGCAAACTTTTTTTTTATGTTGTGAGTGCGTGCATTTGTGTTGTCCGGTGTTTGAAGACGCTTGGAATTTCGCTTTCAATATCTTCGTAAGAAAAATGTCGGGTGATACCGATAAAGCAAAAATCAGTGATAATCAGGTATAGTTGTGTCATTTGTTATTACAATATTTTTCTTTATATTTGTGTGAACCTATTGACGAGTTATGAACCTGTGAAGTGTTGTTATTTCCGTGTTATATCATAAATGTTTGCCTGCGTCTCAACATGGCTGACAGAACGTTTGCTTCCCGCGAAACGCGGGAACTACGCCACGAAGGGTTGTGATTTTAGTCAATAATATCATCAATAAACGGCAAATGCAGTATTGATCAGTTAAAGGAACTGATTCTAATGGGATAATTTTCAGTTTTTCGCTTATTTTACTACCCCCGCCCCTTTGCATTTGGCTGCAGGGTCTTTGTTAAATGTGCACGATATAGTATGACATTGATAGGAAATCCGCATGACCTTGATATTTTATTTCTTGCGAAATTTCTATTCAGAGGCATCGTGTTATGTTTTTGTAACATTGAGGCGCGAGTTCGCGCCTTCTTATTTTCCTTGCATACGCGCCGAGCGATGTAAATAAAAAGTAGGGCACCACAGACCCTTCGTTGAGCCTTCATTTTTAAACTATTTTTTGCATCTAGCGGTTTATCGCGATACACAAGTTTATGGTATGGAATCAAATATCAATATAAAAAATTCAATGACCTTAACATTTAGACATTTTAATTCGAATAATGCATATAGTTACTATGTACACAGTTGTATGTTGTATATATATTTTACATAGAGAACACGGTAGTACAAGTTCAAGTGTTGTAATCTAAGTCTTATTGCCTACTAAATAGGGTACAAATTCCATTGGCATTTCTGAGTAATGGTTTCTGCTAGTTAAGTACTGCCTCACTGACAAGCAGAGTTCAGTTTGAATAATATTTTTGATAATTTAGCAAAGTAGTTCTATAGTAAGCAAATGCATTATGTAAATAATTTTTATTCCAGTTCATGACTCATTAATAAGTGTAATTGTTCAATCTATTATTGTTGTTTATTGAAAGGTTTATAACAAGGATTTAAAACTAAGAAAGAAAAAATAATTTCACTGTAAAATAATGATTAACATAATACTAATATTACCTTAAGCATTGTGTTTTACAAAGATATTTTGTTATACAGGATGAGGACAAAAAGTCAGGTGCAGGGGACGGCCAGACTACAGAAGATGAATCATCCCAGGATTCCAAGGGTGAGTCGGCTGTACCTGAGGTGCAAGGTAACGCAGTAGATGAACCAGACAACAGTCAGCCCCCAGAAGGTCAGAATTCAGATACATGTTTTGTAACCATCTGTGCTGTGTTCATCAACTAACAATTGGGGACTGTATGGGTCGCTTGCAAAGATAAAGATAATGTTTAATTTCTATGTGGGTAAAAATGAGAGAAATTTGTCTCTAAATAATAACTGAAATGAGTCTTAAGACAATAATAATAATAATGACTTTAGTAAAGTTAAGTACTATCACAAGCAAATCGTCATAGTTGTAGAATAGTGATGGATCGGACAAATAGTAAACTTTACAGGGCAGCCATTTCAATGTTAGTTTTTGTCATAACTTTTTAATTCATATTCTGTTATTATGAAAATTAGCATACAAGCAAACAAACAAAACAAAATAATAACATTAAATTACACAGTTTTCTAGAAAAATCACATGTTTCTATCAAATCCGTCACTTTACTGACGGATTTATTGTTTTTATATATTTAAATGTTACCGTAATATTTCGTCAATGTAGTATTCAAATATGATATAAAGTGGATTTTAGATATTTTCAAATCCTACATTGTTCTACGATCATGACAAAATGTTTATTAATTAGATCAAATTTAGAATAATTTTACAGACAATTTTATCTTTTCTACAATTAACAAACTAGAAAGTATTAACACAAGTTATCTAAATTATACAAATTATTTGCTTGAGGAACTTTCAAAATGTTGTGTCAAAAGACAATACATTTCTGACTTAGCGCTTAATCTTGTTTCTAAATCTCACCCTGTTGCTTCCAGCATCTAACCTAACTTTATTGTTCTTATAGTAAAGAATTTTATATTGAACCAAGCTATATATTAAATAATACATCTGAAATTGTAAGTGGCCCATACTTTACATTGCTGTGTTTTAGTGTTGGGTTTTGGGGTAAGTGTGTGGGATTGGTATCACAATATTAATAGTATGATAAAATTAAATTTATGATTTTTAGAGGTTATTACAGTATTTCTAAGTAGGTCTTTGGGTTAATATATAATAATAATTATACATGGTATCTTTAATTTACTTTTAAATAAATCACTATTTAAATAAAAACATTTAAGGAATTTATAATTTTATAAGAAAATAAATATTATCATTATATAGTAAATATCTTTTAAAAAAGAAATTAAAAATTAATGAATATTAATATGCCATTGGTTTTGTATGGGAGGAACAAACAGATTTTTTTAAATAGAATACATTTAATTAATCAAAGTATGTACCATTGCTATCTATGCACTTTTTCTATCTTAAAAAACCATTCGGAATCAATAAAATCTTTGAAGGCGGTTTCGATTGCCCCATCAGAGTCAAATTTTTACCTTGCAAGAAGTTATCCAAATTTCGAAAAAATGGTAATCTGTTGAAGCAAGGTCCGGGGAATACGGTTGATGTCTTATACATTCCAATTGAAGCTCCTCTAATTTGATAGCATTGTGTTGTGCAGTGTGTGGTCTAGCGTCTAGCGGTCTGTTTTGTGGCCAGTACGACAACACGCCAATTCATATGTAAGGACCTAATATTTTTTCATTATTTCAAATCTACTGTGGTCTCATTTGTATAATAATAAAATTGTGTCAGTAGCTCTATATTTATCGACTTTTTATAGAGTAAACTTTAGCGTTCGGGGTTCGGGTTGTATTCAAAAACGAAACTTAGCGCGAACTATGCCTCCCATTAAATTTTTGACGTCCAGGAGTCACACTTGGTGCTTAAGGTCCGTGTGTCAAGAGTGCTGTCAAAATATCTCTCTCGTCTAATATTATTTAACGTACCTACTCGAAATCAATTATCTTGATAAAAATACAAAAAAAGCTCTTTTAAGTTAAAAAAGTAAAAATAATTATGAAAATTTATTAATCTGCAATGTCTACGATTTATCTGCGCGTTATCAGTCAAAGTTTTGTTGTGGCCGTGTTATCAACGATCAGCATGCCATTATTACGTTCCTTTATTTTGAGTGCGAAAAATTGGCTCGGAAACCGCGTTGTCTCAATAATCGATTATTTATACGGTTTTTATTTATTCACATAAATATATTAATATGGTTGACGTGTAATCGTTTTTTGGTATAATAAATAATATTACCTAGACTTCATGCCTCTACCATATCTCTTATAAATATTAATAAATTAAAGAATTATTAAACAAAACGAAAAACCTAAAACTTCAATTTACACCTTATCTGAGGAAATTTTAGGTATCTTTTATCTGCGAAGCATTAAAGGTTTAAATACATACTGTAACATAATGTATAATTTATTTTTGGTTTTTAATAATTTCTAAAAATTAAATTAATGCCAAAATTATAGCAAATATTAATAATGATTACTGAATCAACAACGCAGACTTATTTAATAGTTAAATAAGTTAGTGAAATATGCCTAATTTCATAGAGTAACAGGATTTTAAACCCGATTTACGTTACGGATTAATCAGCCTTGTTAATAAAGAGTTTGCTTGCTTGGGGTAAAATTTCGTTTCTCCGTTGGTGTATGAATTTCGTAATGTTAAACGTGCCATCCACCCTACTAGGACTTAGGAATCTTGTAAAAGTTGCATCATCAACTGTTTCAAACGGCGAAAGATTTAGCTAACAAATTTAATTATTAGATTAAAAAGAAAGTTGAAAAACTATTTTTATATGCATTTGTCGCGCTCCTAAATGAGACAGCTATTACTATATTGTTACATTAATACAAACCACAGTGGTTTTTAAATGTAAAATAATATATAAAACTTTTATTAAGCAATTTATTAATGAGTGTCTTTTAAATGCAGCTCTTAGTCAAAATTCAATTTTAAACCCCCATGCGTCAGGATAACATGGTTCTGTCTCACTATACCCGGTTGCTATGGAAATCTGTTCCATCTGAGTAAGATAGTTATTAAGTAGAGATTATATTTGTGTATGCGCACACAAATATGCACTATCGCCTTATTCATGAAAACTAAATAAGTTAAAATGCACCTTTTTTAATAATTATTATTTTTTAGTCACACATTAATATTTGTTAGGTTCTTCTTTTGGTGCCTCTCCGTTGAGCAGGTTGGCCGCCAATCTTTCAAGCGTATCTTGTTCTGTCCATATACACAGACTACACTACTTTTCCGTAGTCGCAATACCCGTACACTCCCTAACGTTAAACGGACATGAGTTTTACCTTCTACCAACACGCGGTTTACCCTGGATTTTACCCATTACAATTCATTTGAGATAGTAGCGGTCATGGCGCAACAAGTCGACCAATTTGTCCTTTCCGTTGCTTGATGTTTTAAGTTTTCTCGACTTTTTAATCAACAAGTTAGTCGTATAATCTTACAATAATATCTATATGTAACAAAAGATTCCTACATTAATAAAATTTTAAAGTACGAAAGATCGTCTCCTTCTCAAAGGTGCAAGTTATTTTTATTAGCTATACCTTCTGCGTAAAAGTATCAATAGAAAACGCTATAAGAACATAACCAATTGTACTGCTGCAACTCTACAAATAAATATGGTTCAACTAAAATAAGTCTTGATATCATAATCACTTGCTTAAACCAAGGCTGTTTTTTGTTGTACACGTGATGTAGCCAAATTTATTATGTAGTCAATTTCAACTTATAATTGTACATCAATTGTTGATCTATGAGTTTTATTGAGTTAAAAATTAAATTTATTAACCATAGTTTATAAAAAATCCTTCTTATACATGTAAACTAAATATAATTTATAACTTCCGGTATTTAGATATAAAATTCATATATCCAATTCTAGAATATAAAAACTATAAGTCGTATGAGTTGCAAGCTCTCAAGAGAACACCAATAGTACTAATGCAATGCTACTTCCAAATGGTGAATATAAAACAAATTGATTCCACTTGAATTCGCTCAATCCTCCTGTCGTTAGGTGTCCATAAGTTAGGAATTTTGTTTTCAAGTGCTCGTTTTTCCCCTGTACTATAAGTGTTGATTGGGCAGAATCCAGTGAAAGGGATTTCTAATAAATGCACGTGACTTTAATCGGCTGTAATTAGGGTGAACGAACTTGAACACGAATTCTATAGTTTCATTTGACAAAACTTAGCTCAGACACCGACCTTGATATATGTAAAAAGACTAATTTGCAACGCTAAGACAGTTTTAGTTTTTTTTGTACAGATTCTTCAAAAATTAATACAGGTTACACATCTATGTACGCTATGTTTTAATGTGTTAAGTTAATTCCGGGTTTTTTCATTAAAATATCTGTCGTTCTTCCTACGACTCGTATTTTTAAACCGTATAACAAAAGTGATCATAAAATGGGAAATGCTATTTTTATAGGAAAATTTGTTTTGGAATTCTGAAAGATTGAAATACACTAAAAAGTACGTGTTGAATTATAACCTTCATGGTTTTTTTTTGGAGTCGGTTACTCGAAAATGAATCAACACAGTAAAATAATAAAATAAAGATAAGAACTCACCATTACCTGTATCATTATTGCTAATAATCGTTTAAATCCGATGAAAACAGTATTTTCAAATCTCTAGAAATGAGTTTTGATGACTCAATCTACTGACGAATCTTGAGCTATCCGTGACTGAGAAGTCAGTATATATATAGCTCTTTGTAACTGGACGATCCGGTTCTTATGCCCGGCCTCCGAGATTTGTATATCGTTTAATGTTGTTTACACGAGTACTAATAGGGCGGAAAACCCAATCTTTATCGATTTCGTTAATCGGATATATGTTTTTATGAAGCAGTCCTCACTATGGTTATATCCTGTTGTTCACTGTCACCTGTTGGCACCCTGACTTCGAAAATATGTACTAAAGGTACATATATATTTTGTGTTGTGTTTCTAGAAATACAAAAATATTCTTTCGATTATATTTCTTTGCTTTATGTTAGTATTAATGTTTGATGACCCTCCTGTTATCGTTTGGAAATGTATTATTAAATAATGAATATTAAAACGCCCTATAACAATACATCAACAAGTGCCGCGTTATAGTAAAACAATCCCTTATCAAAACGGTTGCCTCGGTTAAGTGTAAATGACTGTAACGAAGTTTAAGCGGTTATTTAAAAGGGTTTTTAGTCCTAGCCAAAATATATTTGATTAAAGATACATAAACGATAGGTCTTCATGTAAAGAATTCAGATACAAATATACATTATATATACACAATAATTTAAAGTTTATACACTGTAAAATCCTTCCTATCTCATTTTATCCCGTCGCTTTTTCTTTTCATCGACTTTTAAACTTTAATTATTTGAGTTTTTATCAAAATTAAAGATTAAAAATTGAAATAAAAAATTAATTTAAAGAAAAGTCTAATAATATGTACTACATTTAGATAGTGAAAACGTCTGATTTACATATTATTAATTATAAAATGAAAATTAATAATTGATATATAAATTGAAAATTAAAATAACTCGTCATACCACGTGGGTTGCACACATTGGGCGTGTTCGGCCGAAGTAAGTACTTACTAAATTTAGTAAGTCACTTACTATGCTTACAAAATTTTCGGCCGGGACACAAAATAAGTGCTAACGCAGTAAGTATGGCTTAATATACGACGCCATTTTGCTTATTGTTGATGTAAACAAAACGGACAATAAAATATCCAATAAAATATTTCTCATAAAATTATCCATTTGAAACTATTCACAAGTATTAAATTATATTCCTAAATTTAGTACTGTCAATTATATTCAGTCTATGAGGTTATGTACGGGATATGACATAAACAGGTGTTTTGTGTTATGTTAATAAGCCAGTAAGTCTGTCCTGACTCCTGGCCGAAAAGCGCTACAGTCAGCTTGTAAGACTTTAATTTTTTTATGCTTACTGGCTTACTAAGTTTAGTAAGTACTTACTTCGGCCGAACACGCCCATTTTTTTACATTCATCCATTTGTTTGACATTAATGCCTGCTTGGGGATTTAAATTTTATTGTTCTTTTGTGATTAATAAGTAAAACGTTTTTATCATTCATTACTAACTAGTCGTACATATTTAAATTAAGGTAATTTTTAAAGATAATTATTGGGAGAAGAAGTGTTTTTCTTTTTAGGTTTTACTGAATATAAGGAAATTTTTCTAAGTTTTCAAAGTTTGATGCAGTTATGTTTATGTTGATCGAATAAATAGTTAATTATTTTTTGTTAATTAGTTAGTATTTAATTTGATTTTTCCTTAATCAGGTGACGCAAAATCGACCACGGCAAACGGTAAAGATGACTTAGGCGGTGAAGACGTCAAAGATGAAAAGGCAAAAGCAGATGTTGACAAAAAGGTTTGTATTTCATTTCCTACAATATACGTGTACCTACGTGGCTATAATGAATGTAGTTTTCGTTCCATAACAAACACATAGGAAATCAATGTTCGCCGTTAATTCGACTAGGAACTTGGTCATTAAATAGTTTTAACTTTTAGGAAGAAAATGGTGAGACACATGAAGAGGATGATAAGGAAGATGTGAAGGAAAACGATAAGCCAGCTAAAAAACCGGCAGCCAAGAAAAAACCTAAAAAGGAGGTAAGCGTAGGCAGTTTACGATAATTATTATATTATTTAAGATAATTATAAATTAAAAGCCAGTTTTGAGTAGAAAAGAAAACTACTCATTAAGTTCTTGAAATTAAACCATTAAATGATACTTAGGATACAGAGGAAGAAGATGAGGAGGACGAGGAAATGGACGAAGAAGAGGAAGAAGAAGGAGAGGAGGGAGATGAAGAGGACGAGAAGAAGCCTAAGGCCAAGTGAGTAAATGTACAGCTTACATACAAATGTCACAAATATTCGCGTCTTCAGTACATATCTACCTACATAATAATTAGTTTCGTAGACGGAATAATATATCTTTATATATATAATTCTGAAGTCACTGAACTCCTCTTAAACGGCTGGACCGATTTGAATGAATTTTTTTGTAAGCGTTTGAATGGAGCCTGTATTGTTTAGATTCACGAATTAGCCCGTCAGATGGCGCTGTAGCTGTGTACTTTCATGCTTTGTTTAATATCCTAATCGCTTGAAATATCATGCAGGACGTCCGTCGGGTCTGTTAGTATATATATATATATATATATATATATATACGTATTGACGTGTAGCAGTTATAGTTAGTCCCGACTCTGAGTCCTAAGACCATCGTTACTGTTTACTAAATTTTTTGTTGTTAATTCAGTAAAGTAAAGAAACCGGCAAAGAAAGCAAAGGAAGGCGACGAAGAAGGTGAAGAAGATGAGGAGGAGGGAGAAGATGAAGAAGGTGAGGAGGAGGAGGAAGAAGAGGAAGAGGAGGCCCCGAAACCTAAACCCAAGAAAGAGGTGAGAAGTCCCCATAGTGGAATGATCTATGTGCTCAGCTAAAAACTTATGTTTTGAGAAAGAAACTTCAAAGTTCTTTCAACTGATCGTCTTATCATAGTGAATTTATTTCCGAAATGATTTAGGGTTCAAGGTTACAACGTACCAATTCTTAAAACGTATTAAGAATTACTATTGTTTCAATAAAAAAACGTGTTGACTATAGCTATCTTCAGGGTGTTGGTTTTTTGTGTGGTGCGGTGTGCGCGCGCATTACCAAAATTTACACCCATCATTTTTCCCTAACGCGCCAAAGGGAGCGTTCAAGTATTACGTCACGCAATATTTGGAGATTATTGACCCCCCCCCCCCATGTAACGCGCCGTAACGGTTTTCTGTACCCAAGTATAGTAAAACGTTTCGTGACCACCTTAAGTGGTGTAAAGTACTGGAAAGTCGAAAATAATATTAACAATAACGCGTAATTCAATATCCGCCCCGTATCGTAACGTTTTACAAAAGGTTACGTAATACTTGAACGCTCCCAAAAGAACTATAACTACAAAAATATTTCAGAAATGTGTAATTAGAAATGTCCTAATAGTATTTTTGTTTTGACAGCCCACTGAGCCTCCGGTCCCTCTTCCGGCGGGCAAAGGAATCCCTCTGGGTCACATCAGCAACGTCGAAGTATCCCTCTCCAGGTTTAAGACACAGGACCAGAAGCTTTTACATCAGTACTTGTATGGAGTAAGTAATTTCATTAATCCACATATTATAATTAATTTAGCTTTTTTACAGAGAATTTTTTCCTTTAAAATCAAGGTGTTTTCACAAATTTTTACTAACCAATACAGACTTACAGCTTTCATTAACTTATTAAATCTGTTCGAACAGTGCTTTAGTTAAAAAGGGTGTGAGTAGTACAACATTAATGAATAAATGAATTTAACAAAATATTCAATAATAAATAACAGTTAATAGAAAAGCCTCGAAAGCTTCCTGCCCCTTTTTAGGCATCCAATAGTTATCTCAGATAGTAGCACTTTTACCATATTAAAGGAGACTGAAGATTATATATTACTAGCTGACCCGGCAAACGGTGTTTAGACATGTATATTATTTCTAGGAAACATTTTTTTAGTTCAATAAAAATGACTTTCTACAATAATAAAAATAATAAAATTAGGTTGTATGTATTTTTGTATGCTGTATCATAAAAAAATAAAAACAAAAATATAGAGGTGGGGCCCACCCTTAACATTTAGGGGTTTGAAAAATAATAATTAGCCGATTCTCAGATTTACTGACAATGCATAAAAAATTTCATAAGAATTGGTCGAGCCTTTTCAGAGAAGTATGGGAACGAACATTGTGACACGAGAATTTTATATGTATAGAGATATAATTATTTATTTGGGATATCTAAAATAATTAATTTTTGAAAAAATTATATTCTAGGAGCACTTTTGCTCAAGCTTTTAAACAAATCTATATTTAAAGAACATTTTAATAAAAATGGAGTTGTTAATTACTATTTATTTTCGTTAATAGAAGTATTATTATTGTAGCAACTGTGTCTGGACCGTAACGTGAAGCGGAACATCAAGAAGTTCAGAGGCTACGAGTGGGCCGTGGGTTCATCCGACTACAAGGCCAAGCTGGAGGAGACCACCAAGATGGAGCCCAAGCAGATCAGGACCATGTGCGAGATGCTGGATCTCGATAAGAAAGGTATTTGAGATTAGATCAAAATTAATATATTGAAATAATAAAAAGATTGTTTATTTAAGTTATTATAAAAGTGATTACATAGTAACTATCATACATTCAGAGGAGTTGTTCGGACTAATACCTGCAGCTGAGTTTCATTTCGTGTCAATGCAGAATACGAAATACTATCCGTATCACCTTGAAGTCCGTCGTTCCACAACGGAGCGTTTGTTAAGGCAGTTGTTTCCGCTGACCGCTTAGATGACTTGGGTCCTTCAAGAAAAGAGCGTACCAATTCTTAAAAAGCCGGCAAAGCACTGGCGAGCCTCAAGCCCGTTGGCTTCTTTTTACATTTAAAAGAAAATTGTGATTTTTAGTGTTTATAGGCAGTAGTATATAAAAGATGTTGGCCTAGTGGCTTCATTGTGCGACTTTCATCACTGAGGTTCGATTCCCGGCTATGAGCGCATTTAACATTCGCTAACGGTGAAGGAAAACATCGTGAGGAAACCTTAGACCCAAAAAGTCGAAGTCTACTTGCCTATTAGAAAAAAAAGGTCACGAAACATAAATCTTAGTGATATAGGATAGCAATAACTCTACTACATATTTAAATACATAATATCTATCAAAATATACTAATGTTTGGTGAACAATACGGCTTTTGTTCATACATTCAGCAGTTTTCTTGTTTCATCCGAGAAATCCATAAGTATATCTTCGATCTCTCTTGTCAGGTGGAACAACAGAGCTGGCAGCCCGCCTGGTGGGCTTCCTGCAGTGCCCCACGGCCAATTCGCCTCACGCGAGAGGAGTAGCCCGGCCTCCGCCTACGGCTTCTTCGACGCCTGGAGGCAGACCCAGGAGATCTGTCGCCGTCAAAGTTCACAATCGAGGTAATTGTCTCATGGAGTAGTTTTCAGAATGTTATAATAATGTCTCAATTGTTTTGTTCATATTATTGTTATGAGATATTCTTGCAAAATAAAACTAAATCAAGTTATCTTTCGCAAAATAATTAAAATATACTAAACTTAATAAATAATTAATTTTAATAAATAAAGGGCCGTAAATTTTGGTTTATTCTATCAAACAAATGGTAATAATTACCACATAATTAAAAAAAATGTTATTTTATTATCCCATAATTAGGACACATAATTTGCTAAAAGAAAGGAAAAGATAAGCACAAAAAAATATTTTTTTTAAGTTTTCAGAAAGTATTCAAAAAATCCAAAATTTCAAGGTATAATTTATAACTCAAAAGCGTCTGATAATAATTTCCATTATTCTTCACATATTATTTATCAATAATATTTAATTGTCGCTAAATATTTATTAAAACTTGCTCAAAAAATAGAAATTAAGTTGGGAAATAGTATACCTGTCTAATAAATAATGTTTTGCAGGCTATTCAGATGAAGAGTATGAATCGGACCCAGAGAAAGTCAAAGGACCAAAACTACTTAAGGAGGGCTCGGAAGATTCTGATGTAAGTTTTATCCAAAGGATGATTTTTAATCTGTTGTTCCATACACACCCTCACTTTCTTACCACAACACAGTCGAATTAGGTATTTATACTCTGATTTTTCATTCCTTAGAATTCTGACAGCTATTCATTGTATTTAATATTTTTTATTGATTTTTGCTTTCGTAAATGTTTGAACCTTTTTGTATATGTTATGTATTCCATCTTGGCTATATATATATACAGGGTGTCCCAAAAGTCGACGTCAAGTCGAAATTTTCTCATAGGTAATGCCACACCAGTTATCAGAAAAATTAAAAAAAAAAATTAAGTCATGTATTTTTGAAGTTATGGAAATTTTCCTTTTATTCCAGAAAATGTACACCATGTGACAGTTTTTTCATTCCTGTTGTTACAAATATTTTTGCCAATTTTTTTTCTCTTACGTCATCCCGAATAGTGCTTTATGTAACCTATGATCCTAAACCCTGTGCCGATCACTCCAACTTGTAGGAAAATGTCATTTTATACCGTACCAAGTTTTCAAAATTAATTTTTCGCACTAGTTCAACTGATCGTCCTGAAAAAAAAATGTACTACTCCAGTTTGGCAAGCAGCTTTAAAAGTTCGCGCATTTAATAAGGATTCTAACGTGGTATAATACTTACTTCATTATTTCTTAGATCGGCCATAAAAAAAATTTCTTGTTAAACAAAGTCTGTTTTTTAAAAATTTCTCTGGAATTACAAAAAACTATTCTAGTGTACCCAAAGCGTTCCTAATAACCACAGCGTGTTTTAAATAAGATGGCGTAAAGTGTGAGCGAGACAGATAGTGACGCTACTTGTTGCTATTGACACACGCACTACAGGTCAGCACGCAACGCTCCTTCGTTTACTACGCATCTTTTCGTATTCGCTGGTGTTATTTTGTGTTCTAACTACTTTGGCTTCGTTTACGGACTTGTTTGCTTGTGATTTGGATTTTACATTTGTGATCTACGACGACCTTTACTTTTCCCTGGACTTACGTGTTATTGTGTATTTGTACCATACCATGGCTACGTACACTACACAGGAATATGCTAACATGCACCTCATTTATGGGGAATGTTTATGTAATGCCAGTGAAGCCGCTAGACGGTATCGCGAGAGATACCCTAATGCAGATCGCTATCCGGATCACAGAGTTTTTACCAATGTGCACCGTCTACTGTTCTCTGAGGGCCGACTGCCAAACCAAGTGCACGGTGAAGGTAGAATTTCACTACCCTACGAGGCAGTTGTCCTTCAAGCAGTTGTTCGGTACGTGGAATTGAGGCCAGCACAGGTGTGCCCAAAAGTACAGCTCACCGAATACTACAAAAAAATGAGTTCCATCCATTTCATGTACAGCGAGTACAATCCTTATTACCTCGAGATTATGAACCTCGGGTTGCTTTTTGCCAAACAATAATTCAAAAACACCGAGAAGACCCACAATTCTTAGAAAAAAATTTATGGTCGGATGAATCAACTTTTAAAAAAGACGGCTACATGAACCTACACAATCTGCACGAGTGGCACGTCGAAAATCCACGATTGATGAGACCAGACAGATCACAGGACCGTTTCAAAGTTAACATGTGGATATATTTAGTAATTTTTTTTTTGTTATATAGCTGTAGCATTACGAGATAAATAAATAAATCTCTCTTAATTAATTATATAGGTCTTAAAAGAAGTACATATTATAATATACTGTATTACAGGGGTCATTCAACCCGAGCGGCTCAGAAGCGGACTCGGACTTTGACCCCGAGGTAGGAGAGGGAGCCGCGGTTGTCGGAAAGAAACGCAAGAGCACCGGACGCCGTCGCTCCTCGGGCAAGGCGGGAAAGAAGGGCAAGAAAAGGGGGAGAAAGGCCAGCGGGAAGGTGATAGATCAGTCATTTAATTTGAATTTCGAACGTTGTGACTTTGTTGCCATGGTTACCTAGTAATAAACGGATGCCGTTTATAGAAATGTGGAAATAAAAAAATCAGCAAGTCGATTTTGACGGTCATACGTACAAAAAGCCTAAATAAATGAAAACAGATATTTTGATATTTTCAGTTATTTTTTTTAATAGGAGGTAAATTCTGTAGTCTGTGGTATATTTAATTGTTTGCGCTTTTATTATTTATATTGTAGTATTTTTAGGACATTTTTAAAATATCCCGAGGTATTAATTTATATAATACATAATATATGTATTGGTGAATTGATCGGTATTTGCGTAACAGACAAACGAACAGATTGGGTGGAACACGGTTTTATATTGGATTTTTTATTCACAGGTAAGCAGAGGTCGCGGCCGCAGGGCGAAGTCGGACAGTGAAGAAGAGAGTGACAAGTCAGAGAGTGAGAGCGATGGAGGAGGAGAATCTGGCAGCGAGGGAGAAGAGTCTGACGTGAGTGTTTCTAATGTTTTAATGATTGAGACTTCGTACAATATAAATGTTTTCATAATTTATTAATTTCTTATACTTATAAACTATATAAAAAAACAAACAATTACACTAAAAATATAGCCAAAGATGGAATTTATAATATTTACAAATAGGGTTTAATTACGAAAGGAACATTTTTAACTACATTTAACTAAGTATTTAATTCTAGTGTGTTGTGTGATGGTGTGAAAGTGAGTGTATGTACGTGAAGTTGTGTGTGTAAAAGATTGACACATTTGCAAGAAGAATGTTTAAATATTGCATAATATATAAAAATGATTATATGGCCTTAACAGGAGCCTAAGTCGAAGCGCGGTCGGCCGAGCGGGTCCGTGGCTAGAGGCCGCAAGGGCCCCCCGGCCAAGATGGCCAAGACCACGCCTGCCAAGCGGAAAACGGCTTCGCCGCCAGGTGGGTCACTTATTATTAACCGCCTTATTTAGAACTATAGTTTAAATTTAATCAACTTTTCGTTTCTATCAAATTGTGTCTCCATTGTAATTAAATGAGACAAAAATACGTTTTTTTTAGTTTTTTTATACTTTTAGGGAGTAAATACAAAACTACGAAAAATTTCAAAATTCATTTCAATTTAATAATAAAAGTGTTAATATATATATTCACACTTATATTTGATGAAAACACTTTATTTTTTTAGAATATTAACTTCTCTTCGTATTTCCTGGGTCTTTGTTACTAACCAATTAAATAAAATGTTTAATAGTAACAAACATATTTTCAAACAGCTAAAAAGAAGGGAAAGCCAGGCAGGCCAGCCGGTAAGAAGGGAAAGAAGGCATCCTCTGACGAAGAATCCGGAGAAGGAAGCGAAGAGGAGGAGGAGGAAGGTAGCGAGGAAGAAGAGAGCGGAGAGGAGAGTGACGGCGGCCCGGCTGATAAGAAGGCTAAGAGACCGCCTACTGTGAGTATCATTTGAATTTTATAATGTTATTTATTTCAGACATTTTATAACAGAACATCTTAGTTTAATTATTTATTGGCCAACTTTGAGCAGTGTTCATCTAGTGGCTTCAGCGTGCGACTCTCATACCTGAGGTCGTAGGTTCGACTTCCGGCCGTGCACCAATCGACTTTCTTTCTCTGTACGCATTTAACATAAGGAGTTCAAGTCATAAGTTTTAATTAACAAAAAAATAGAGGTAGATCGTAGAGGGGTGAAAATTAAGGGTTGTATGCTGTATCATAAAAAATAAAAACAAAAAAAATTGTCTAAAAAATAAATTTTTTTGGGTGTCCTTAAAACTTGGGAGTTTAAAAGATAGTAGCCGATTCTCAGACTGACTAAATATGCATAAAAATTTCATAAGAATCGGTCCAGCCGTTTCGGAAGAGTATGAGAATGAACATTGTGACACGAGAATTTTATATATTAGATATATATGAGCATAGTTTGTACCAAGACCGTCCGTATGACCTGTTCTATAATCCAGTACATTTAGGTTTAATATTGTAAACAATTCGGAGCAGTCAATATGATTGTTTATGGAACCATGTAGAAATATCAAGTCTCTTGCGTCTAGGTGTTTGTGATCTTTTAGTAACGTTAAAATAATCCATCAGGACGACGAGATAAAGAAGTACGTGAAGCAGATCCTGGAAGGCGCCAACCTGGAGCAGATCACGATGAAGACGGTGTGCAAACAGGTCTACTCGCACTACCCGGACTTCGATCTCGCGCACAAGAAGGACTTCATCAAGGCCACCGTCAAGTCGGTCAGTCAACTTTAAGTTAACGCTTTTCTCACATTTGAACTTACTATGGTTTTTTAATTTTAGCCTTTTGTGTTTATTTCATAATTTCTGATTTTGTTTTGCCTTCATTTCACGACAATGTCAATCCTTTAGATATATATTTATTTAAAAATATATATGACAATTCGGTCCATTTTTTGTAAATAAATGTATATTAAAAACATTTAATAGATAAAGATATTACAATTAAAAAAAGTTTAGCGTTGACATGATTTCTTATTTTTTTTTAATTCGGATAAAAATATTGATAATTAGTAGTTTGATATTGATGTTAATTATTTTCAAAATAAAATTTTTGAAATATTTTTATAATAATTTATCTTTTTTGTTGCAGTGTATTTAAGATGTAAAGAATGAGCGGAGTAGTCTACGTAGCGTTATCTATTACTATAGTTTTAAAGGACATATTATTACAATAATAATAATATATTATCAGAATATATTTTTTTTAATATCCGCAAACGTGTGGAACGGATATCCGCCCGCTTTACATTCAGGTAGCTTTTGTTTATTTTTGCATGGTTTTTATTGATTTTTTAGATCCAGTATGGGAAGCGTTCAAGTGTTACGTAACGAATTTGGAGGGGGGGGGGTCCCCTTTTTTATAAAGTTACGATGCTAGGCGGGGATTGAATTACGCGTTATTGTTAATATTATTTTCGACTTTCCAGTACTTTACACCACATAATGGTAACTTTTAGGTATAAAGAGTCTTACTATCGGGTACAGAAAAACGTTACGGCGCGTTACATGGGGGGGGGGGGTCAATAATCTCCAAATATTGCGTGACGGAATACTTGAACGACCTATTTATAATGTATGTAACAAATTTTGAGTGCTGTAAAAATATGATAATTGTTTGATATTTCCTAAAACTAGATTTGAATTGTATGTAATGTATGTATGTTTGTTGCAGCTCATAGCATCGTGAGCGACTCGGCCGCATAGCATAGTCGTAAGCCACAACTTAGACTAATTGTACACACGATCATTACATTTCCACAATTGACATATTTTTCATATTTTATCATTTTAATTACTATTAACAATATTGTTTGATTATTTTGTGAATTGTACGATTGCAATGCACGACAGCTTTGTACCAAATGCAAAAATTACCTTGAGGTATAAAGGGGCTGTTTAAGTATTATGTAAGCACTAGAGGGGGAGGGGAGGTCTTTGATTTTCTTATTATTTACTTTTTTGAAGTTATACTTCATTCGGCGCGTTAGGGAAAAATGATGAGAGTAAATTTTTACGATGCGCTCGCACCGTCACAAAAAACCGACACTCTGAATATCTGTTCAAACGTCGGTAAAACAGTCTAGACCGCTAGTTTGAGCTTGCTCTGTTTTATCGACAAGTTGCTCGAAGAAAATTACTACGCCAAAGAAGTATACTCCTAACGCGTGTACATAAATAAGTACACGTTTTTTTTTACACCACACGTGGTCTATGCTTGAAAACTAAACGCATTTTCAAGGATTCCTACAAAAAAAATTAATACGTTTATGTACTATTATTTTTGAGAGCTTTGCTTACTTTTTGAGGAGCGGTGTGGGGGGGGGGGGTTAAATTGCTACTTACGTAATACTTGAACGGCCCCATATATTTCTCTGTTGTTTTTAATACATAAATACTAAATGTATTTTTTGAGCGTTTTTAAGTCCTGAGTTTGAATCTCGGGGAAGTATATCGTCTTGGGAATATGAAAAATATGTACGCGGTGTCCGTTTGTGTTTTATTTGTAGACGTAAATCCCGTAGGTTAAGTGTAACGTATAGAGTTTAAGAATTTTCTGTTGTGATAGCTCATGCCGCAATCGTAGTTTTATTGGTTGAATTTTATAATTTGAAAGATGTAATACATTTTTAACTGGCAACTGGAAAATGTTTGATATTGGTAACTTTTCTAACGTGAATTCGATGTTCTGTTCTACATAGGGTCCTTCAAGATACGAATTTACCAATTCTTAAAAAGTCGGCCAAGACTTCTAGCAGTGTGTCCATGGGTATTAATTAATATCATGTGACCCGATTGCCTTCTATAAAAAAGTGCTTTCATTATCTTCTAGATTTTGGTATCTCGATTTCTGTTCGATCCTAGAATCATTTAACCAACTGGAAATTAAAAAATTATAATTTTCAAAGTACCAGGTCGGATTTATTAATAATTTCGGAGTAATCGGACAACACAAAAATCTTTGAAGCTCCACTGTTGCCAATGTTTCGCTTTCATCCTTGCAGATGTATAGATTGGAATAAAGTAATTTTATATTGAATTACAATTTTTAAAGCATGAGCTATCTTTATAAGTACATGTCTACACTGTTTTGTTTCTGTTGCTATCGTTCATTTCACTTGTTTTTAAATTCAATTATATGTAATGTGTGTCTGTCATTCAAATTTCTGGATCAAATTAATTCCAATTTTATTATTTTAATGATAATTGCCTACTAAATATAAAAACAAGTGGAGTCGGCGTGTCTATTTGTATCGTTGTACAAATCGTCATGATCGTAGAACAATGTCGGATTTGAAAAACAAATACAAAATCAACTTTTTATCATATTTGGATACTACGTTGACTTAATATTACGGCCACTTTAAAAAAAATCCATGTGTTTTAAATTTCAAATTAATCAGTCGGTAAAGTGACGGATTTGATAGAAACATGTGATTTATTCAGAAAACTGTGTAATTTAATGTTATTATTTTTATTTTGTTTCAAAACAAACCCTTTTGTTTGCTTGTATGCCAATTTTCATAATAACAGAATATGAATTAAAATAGTTATGACAAGAACTAACATGATTATATTATTTTAAAATGGCTGCCCTGTAAAGTTTACTATTTGTCAGATCCGTCACTATTCTACGACTATGACGAAATGTTTGGACATCACAGGCGTAGAATTGCAGACCGCATGGGCCTGTGTTAATTTCGCGAGTTTAAGTATTTTCAGAAATTTGTTTAAAATTTAGTTATCCCCATATTAAACCAGGTTGGATTTGGATCACGTGTAAAAAAATGTTGTTAATTGATTTTTAACTGAATGTAAGGTTACATTAAGCCTAGTTCTATTGAAGTCTACTGAGCGAGATACTAATTAAGATTCGAGTTAAGCGTACTTTAAGTGTGTAAATATTACACGGAGTGCAGATTTGGTAAAAACATCGGAAAAATTCATGAAATCGCTTAGTTTTAGCTTAGACATGTCGTTTTCTGTGCAATACACAGTTCGCTTCGGTGGGTTTTCGCGCGTCGCCTTTGAGGAACGGAGACGGAGTCGGAGTCCCGCTGGGATCGTTTTCGAATGGCGCTAAGTCAAAAATCGAATATATTTTTATCCAGCGTCAAGGGGCCGTTCAAGTATTACGTAAGCACTATGGGGGCAGGGGGTTCTACAAAAAAATAATACGTTTAGGTAGTATTATTTTTGAGAGCTTTGCTTAGTTTTGCTGACACATTGCAGTAAATCTGCTTACGAAATACTTGAACGGTCCCCAAGTTGATGACTATTTTTTAATCAATTTACAGTAGCTTAGGTGCTTTGGCATTATTTCGCAACTGTGGCCGAACTTCGCTATGTCCGTGAACGGTTGGGGCGCACTCTGACGCCCGATGCGTCTCCGGACGGAGGCCGTGTCTATATTAAGCCTCCGTGCGCGGACGCATTGACCGAATTCCCCTTCGACCTCCGAGCGCGTCCCAATAAGCTAAGATAGATATAATCAACATTAAATGTGTATTTGTGAATTTTAACCTTATTTTGGTTAAGTATTTGGTGTAAATGGCTGGACTGTAGTGTAGACGGAGCGAATGACAGGTTTCCCTTTTACAATTGGAGTATAGAATAAAGCAAATAAAACATTGAAGAGACTTTTATTTCACGAATATTTACATTTACGATTACATTTTGTACAATTAGGCTACACCAAATAAATACTACGCAGTACTTTACAATGCGGGCCAACTTATTTAGACTAAGTGTTTATTGAACTAGTATTAATCCTGTAAGGTTTGGTCAGAGACTCGATCAAGAATTGTTCAAGATAATGGTTCCCTTCTGGGCCGGATTTAGAGAGGGGCAACTGGGGTTACAGCCCCGGGGCCTACACAATAGACTTCGGAATAAAATGTTTTAAATTCCGACTAGTAAACAACGTTTCTTTTGATATATTTTTACATGGTTGTTAAGTACTAAAAGAATCTACTTGGTTTCACAATAAATTGTTGATCGAAAAAGTCTACTGAAAATTTTTATTTTATTTGGAAAATAATTTCCTTTGATGCCCCGAAGCCTCCAGACCTCTAAAACCGGCCCTGGTTCCCTTGCAAATACATCGTTGGGACTAACATTTCATCTTTATCTAATATAATCTCAATAAAACTAAGCTTTACTGAACTTCCTAATATCAATATATGGTCGACGGTTAACAAGTTCTAGAAGAGTTCTGTTTACTTAAATTGCCATCGGTTAAGTGACATGCTGTATTATTCTATAATTTACTATTATATTGGACGGTTTTTTTTTCATTATACTATATATTTCATTTTATTTCATATAGAAACTGATAATAATATTAGCTCTTAGTGATACGATTAATATTGCGTTAAAGCAATCGCGATATTATTGTAGAAAGGTAATTTAAAAGTTTATTGTGAATAATTGATATTTATGTGTGAACTAAATAAGTAAAATTTGAGCAAAAACAGTTGACTTGATATTATCTGCACTCGAGCGGCGCACAGCATATTTGAAGCGTCAACTCGAGCGACGCCGATACGGCGCCTGCCCTTTTCTAGTTTAAACACGAGCAGAAAGTATTCATTGAAAACAGTCACATCGTCGCTGTAGAATGATACCTCGTATGTCCAGAGAACCAAACATTACAGGAAACGAAAATATTATTATTGTTTTTGTTCATTGTTTTGGATGGTAAAAAGGACTTATTTATTAATAACATAAATAAGTCATTACTTCATGATTATACCAGTTAAATGACATAAGAGTCTAAGTATAAAAATTAAAAGGTTTTTTGACATACGAGGTTATCATTCTACAGTGACGATATAATGACCGAAGTGTTTTAAGCCCTAAATTATGGAGAAGGATTGAATGTGGAAGATGCAACCAGTTCAACATGGCTACTTTGCTTTTTAAAAATCCTGTAAGATATTTATCTAATTTGGCGGAAATCGTCTCGAGTTGGCGGTTCGTGCAAGCGAATAAGCCCTCGAGTGCAAAGTGTAACATTTGTATATTATAATAATCGTTAATGAGGTTTCCTAAGCAATAAATTAGTAAAGCAATTGTTTAAGGTTAATATTTGTGAGAATCGTTCTCATATAATTCACCTTTTCATAATTTAATGAACGTTTAATCATTATTACAATTAAACATCAACATTTATGTTGATTTATATAGAAATCAAAGTTATAAAAAAATTTGACTTTGACTTCTTTATACTAACAACGTTATTAACCGTGAATAACCAAAAATATATTCTACGCTCATAAGCAGTGTGTCAGTGAGAAATGGCAGATGTCAAACTGACAGCTATGTTAACACATCCATAGACCAAAGATGACTAAACTCTATAACTTAGTTTCCGGTTTAGGCCCAGGCTTCCTGGTTCGTCTGGGTCGCCTATCACACGCCCCATAAACGCCGTCGTATCTCTCTTCTCGCGGGATCATGTCAGGTGGTCGGTAGAATTCTCCGTACGTTTGTGGATGAAGCTGACTCGCTGAACAATTCGAGCGGTGATCGCTTTCATTGTCTCCGCTGTCGACGTCACCTAGAAAATTAATAATAGCGATATAAAAAAATTAAATATGTTTATTATGGAATATAAGATAAAGGTTTCACTTATTCCACGTCATTAAATTGGAATCGGTAGACATCCCTACTCATCAGACAAGAAGACAGAGTCGTGTAGACTGAGAAAAAAAACTGGCGTAAAAAACTCTCGGTACTCTTTCAAAATAGCAAATCATCAATCAACACTTATTTTAAAACAAATTTCGCAAATTAATTAGAAGTAGCCTGTCTAGCACTAGTCCCAGGCCCTTTTATCTACTAGATAATCGTTAACTTTATAGTAAGCCTTTTTACACAGACTTTTTAAATTTATTAAAAGGCAGAGATAAAAGAGCCTCTGGGATTTTATTAAAGAAGAGTATCCCTTTTCCCAACAAAAAATTACTAACTTTAGATAGTCTAGTACGGGGAAATTGCAGCCTGCGATGGTTCCGAGTATTAACATTGTGCGTATGTTCTATTTTAGTAAACTTATCACTATTTTTGTATACATATATAATATTTTCATAAATATATTGCGAGGGAAAGGTAAGTATATTAATTTCCTTGAATTTATCTCTAAGAGATTCCCTACATTTTAAAATTATAGATTGCACGAATAGCCCTCTTCTGCAGGATAAAATAGTTTCGACATCAGCAGCAAGCGCATGATATGAACAAATATTACTTGAAATTTTTCATTTAAAAAACTCTTACAAAAACTTTAATTAAGTATATCAATTTAACAATAAAATATTTACTAGAATTGGCTAAACTGAATTTTTTGTTTTCACATATTTTTATTCAAAAAAAACAAGAACTTGTCATCTTAAAAAGCTAAAATTATTGAAAGAAAATATATACCATCACTACTATTGTTGCTGGGAAGATGAGCGTCCCTTAACCTCGGCCGCCTTCTCCAGTAGCGGAACTCACGCGGTAACGTGTACGAGCGAGGCAGAGATATCTGTAACATCATTTCGTATAGATTGGAAACTAAGCTAGGAAAGTTGAATCCAATTTTTGCCCATAAGGATCCTAGAAAAAGCTAGTTAAAAAAAATGTATATCTATATTCACACTGTTTACACACTGTATACGTGATAATGATAATTTAAATAAATAAAAAATGTGCGTTTACTGCACAAGACATTATGCGACAGAATTGCCATCTAAAGTGACTATGTTACTACTAAACGAATACATCAACCAATAGCGTGTATTTTTTCTTGATGTCCCTTACTCTTTCTCTCATTCTTTCTGACTATAGCTCTCGCCCACCTTCCGCTCCATGGCCCTGTCGGTGATACGACGTTCGCTCTATCTTACTCACTCTCTCGATCTTTCTCACTATAGCTCTCTCCCACCTCTCGCTCCATGGCCCTGTGCGTGATACGAAGTTCGCTATATCTTACTCACTCTCTCAATCTTTCTCACTATAGCTCTCTCCCACCTCTCGCTCCATGGCCCTGTGCGTGATACGAAGTTCGCTATATCTTACTCACTCTCTCAATCTTTCTCACTATAGCTCTCTCCCACCTCTCGCTCCATGGCCCTGTGCGTGATACGAAGTTCGCTATATCTTACTCACTCTCTCAATCTTTCTCACTATAGCTCTCTCCCACCTCTCGCTCCATGGCCCTGTGCGTGATACGACGTTCGCTCTATCTTACTCTCTCTCTCGATCTTTCTCACTTGCTTGCTCCATGGCTCTTTGCTTCATGCTACGTTGGCAATTTCTCACTCTATCTCAATCGGTCTCAATCGCTCTCTCCCTTTTCGTGCACTAGGATTCCCTGTGTCGTGGGCAGCCAGTCTTTTCCGTTTGACATGTTAACGGTACTTGAAAATAATAATTTCTAGATAACAATAGTTCATTTTATAATTAAACTATTGTTGCACAATAAGAATATTTTCCGTTTTAAAATGTATAAAGTTTCGTATCGTTAGTGAACATTTTTAAGAAAGTGGTTAAAGAAAGGGCCTCAGAAGGAGAAAAAGCGAAACGCTTTAGTTGGTAACTAAATATAATTAAACACGATCCCAATCTATATTAGTAGAAACATGTAAGGGAACGTTCAAGTATTACGTCACGCAATTTTTGCAGATTATTGACTACATAAATATTTATTAAATAATACTAAATTAATTATAAACCCTATTTGAGTATAACTATGTACCACTAATTGAGTTAATGTCTGAGATGGAATCTCATGATCTCCAACCAAATGTCATTAATTACAACGGAATTGTATATTAATATACGTTACATAATAATCAAGCACGTAATCAAAGAGTCCTTGAATATGGTACGTAATATTAATATATAATCACGTTTGTTAGGAAACTACAGGTTTCTATATAATGAATTATAACTACTTTAGAGTGAGGCTAAAGAGATCTACGCCCGTTGGTAACGGATTTTTTTCGCAAAGTAAATTCCCTATTTACGAGACCCATGTCAAAAAATACGTTAGTTTAATCTTAGATTTTTAGTTAACTGTTTTTCCTAAAAGAATCGGAACAACTTTCTGGTCCTTCGAGCCGGACTACGTAAATGTTCTCACCTGACTATCGATATCACTGGGCGGTCTGGGCGTCTCACGCGCATTCTCCGGACTGGATTGTTCCGCGCTACTGCCGCCATCTTCTTTCTTTCTTCTAGACGATAAAAACAAAATAAATTATTGAAATTTTCTACTTATTAACGAATATGCTTATTTCATACTTATCAATCAAAGCTAAACCAACTAAACGTACCCATAAGTACTGGGCCAATGACAGCAGACTTGTCTATTGCACCCCTCCAAATAATGCGGCGCCAGTAATATTTCCGGCGTCCTACACCTTTGCATTTTCCTAATCTGCTCGATTTTCTTTCCATGCAACCCTGAATATGGGTAGACACAGTTGAACTGGCACTCGTACACCCTCAAATTCTCGGGGTTACCCTGCACGTTGTCCTCGTATTTAAACTGGTCGAACTCCTGTCTGTCCTCCGTGTATTGCCTTTTATCTGCGGCCGTGTCGTACGTGACGTCCGTGAACCGCGGACTGTTAATTCTGTTCGCCTCGTACGTCCGGCTTGTGTAGGGACTTTGGCCGTCCCTTAGATTTGCTGGGTTTTCGTAGAATGTTCGGTCTTGAAACGGGCGTTTCTCTGCGTCCGTGTTTATTTCTGTGTACGTCGGGTAGTTGGGGATGGGGTAGTTTTGGTAGGAATGAGCGACTTCTATGCTCGGCCAGGCCGGTTCCGCGTGAGTTTTGGCCCTGGGTATCGGCTGCCTCTGCAGACTGCTGTAAATCTCTTCGACTGCTACTGGAGTAGTTTTCGCCAATTTCCCCTGTTTTATCTCTTCTTCAATAACTCGTAGTTCCGCCAGTTGTTTTTGCTTCTTCTCTTGTAGTTTCTGTTGGATGTTGACGCGGGAGCCGACGCTGGAGCCTTCGTTTTCGGATGACCCACCCTGGAATTGAGAATATGAATGACAATGTAGCCATTATTTTTTGTTTAAGACTCTTCATATATCGTCACTGTAGAATGATAACCTCGTATGTCAAAAAACATTTATTTTTTTATTCTTAGACTCATGTTATTTAACTGGTGAATTAAGGAAGTAAGGACCTATTTATGGTTTTAATAAATAAGTCCTTTTTACAATCTAAAACTATGGACAAAAACACTTAATAATATTTTAAAGAAAAAATTTCGTTTCCTGTAATGTTTGGTTCTTTGGTCATACGAGGTTATCATACTGGGAAGCTTAAATACATAATTTCATTTAAATATTCCATTCCAAGTCGGTAAATACAAATAAAACCCCTTTTTTCTATCTGGCACTTTCTTGAAGTTCCTACTCTTATCTCCAAATAAATCTCAACGATAGTAAGACAAGATTAAATTTATAGAAAGTGCCCCATTCTACCACCTAGGAATTAATTGAATATCAAAGTATATTGTGCTTACGAGCCAGGCCGTTTGAACCCTTACATGATGATTATGAGCCGCGGGCAAAGGTCTCCGCCAGAAGGCAGCGGGGGCGGGCGCCGCGGGAGGGGGCACGAAAGACGTCGGCTTTTTCTTCTTGCGCCCATTTGCTGCACTACATAAAGGATATTCTTTAACACTGTCTTTTCAAAGTAATCATCAGAATTAATAAAAGTGTATTGAAATTAAAGTCTCGTTTTGAATATTTGACATGTGTAATTTTAAGCAAGATGATCTTCTAAAGCAAGTAAAAAGAAAAGGAATATTTTTATTAGTAATCATAACAATCAAGTACAGTGTATTTACCAACAATTTTCTTAATGATGCCAGCATTAAAAGTACACTGCAGGGACCAAACTTTTTAAATTAAAATTTTATTTTTATTTTTTATTTTTATATTACTTTGTGGCTTAAGAAAAGTAAAAGGTAATTTAATATAAATATAAATAATAGACTCACCTGCTGTTAACAGGATTAGTGAATCTACAATTGAACACTCCTGGTATCACGGTGTGGTCATTTTGACACGATTTGCCTAAAAATTAAAAAATAATGCTAATTTCAATCTCGCATGGGTATTTATTTTATAAATATTTTGGAGAAAAAGCCTGTTATAATAGAAATACATATGTTTAATTACAAACATAAAAAAACAAATCTTTCACAAAATGCTGTTTGCTATATTTAATTTTTATTAAATCAGTGGCGTTACAACCTTATTAGGTCTGGGCCTCAGATTACTGTATCTGTTTCATAATCATTTGTCTAACAGGCAAGTAGGTGATCAGCCACCTGTGCCTGACACGCCGTCGACTTTTTGATCTAAAGCAACCCGGTTTCCTCACGATGTTTTTTTTTCACCGTTCGAGCGAATGTTAAATGCGTACATATAAAATCCATTGGTGCACAGTCGGGGATCGAACATACGACTACGAATCTCAGGGATGAGTCGCACGCTGAAGCCACTAGGCCAACAATGCTCATTTTTTAATAAAACACATTATAATTAGAGAGACGTCATTTAGTGACAAAAATAATTATGCAATAAACTTGCAAATGGTGAGTTCAAAAGCCTTACCGTTCTTATTATTTGAAGAGGCGTTGGTACTGTTCGTGCCTTGTTGGTCTCCCAACATGTAGCCAAGTCGTCGTACGTGAAAATACCTAAAATATTATTTACTTTAATTTTACTTTCATTATAATAATAAAAGCCTTTATTGCTGTAATTACTTATTATTATACTTATTACTAGTACATAAAAATGTTAATTCTAAAAAATTAACACTAAAAATAAAAAAATAAATACTAATAATAATCAGCAAGCCTGTTTTGTTCCCATCTTTTTATTTGTTTTCCTCGTTTTCTTTCATTATTATAAACATTTTTAAAAGAAAGAGAGGTCGCCCTTGCACGGTGGGCTGACGATCTTCAAGAAGTTGGTGGGGAAGATTGGGAGAAAAATACACAAGATAGAGAGAGATGGAGCCAATTGGAGGAGGCCTATACTCTATAAGAGGGTCCTTGGGAAAAATGTTTTTCTATGTAAAGTGTTTCAAAGAATAAATTAGACTTAATTTTTACACAATTAGCGTAAAGTATAATAACTAACCAAAACGTTTATTTCTCGGTGGAGACTATGAATTTAAGAAAAAAATATTTTTAGACTATCAAGAATTTTTTATCATACAAAATTTGCTATATACAGGGTGTCCCAAAAGTCGACGTCAAGTCGAAATTTTCTCATAGGTAATGCCACACAAGTTATCAGAAAAAAAAAAAAAAAATGAAGTCATGTATTTTTGAAGTTATGGAAATTTTCCTTTTATTCCAGAAAATGTACATACACCATGTGACAGTTTTTTCATTCCCGTTGTTACAAATATTTACTTTTTGCTAATTTTTTTTCTCATACGTCATCCCGAATAGTGCTTTATGTAACCTATGATCCTAAACCCTGTGCCGATCACTCCAACTTGTAGGAAAATGTCATTTTATACCGTACCAAGTTTTCAAAATAAATTTTTCGCACTAGTTTAACTGATCGTCCTGAAAAAAAAATGTACTACTCCAGTTTGGCAAGCAGCTTTAAAAGTTTGCGCATTTAATAAGAATTCTAACGTATACCACGTTAGAATTCAAAATACTTACTTCATTATTTCTTAGATCGGCCAATAAAATTTTTTTTGTTAAACAAAGTCTGTTTTTTAAAAATTTCTCTGGAATTACAAAAAACGATTCTAGTGTACCCAAAGCGTTCCTAATAACCACAGCGTGACTTTTGGGACACCCTGTATATAAACTTCAATTCTAAAATAATATTTCATTTATTTTAACACAGGTTTTTCTCAAGAAATCGTTTATACAGAGTACATTTAAAAAAAATAGTTTAGAAACTTATTAATTAATAAAAGCAATGCCGTGTCGTGGAATATGGGACAGAAAATACCTGTAATAGAGCAGCATACAGCCGAGCCCAGCCAAGAAGGCAGCGGCCGTCGCAGGGGCCAGTCTGGAAGGGGGCGGACCCACCCTGGCCCCGGACCACCACCAGGCGGTGATCAGTATGCAGTTCTCTATGCTCATCACGCAGTAGAATATCACCTGTGTAAAATCTTTATAGGAGACATTGAAGAAGCGCATAGATTACATTCTAGAGTAAGAAAAAATATCGCTATTGGAGGACAGATAAGAGATTGATGGTATTCACAATAATTGTGTATGTTAATTCTCAAAAGCCGCCCTATTTTCATAGAACAAGGGGCAAATTGACACTTTCAATTCAAAGGGCGCGGGAATGCGTCGCCGGCCTTTATATACTTTAACTTTAAACTGAGTTTAAAAACTCAGATTTATTTAAACATGTCAAAAATTTGACACCTGATGTCGATTTCAGAATTACGACTTAGTAATTAGGTATTGCTACTACTAACTATACGAAGTTATGTTATATATTTTGTTAACCAATATTAAAAAAATGACAAACTATAAAAATATACCATCTTTTGTCTATGATTTGTGTCCTGCAGGTTGATGTACGCGAAGACATAGACAAATGCGATGAGAGCCGAGAGATACGCCTTTCTCGGACGACTGATTCTCTCGCCGTGGAACACATTCTTCGGTGAAATCAGCCACAGAAACATCGACACCCAGTGGAGACCTGAATATAAATTACTATAATAATTAATAATAAAACATTTATAAGTAGAAAATTAAAACAAATTTTAAAAGTTTGTTCCTAGTGGCAGTGTAGGTTTAATGCTAGCATTAACTCGTTCTTTTGGGATACTTCTACGTTTAGAGAAAGCACCAGATCTGGAGTCACCGGTACCAACCAGGCGGCAACAAAATCTTTAATTGACTTGGCAGTTGAACTCCACGGCCCAAGAGACTACTCCAAAGGGAACAAAATCAAAGTTGGAGGAAAGACTTATATTTATTTTTCGCCTGCCGCTTTTTAATTTACTGTATTTCTTCATTTACCGTAAAGAACTATTTTGAATCATTTTAGCTTACAAAATTCCATTGTTTCTTAATTTAATTTAAAAAATTGTGCGTGTACGAAAAATGATCTACTATATGCAACTTTACAGAAATTGGTTAAATAACGTTAAATTAGATAAAGTTTAACAAAAGGCTATTATTATCATAGACATGAAATCAAATAATGCAATTATTACATTTTACCTTATTACTACTAAGATTCTGATGATTCTGATTCTGACAGAATTTCATTAATTGCATATTTTACTTGAAGTAATCCGACTAATTTCAATGTTTTCTCGCCGATATTTTATTGAAAGTTCTGGCCATTCCATAAAATATCGGATTCAACCTGCGATCGATCAAGCAATTTGTAGTTGGTATTAAAAAAAAGCAACATGGCGCGTAACCGAAAAACGTGACGATTTGCTACAAAATTTCTCCCATACGTCGATAAAGAACTTCAAAAATGATCACAAATAAAAGCGTGATCATTAATGTTTTTGTGTTTTATAGAACAGGGAGCAAACAGACAGGCGCTTCACCTGACGTTAAGTGATACCGCCGCACATGGATTGACATTGCCAAAAAGCTCGCAAGTGCGTTCCCGGCCTTTTAAGACATATATAGTTAGTAGTAGTATTTGAGTCATTTTATTACAGCAGCACTTATTAATATAAAACAAATACGTACCTATAACTAAGAAAACCCAGTATTCATAGACTAGAGCGTACACGGTGAGGGAACATACGCGCGCTGATATGGTCCCGAGCCGCCACAGGAACTGAAATAAGCGTAATTATCTGTAATTCACGAAAATATTGTAAGGAAATTAATGTAATTGTACTTTTTCGGCTCTTTCTATCGAAATGTGTTCAGGCTGTGATGAAAAGAGACGGAAATGTGCTTTTATAAAAAAGCCAGTTCTTTCCAAAAATATAAAAAACATCGAATTATGAAGTTTAAAAGATATCTATTTCATTTTACTTGACTAGTTACTTGTACTTATATTGTACAATCAAAAAAAAAATATTAAAATAAATATACTTTTTCTTCATTGATATATTTTTTATTATGAAGTTGACTATAAGGAACTTTTACCCTTTTAGTATTTTTTTATAATAAAGAGCAAACGAGCTTACGGGACAGCTATGACAGGCAGTTACCCCAGTAACACATTATTTAATAGTTTTAGTGGGTGCGTTGCCGGCGTTTGAAAGAATAAGCTCTCTCTTTAAATAATTAGAGGCGTCCCGTCGGGAAGACTTACTTACTAATTACTGGGAGCTTATTCCACAGTTCTATGTTCGCAAAAGAAAACCTTATTGTTCCTTACTTAATAGGCCGGCAAAGCACTTGCTTTGTGGCAATGTGTATCCATGGGCGGTATGACTTAACTCCTGCCTTTTTGCCTCCTATTATATACAAAAAAACTTACTTGAAATATAACCCCAAGCCAAGTGAGCACCAAGCGATGTACGTTCTGCATCCGGACATTTTTACTGAAACTCGCCAGCGCCCAGCACACGGAGAATAATGACAAACTAGCCGATATCACATTCAGTTCGGCAAAGGCTTTATTAGCTGGAAAAAAATTCCTTATGTCAAGGATTGTTTAGCCATGCCTCGTGATGTTAGACGCTTTCATTCAGACGTGTTGATAATTGTATTACCCAGCAAGCAGCAGCAGAGCGACTTAAAATTTCCTCGGAAACGGAAAGCTTTGCAACTTTCCTGATAGTGATGGAAATATAAACTAGAAGTTTTTCTATCCTGGACGTCAAAGAAATTTGTGGAAAATCTTGAAAAATCACATAAAAAGATTTACTAAGAACAAGGATAAACTCAAAATAACTTTATTCATATAGGTAACCAAGTACACTTGTTAAATTTATTCTAAATTTACATTTACTACCAGTTCGCAAGTAAAGGGTAGTGTTGCCCAAATGCAAGACCAAGACGAGACTTAGGTCAGTCTTGGTATTGGTCTTGCGACAATACACCTGGTCTTGATCTTGGTATTGCGCTCTCAGTCTTGGTCTTGATCTTGCAGCAAGAGTATCGCAAGTCTCGCAAGACTTGCAAATACCTATTAGCCTATTGCTATTTATTGAACACGTTAGTTTAGATTTTAAATTATGATTCGCACTGTAAGACGTATGTATGTAGTTGACTCTGTAACTACATACGTCTTACAGCGCGAATAATATTTTAATCAACAATCTAGCCCTAGCCTGCAAATTGCAAAAAAAAAAATTGAGTTTGGCGGGCTATCCTATGCTACCTATGCGGCTAAAATAAGGAAGTGCGTGTGTGTTGAGATTAGCAGATTTCATTACAGTGTGCGTAGGTACATTTTTTAGGCAATTTGTCGTACTCGTGACTGGCGCGCTTTGCTACGTAGTCGTTAAATTATGTGTAAGTAAGAAACGATGAAGGTACCTACTTCAACAAAATTGTATTCTTTAGAAAAATAACGACGATTATTTTTATTTATTTAGTAAATCATCGCTGAAGACAATAGTCGCTACTAGAGTAGGTACGATAGAAGTTGATAAATCGACACTGCAAATCTTGATTTTTGGAAGTGTGTGATTTTAAAACAAAATGCGAAAAGCAATATGACGTCGCTCATATTTGGAGCTTTTCCACGTTTCAAGTTTGTTAAAATCACCCACTTCCAATTTTGCAGTGCAATGTCCTTTAAAAAGGTATAATAGGTTATAATAATATAAACTAGGTATATTTTTATTACTTACAACAATTTTTATAAAATCTACCTATCCTTAGGACTACATTCTTCCTTGCGAGGACAACATAATCTATTTGCGTCCGTTCTGAGCACCCGGAAACTTATTTTATTCTTTAGAACATGGGCAGTGGCGGCGACCTTTGACATGAAAGCGACGGCGGCAACACAAAGTCTAGAAGCGGACTAAATTTTTACCTATTTTGGTGGGGTTGTCAATGTTGGCATTAGCACAGAAAAATAAAATTAAGTAAACACAACGTTTATCCACTTTTTAATAACTAGGTATCCACGATAGAATATTTTTTCTACTAATTTCCTAAGTACTCAGTCTAAATATCTTTTTCATAATTTTTGTTTTTCAATAATTTGTTGTGTGTAATTGAATGGTAAACTCTAAATCTTACTTAATAGCTTTTTTTTAAAATAAACTTATGGAAAGCACTGACATGGCATAAACACTTTTCAATTATGCTGCTCACATTTTAGTACCTAGGTATATCACTCACTATCTATCATTTACCGATATTAACAATTCATTTCAATAGATGCAATACCTACTTAGTTATTAATTATCATCTCGCCCGACAGCTTTAAACGCTGTAGTCAGGGCCGCGCCGCCCATGTGTGCGAAGTGTGCGGTGCACACAGGCGCTGATACAATAAGGGCGCCGCCACCGAAATTATTTATACTACACTACAATATTCTTACGTACGTTTGAAGTTTCATTTTACGCTTTAGGTTTTAGTTTACATTAATTACTCAGAGCTTAGCGAATCAAAAGAAAGGCCGCTGGTGACCGCCGTGAGTTTTTTGAGTGTGTTTATGTCTTATGATTTCAATAATATGCCGACATACCTTGATAAAATCCAAAATGAACTATTTTTTATACTCGGTAACCAAATTCAACATTTTATTTTAAATTTATGTCGAATTAATAAATATTTTTCAATAATACTGGATTGTACTACTGACGTTTCACACGAAGAGCAAATTAGTATGATAATAAGATTTGTCAACTTTAACATGTAAACTAGAAAGTTAAGAATAAGAGAGCATTTCCTAGCTTTCCAATTTATAATAGCACTTTCTGCTCAATCGTAGATACAACTGGCGCTGGAGTAACGTCATTTATAATAGAAAAACTAAACGAAATTAATTTGGACATAAAGAACTTAAGGGGGCAAGGCTATGATAATGGCTCAAATATGCGCGGTAAGAATATTGCGGGATGTACGAGTAAATCTCCGCACTTTTTATGTCCGTGCGCCAGCCATAGTTTAAATTTAATAATAAATGACGCTGCACATCTCATACACGACTGCGTTTTTTAATATTGTGCAAGAACTATATAAATATTTTTCGTCCTCTACTAAAAGATGGGATTTATTACAAAGATATGTCATAAATCTGACCTTAAAAACGGTTAGATAAAAATAACATCATAAATAAACTATGTAACAATTTAATTCACGTTTTATTTTTCACGGCAATTGGCCAGCGGACGTTTTACCTATTTAAGTGGATTAAACTAAAGAAAAATTTTCTTTCAGTCAAAATTAAAAAATACATTGAAACTTGAAGATTCTTAAAAAATAGGCCGAAATATAGAAGGAGTTCCCTCAAAGGCCTGCAACACACCCGCTAAAAATGTCTATGAGATTCAATGACTGCCATTTTTTTCCGTCCCTAAGGCTCGTTTGACCCCTATAGAAAAAGGAGGCGCTTCATGGGTTTCGCACACAGGCGCTGCCGGGGGTCGGCGCGGCCCTGGCTGTAGTGTTCGAATTCGAGCCAGTGTGAGAATGTATTTAAATACAAGTACCTCAGAGCATTCAATTTATACCTACCTACTGCTGAGACATCTTCAAGGTCATTTAATTTTATCCACCTGTACCAACTCTACCAAAATAGGTAAAAATTTTGTGTGCCTCTGTCCGGACTCTTTGTCGGCGAATGCGGCGCTCAAACAGTGTCAAATGCTGTGATACACTCGTTGCAAACCGCGGCCTCTTTGTCGGTAAATTATCAAATAAGTAGGTATATAATACACCGACCGACCAACAGTTTATTCGCAGAACGTCACAATTTCCCAATCAACCTTGAACCTTATACTTTAGCGATAAAGTTGAAAATCTGTTAAAGAAATTTGACAGATTGTAGTAGCTTGATGTGCTGGCGTCTGTACCATAATATTGGCTGCCGTAGAAACTGTAACTAGACCTACTCGACTCGCAGTTAGTTTTAAATTTTGCTAAATAGAAGAATAATATAAACTTTGAAACATAAGTAGGTACTTACATAATGTTTATTTAATTTTGTTGGCTATAATTTTAAGCACAAACCAACCCACGAGTTCTAACGTTAGATCTGCACATTAGGCATAAACAAGCATGTATCATGCTTGTTTATGCCTTATTATAGGTTAGTTGATACCTACAAGGTATAATCTTTGCTAGAAAGTTATTCTGGGTAAATTTTATCACATGGGATCATGGTAACAGATTTGTGAATAAATTGTTGAAATATAATAAGTACTTACCTACCTAATCAATACAATACCTTTCAGGGTTCTTTCAGACGAGCGGCACGTTTAGTGTTATGACGATACCAACAGTTTTGATACTGGGGAACGTCTCTCAAAATCGGGAATGAAACCAAATACCTACTTAATAACGCCCAAATCTCAGTTTGTCATAACTGCAAGACGCAAGAGTCTTGCAGGCTTAAGTATTGTCTTGCTCAAGTCTTGCAGGCTTCAGTCTTGGTCTTGGTATTGCTAAAATAAGGCGGTCTTGGTATTGGTCTTGGTCTTGCGAAAATGCAAGAACAAGACCAAGACTGCAAGACCAAGACCGATTTTGGGCAACACTTTAAGGGCGTAGAGCGGGCAAGAACTGGCAAGAAACTCTCCGCCACTCTTTTTAATCGCTAAGTTTTGAGTCATCTTTTAAAGTGTACTTATGAACGGTAAAAATAATATGAATAAAGTTATTTTGAGTTTGAGTTATAACAAAAAAACGTGAAATGAAACGTCGACTCAAAAATGTAAAAAACTATTTTTTCTGTAAATGGCCAGTATTAAAATGGTAATCATACCAGCTGGTTCATCAATATTGGGTTCAGGTGTCACCCCCAATTCCGTGGAGATGGGCTCAAGGTGAGCTTCCTTGAGCAGAATGTGCAGTTGCAAGAGTAACATTGGCGCTGCTTCACAGAACGCGTGGACTAAACGTAGCATGCCTGTGTAAACGACAATTTCAATCTTAAGTTTATTTTTAATGAACACGAAATGTGGACGAGGTATTTTTTCCATATAATGTGTGTATTGATCGTAGAATGACAGTGGATGAAATGATAGAGTCAGTCCGTAGCAGTTGGAGATCCATGGTTTCTGCCTACCCGTTCGGGAAAAAGACGTGACTAAATAGATCTTAGAAATAAAACAATAGAAACAAATAATCAAAATTTGACAGATGGGTTGTTACTACGCATATCGCGTGTCAATGCGTATTGAATTAGAGATACTGTTGACTAATCACAATCGTCAAAAACGGGCCATCTTCCGCCTCTTGTTTTGCATTCTCACCTCCCTCTTTAAACCAGCTGCATTAATGATTAAATAACTGAATTGTGGCACTTCAAAGTAGACCTAACAATAAATTAAATAGTATTCACATTTAAACTAACACAGACACAGAACACGCATAATATAACAACTCTAAGCTACACTCTCAAATACAAAATATTTCTTAAATCACTGTACCGATTTGAAGTTGGTAGATTGAAACAAAAACTTACATAAATCCCTCACTTGATGTTTCACCCGCCTAAGCTCAACTGGAACCAACAACCTCGCGTACCTCCAGAGGACTCCCATTTGCAGACAATGCAACAATATAGGCAGCCAGGGCGGGCGGCCTTTACGACCCTCGCTCGCCCACCACATGTGGAGGTACCAGCGAATTGATAGCACCTAGGTAAAAATGCATACAGGCGTAACAAAAGCGTAGAACATACGAAAACCTGTCGCTATCAGTTATCAGAAACTATTATTGTTTCACCAGGATTCGAACATACCGTCTAAGAATTGTATGCCATATGCATTATCCACTTAGTCATACGAGTGTTTTTCAGATAAATACAGAAAGAGTTACATCACCGAAATAGATTAGAATCTTTTCCCTCATTCTACCTATCCGAAGATGTCACAGGCCGGCATTCAGTAATAAATATACAGATATTAGAGCCACTCATGGCTACGTGTAATACCTTTTCAGAATTCCTATGAAATGCGCCAAAACTTGTAATATAGGGTCACTTTTCGGTAGAGTAATTTTTTTTCACAGTGGGGTCCGAAGTAAACAAAAAATTTTGATTTGAAAAAATATATATCGTATAACTTAATATTATCTTCAATACACTCACTAAATTGTATGTCTAACGCAAGAACTCATCAGTACCAATCTAGTGGATATTATGAAAAAGATACAGGATGTAGATTTTTTCGAATTTTAATAAGAATTAGTAAAAAACAGTCAATTTTCTTATAAAACGCAAAATAAATTATAACTCTGCAGGGGCTGAGCTTAGAGACTTCCCGTAGATTTTTTTTTTGCAGCTGATGACCTCATCTATTCCCTATTTGCGTTTGATCCACGACTTTTTGGCCACCTTGTATAAAGGCGGCCATTCACGGGCGATCCATCGATCCATTTGGCACGCTGTCGATCCAAAATTCGTCCATGAATGTGAAAACACTGTCGGTACAAATGGATTGGCTCGGCGCGATGGAATTCCAACTGCGCGAAAGTCCATCGCGCCGAGTCAATTGGCGCGGTGCGCATACGCAGGCGGCGCGCTTGTGAATGCGGAAAACCAATGGGCCGGTCGGTCTGAGCCGTCGTGCCATACGGTTTGCTCACTCGTGAATGGTGTTACTCGCGAGCCAAACACGCCATTTTGATTTTAGTTTGCTTTTAGCCTTAGGGAAGCACGTGACGCATTGTTAATATATATAAATCGTTTTCGCAATGAGTTCAAACCGTGACTTTGTTATTCAATTTATTTATAAGTTTAGAAAAAAACAGTCAACTCCTTCATTAAATTTATCTTTTCAGCAACCAATCCTTACATCACTTTCTTTTTTTTTAAACTAGACAAATCGCTAATGGTAGATAAATAAAACTCATCTTCTGAATCGAAGTTCATTATGAACACGTCCGGTGCTATCGACGCCTACACTCAAAATGATCAAATGGAACGGCTCGCTGGCGCGTTCGTGAATGGCATGAATTTTGGCTCGGCGCGACGTCGAGTATCGAGCACGTGGCGCGAAAGCCATATGGATCGCCCGTGAATGGCCGCCTTAATAGGAAAAAAGTTATCAATACTATAATACCTGTGATATCAATAGTGAAGTGATAACTATCGACAACGTAGCAGCAAAGGTGCCCTTATACCCCCGCTCTAAGAGAGCGTAGCCCATGACAAGATCGAATACTACATCGCAAAAGTACCCGGCCAACGATATCACGTTGAACAGAACGTCGCAAAGGGGCAGAAATTCCGCCATCATAGCATTCTTCTACGTCCCTTTCAAATGTTGCTGCATCTGCAATGAAGATATATTTTAGATAGAATTTATGCCTTAAATATATTTTTTCTTATTAGTGGCGAAGAATTTAATATGTAAATTATCAGTCTTAACCCAGCTTTTCATTTTAAGCATAATAAAAAAGTAATATTTTTAAAGAATGAAAATACAACGTGACTTGTTAGCTAAAACATTTATTGTTTGTAATTGCGTACAAAGGACTATAGTTGAAATATGATCTGTGCTTCGACGTCCGACGGTCCGTGTTTGTCATAAGTCATAACAAAGTTCTGTAAATTGTCATAACTCAAGTAACGCCGACTTGTAGTTATTATCAAAATTCAAATATCGTATACATATTCCTTATAATAATATTAAGATGCAGAAATGTCTAATTACACAGATTTAATAAGTAAAATTGGCAAAGATAGTTCAAGAGCTGCATGTAAAAAGTGTGGTTACGCCGGACATCTTACTTTCCAATGTAGAAACTTTATAAAAGTGAGTATTATACTAAAAAATAATTGTATGAATGTTTTTCGTAAGAAAAAATTTGCTTATTTTTGGTTTAATTATATAAAGTCTATACAAGGCTAACTTACAGATTATTAAGTAGAGACATAAATTGAATATTATCTTTAAAAGACTACATAGCTGCAAAAATATATTTAAGTTAAAAACAAGTGAATTAAAATATAATATTAACAATTTGTTGTTACAGGTAGACCCAAATAAAGAAATAGTACTAGACGTAAGTAGTACTAGCAGTGACAGTGAGCAAGACTATGCAACTCCACTGCAAAGTTTGCGGGAAGCTGAGCTCAAACAAAAGTTGGAGGAAAAATTGAAAAAAGCAAAGGCAAAGAAGAAGAGTAAAAAAAGAAAAAGAGAGAGGTACATTTACTCCCATTATTTAGTAATTTGTTTTATGTTAGTGTTTAAATTATATAAAATATAAGTGCTTACCACTTAGCTATACATAGTATCTTTTAACTTGTCATATATTATAATCTATGTATACAATTTTGCATGTGATTTTAAATTGTGATGTGCTTATGAAATTGTGTACTCAATATTATTATTATAAAAGATAGTTTGTCCAAACTTTTCTTTGAAGTGGCTGGTCAAAGGCTGGCCTTGGGTAATGTCAAATTATAACCACATTAATAAATAACACATGTTATGGTATTCATCATAATCCTTCATGATAAAAGATAAAATCATGAGGTTCTATATTCCTTTCCTTTAGGAGCTTCATCAGTACTCAAACTGACCTTAACTTTTACAGATCGTCTAGTACATCATCTAGTTCTTCAGACAGTAGTTCCCACAAAAAGAAGAAGAAAAAGAAGAAATCTAAGAAGTCTCATAAAGAAAAAAAGAAAAATAAGAGCTAGAATTCTGTGTAATGATTACTTGAAATGAAATAAAATGTCAATGAGAATATTAAATTGTCTACAACATTGCTGACTGATGAATAAATCTTTTATTTTATATATCTTTTGTTTTTATTTATTTAATAGTTTTTCTACTAAACTACCTTTACCATAAGGTTAGACAGGTGTCTGATATCCCTTCATGCAAAAGCAATTGAATAGAATTTCAGAATCAGACTAACAATAAATATCAAACATATTAATGAACGATGCACCAAATGGGTGTCAATGCCAGGCGATCAATTTATATTACTGGAAAGATGTGCCTTATTTATAAAAGATAGACTAACAAAGAACAAATGATTTATGTGTTTGCGAGATATATTCATAGTAGGTGGGCAAAGAGTCTGAGATGATTTTTACTTTTTTTATGTATAAAGCATATACAATTATTATATAGATGCAACAACAAATGCATTAAGAAAAGTTATAAGTGAAACAGAGCAATATGTTTCTGCCTCATATCATATTAAAATTGTTGAACTCTGCATAAACATATTTTTTTTACTCAGATACCAAAAATAACTCCTTGATTAAGTTTCAAGTTAAAACAACCATTAGAATCAACAGATTATTAATAATTATAAACCCGCAGCTTTGCCTGTATGGATTTATGAATTTTATATTATATAATTTATAATGTACCTATATAAATCCCAAAAAAATTAACATTATGTCTAAAACCATGATTAATTTTACATCTAATACTTTCGGGATTCTTTCACACTATCTACTATTTAAAACCACATCATTTGGTAGTTATTGAGTTTATCATGTTTTAAAAACAGACCTATGCATTTGGTGGTTTTCAGTTTATTATATGAGAATGAACTTGAGTTAGAATGCCAGACTATGTTAATTTTACATTGTATTACTAAATTTGTTATAACTGGTACAGATTTCAACTATATGTAAACAACTTAGTTTAAGTTAATTTACCAAAATATTTTAAGTTCACACTTAACTATTCAAAAGTAAATTTTCTTGTATGCAAGTTGAGTACACATTAGTGACATTCTTGCTTCATGACTCAGTTACAAGTATTTGTCAATAATACATTCAATGCACCACACAAGAACAACTGATCACAACCACTATATGAGGGATATTGGAAGAGTAATTTTTATTCAATGAACTATTAAATATATTTCATTAAGAACTAGTTAAGTGTAAAATAGAAAGTTTGATGGTCAACAATTCATCACATGTTTTAGATTATATCTTTGATGATATCGCAGATGGTCAAATAGTTCTCGCAAATTAATATTTTTAAAGAGTTATAATTTTTGTACTACATAACATTTCAACTTAAAAGCGTAAAACTTAAAAAGTTCCCATGAACTTACTTTTAGCAATGGAATTCCATTATTTTCTTCCAAAGAGCGATCTCAAAATTCACTTTTTAATAAACATTAAAACACATAATATATTTACACTAAAGCTTTGAAGTTAGGTATATAACACATTAAGATATCACATTTTATTGATAAATATTTTGGTTAAGTTACAAAATTACAACAAAGTTTCTATCAAGTACATGTCAAAAGTTCACACACAGTTACGCCATCTAGCGGGTGGCATGCGAAATTGACGAAAGCTCGATCGATTGGTCGCGGGCCGCGCGCGTCGCACGGCTTTAATACAAGTAGGTATAAATTTTGTCACAATTCAATGAACGCAGTGAGATTAACAATTTGAATTCTTGCTAGGCTTTGTGCTTTGAATCGTTTATGAGTTGAATGTAATTCTTTTTGGTGAGAATATGTCTTATAACAAGATCTTGATCCGTCATATGCCTCAAAGGCTTTCTTTTAGAAGCGACGTTTGATCTAAAAATAAAATACAGGATTTATTTTAAAGTCCCTAATAGTATCTAGTATCTATCATTTGATACGAGTTTTCGATAAGATTATTTGAATATTTCTCAAATACAACGAACGCTTATTAATTGAATTGATAGTATTTTTAAAATTAAGTACGTCTGGCGAATAATTATCAGCAAAAAGAAAGGGGCAAATGGCACAAAAATATTTAATTATTTCACTATCAATTTAACTAGGTAAAAAAGACATTTATATCTGACCTTTAAATCTCTTAATATCTTTAGATATTTAAGTACGCAGGCTTGTTTTCATCAACTTATTATTCCTAATGTTTTTATTAATTTTGTAGCAAATCTACCTACCTTAAACAATGGGCACTACAATTATTCAGTAAGATTAAGAAACCTGGTAGTGCAAAGTCCAATGTAGCCCTTTCTTGAGCTATTAGTTTAATTAGGTGCAACGGATCGGCTTTCATATCTGATAAAGCGCAGATCTTATCCTGAAATTAAAAGTTGATATTTATTATTATCCTCCAATACAAACTCCTGTAATGGATCAATTATTAGCAATATTTCAAGCGTTACAATTATTTTATCCCACCATCCAATGCCTTCACCGAGTATATGAAGAAAAACGACCGTCGTGGAATTTGATATCGCAGCAGCGAATATTTGTTATGTTGGGCAACACTGGCCCGTCTATAACGACAGTAAACACCTCGATAATACGAATAAATAAAAATAAAAATTTGTTGTAATTAAAATGACGCGTAGCAAATAAGAATTATGTCTATTAGTTAATATAACTACAACGCCGGTTCTCTTTCCGCAAGGACTGTAATCGGTTTAAATAAAACAGATGTGGAACTGACATTGCTGCAACGCACTTGGATATCTACATAATAGAGCGTGATTCTTCATTTTGAAATCAATTTTACTGGGAGATAAATAAGTACGTAGTAATATATATCGGTACTAATATATAGATACAAGTATAATATATTTATATTAAAATAATGATACCTCTGTAAGTGCTAAAACATCCAATCTTTGTGCCTCTAAATTCGCTAAAGAATCTTTAGTGTACCGTTCACATTGTTTGCCAGCAATTTTAACACATTTTGCATACATTTGCTTGTTATAAAGACATTTAGACTCCATAGCTGCTTTTGTTGCCTGTAAAATGTTGCCGGGATTCAAATCTTAAACTCTAAGCAAATACTGCTCTTACAACATAACATTGATTGATAGACTAATTCACTAAATCAGTAAGTTTTTAAAAGAACTGTTGGCAATAAAAGACTAAGTATAATTAGATTGAATTATTTAGTATCAATAATGACAGGTTAATTTCAAAGTGCTATTAAACTAAGCCATCGATGACACCGTTCTGTACCAGAGAAAATCTTTGTGTTTCCTATTGTTAAGTGCATTAAAAGTGACGCAGGAAACCGTGCTGCTTCCCTTAAATATTTAAAGAATATTGTAGGTATAAGAAAAGAGCGCCAATTCTTAAAAGACCGGCAACACACTCGCGAGTCATCTGGCATTGAGAGTGTCTATGGGCGGCGGTATCACTTAACATCAGGTCAGCATCCCGCCCGTTTGCCTTTCAATAAAAAAGCACCATCAAATATTGTAGGCTTAAAATATCCCGGACCTAAGTCCGGGGGTAATTCTGTAACATTTCATAAAAAAAGTACTTTACCTGTTTGATATCCTTTAATAATTGCATTGATTGTTGATTGTAACTATCATATGAGTTCAGCAAAATACTTTTTGCCATCAAAGCTAAGTCTCTCTGGGTTGGTACCTCGTAGGCCCCAAAGTTCATGGGTCCTTCTTCTGGACACTTGAATTTAGACCTTTTTGTTGTCGTGTACATACTCATATTTTTTACATGTTCCGTTGTTGTAGTCTATAAATATTTGAAGTGAAACTTCTTTAGGCGCATGAGGGTAAAATTTATACGGAACGTCACGAAGATTGCAGCGTTTTTATCGATTTTTTTTCTTTAATAAAGATGTGCTAGTATTATATTGTGGTGAAATTATTCATAATTGAACACCGATGGTGTTTTAATACATATCAATATCATTTTTATTTTATTAAGTAACTAAATTACCATTTTTATAAGGGCACAGACCCAAGACATTTTTTGCTAAGACCCAGTTGGCTATTTTAGAAAATGTGGACATAAGTTAGCAATTATAATAATAATGAAATAGTTATATTATTTGGTAATTGTTACCATATTCATGGTGGTATTTCTATATACATAACAACAATAGTTCTGGTTTTTAATTAGTCTTAGTATCATTCATAAATATAGAAAGACTGGGAAAATTAAATTATGGGATTTGGGCAGCTTAATTACTCAATAATTAATTTACACAGAAGTTTTACTTCTAACATGTGTACTTTGTAAGCACGCAATTTTTTTTTAAATGACGTTCACAAAACTTACCAATGATGTTTGGTTTCTGTGATAATACTGCTTTGTTGAACTTTTGACGTGTGGTAATGTCATATTCCTTAAAAAAGGTGTACGGGTCGTAATGATAGAGGTTAAAGTATCGGGTTTTGTCTCATCAAAACCGGGGAACTGTTCAAACTCAGCGTACCCAGCACAGCTTGTTATTACCAGTAAGTTGAAGTCTAGAAAACCAATAGACACATTATTATTATCTTTTTTTTATATATTATGTGGGTGCGTTGCCATAAATCTTATTCTATTTATTAATTGGTGAGATTTGGTTTCATTTCCATTCTTAAAAATCAATTTTAATATTTTACTAAACTAAATAAACTTTATAGTTTCGGAAAGAGGCATCACACAGTAGGTCTAATATTGTCTTAGTTAACGTGAATACTACACATTTAAATGAAGTCATGATGTTCACATTTAATTTGAACATTGACCAGCTACTGACACAGCTTGTTCTAAATTTTAACAAAAACAGCTCACAAGAATAATATAATGTATTAGTAGTATTTAAGATGTTGTTTCAAAACAATAAATCAGATTTGAATATTGCTCTGTCTTATCCATTTCTCGCTTCCTCTCAAAGTGGCGAAGACTACTTCATGCCCTTAATAATCGTGGTGAGACAGCCCGATAGCTTCGAGATAATCACACCACCTCGAACCTTTGATCCTACCCGTAGGGCTCTGTCTGTTACCTTATGTCTCTTGGTGCAGACATTCCTTACTTATTTATATATTCACTATTTATGTGTTAAGGTACATCTGTAAATCTTAGGAATCCGTAGTGTTGTTAGGTCCTTACATCTCACCCTCTCATATAATTAGTAATCTAGTTCAGCGAATAAGCGATTAGCAAACTAAATTTAAACATATTACGAATACGTTATATGTACAACCAACCAAATAGTATTAGCTTACGCTGAGCCCCGTAGAACAAAGACACTTAATCAAAAAACAGTTTAAGGTTTTAGTTCAACGTAAGTCGTAACGTCTCCTTCCTAAGTAATTAAAGCGTCACAATAGGATGGAGAATAAAAGAGTCATACATACGTGTAAATGTAAGCATAGTTCCCCTGTTTATGCGAAGTTCTGTGCCGACTTCTATGTAGCGTGTTTACTTGAGAACTGTCGCTTGTAACTGAAAATTTACAAATATTCTCAAGATTAAAAGGCCGTACGGATAAATTGGTGTCAAACTGCTACCTGATTATAGAAGCACAAATCGCAGAGACCTTTTTAGGTCTGGGCCTCATTTCTGTATCTGTTTTATGCTCATTTGTCAATCTAATAGTAGTCGACTTTTTGGGTAAGCTGGCTTTCTCAGGATGTTTTCCTTCACCGTTTGAGCGAATATTAAATGCGCATATAGAATGAAAGTCCATTGGTTCACAGCCGGAGATCAAACCTACAATCTTAGGGATTAAAGTCGCACGCTGAAGCCACCAGACCAACCCTGCTCAAACGTATATAAAGCATTAATTCATAAAAAATCGTTCTGATTTGTGTTTGTAACTGAACATGCATACGTTACGTTATAAAGGACTTTTGGAAAAGTTAAAGGGAGGCATTAAATTTCCATGAAAACCCTGTTTTATTTATTTATTAAGGTTCACCGCATCATATAATGCTATATCTACAGTATATGTTACAAGCTATCTTTTCTAAAATACATGACAATTATGGTGAACATAAATGTTACAGAAAATAAAAATATAAAGTTCCAATTTTAGAAGCAATAACTTACTAGCAAAACAGCGGATTAGATATCAGATAGGAACTTAATAATGCTTTTTTTAAAAATTGATCAGTTCACTCCCGAATATGTCAAGCTCTGGATAAGTATTGTTCATTCTGTTATATTCGCGAATAATTCGAATGAGAGGTGCCCGAACTCCTAGGCTGGTTTTTGCAGACGGATTTTGTTATCTACTAGATATGTATAACGTATATATTACTAGCTGACCCGGCTAACTTCGTTCCGCCTAACAGTCTAATAATATCGTGATAACTTTCTCTAATCTGTAATATCTTCGAAAATATTCATTTAAATCATATAGATCTATAATAAATCAACAATGTATTTAAGGTATTTCATTGGATAAGGATTAATGCTGTATTGGTTAAAATCGCTTCGAAAGTTAGCCTTTATTTGTCGTAAAAAGTAAATGACGATTTTTTTTTACTGTGGGATATCCATAAGAGATAGACATAATATACCATCGCGCAGTGGAGTTTTCTGTAGACCTTTTCAATGTGTACAATACTTAGTACATTATTTTGATATATCTCGTAGGGTTCAGCCTGCGTTTGCAATGTAAGCGGAAAAAATATAAACCTTCCTCTTCAATCACTCCATCTAATAAAAACCGCATCAAAATCCGTTGCGTAGTTTTAAAGATTAAAGCATACATAGGGATATAGGGACAGAGAAAGCGACTTCGTTGTATACTATGTAGTGAAGAACAATAAATTGGTTTATAATATAAAATGCATTTGAAATATTAAGTCACATCGTCAGAAATTACGTTGAAACACGTTTTTAAACGAATCGGCCCAAACATTCATGTTATCAAATGTTATTTGATCAACATTGATAAAGGCTTCATACGAACGGAAATGTGACTGCCTTGGGATTATTACGTTACACTCAGGATGTGAAAATTTCCCTACAAGACACCTATTCAAAGTAAGCAGGGTTTAGGAATTGTTGACTCTAGATTTATCAATATGTCATTTTGACAACGTAATAAAATAAAATAAAATAATAAGAGGCGCAGCCTTTTTAGCTCTGGGCCATGATCATTTGTCAATCTAATAGGCAAGTAGGTGATCAGCCCCCTGTGCCTGACATATGCCGTCGACTTTTTAAGCTTTACTCACGATGTTTTCCTTCACCGTTCGAGCGAATGTTAAATGCGCACATAGCCAGAAAGTCCTTTGGTGCCGGGGATCGAACCTACGACCTCAGGGATGTGAGTCGCACGCTGAAGCCCCTAGGCGGTTTTATAATCAATTAATATTGACACTTGCTGACAGAACTTTATTGATATTTATGACAGAAAATAGGTGTTACGTGTATCCCTGGTTATACTAAGTACCAGTTCCATGGTGTCAATTTATGCTCAGTCGGTGTAATGAAGAAATTTTGATATAATGTAGACTTGTAAGAAACCAAAGCACAGCTTCGAACTACTAAGAGGGCTGAACAAAATAAATTTAATTTAATGTAAAGGTGAATTATTATCGAAACATGTAATTAAATTGTGTACAATTTACAAAGTACAAAAAAGCTTCAAAGATTTCTATCAATATTTCAGGTCAAACAAGAAAAAAACAATAAAATACTTCAGAAAGTACTATTGACACCTCAAAAACTCAAACTATGGTTACCATGGAAACGCTAAATCAATTTTTCATTTCATAGTGGTTCGTAGTGTTGTGCGTGTGTACAACGTTTTGCTCAAATGAATAAACTAAGCCAGGATGATATTACAGCTATGGAAAACCAACTGCGTAGTAACATGGACGAAGATAAAAAGTATTGGCGAGTGAATGACGTCAAATGTGACGCGATCCATACAGCAAAGACGTACGAAGAATTCGCGTAAGTATCTTTATATATTCTGTTGACACTTAATCATTGTAGAAGTGCATAAGAGTATATAGCCATTTCCTGTATTGGCCAAGTAAAGGTATTTTAATATTGGACATTTAGAGTTCTTCGCTCTTTGTTTTTTCAGATTCTAATTGATTTTCTTTAGGTCTTGGCCTCAGAATTCTGAATCTGTTTCATGATCATTTTTTTAATCTAATAGGCAAGTAGGTGATCAGCCTACATTGCCTGACACACGCCTTCGACTTTTTGGGTCTAAGACATGTCGGTTTCCTCACGATGTTTTCCTTCACCGTTCGAACAAATGTTAAATGCGCACGTAGAAAGTTCCATTGGTGCACAGCCGGGGATCGAACCTACGACCTCAGGTATGAGAGTCGCACGCTGAAGCCACTAGGCCAACGCTGCTTTGTAACTTATATACCCGAAGGAAATCAGTGTTTCAGTTGTAATATTATGCATTAGAGGAATATTGGTCTACACTGAAGTGGAGCGCTCATAATTCAGGTTCATCATTTCAGAGATAGAGTCGCCGCTGCGCATTTGCGACCTTTGGAGAGGAGTGACTACAAAAACAAGACTTTTCGAGGATGGAATCAATTTGCGAGGAAGAGAGAATATGAGGAATAAAATGTATATGTAATTAACTCTGTTACAAATCAATTAAATTTTAAATCAATTGTTTAGTTTATGAACCCGAAAGATGATATTACGTTTGTATTACAATTTTGCCCTCTAAAGCCTCTAATGATAAACTATAGTATGGCTGAGTATAGTGAACTATATCAATATATATAAAATTCTCGTGTCACAATGTTAATGAGAATCGGCTACTATCTATCTTTCAAATCCCTAAAGTGATAAGGGGTGTCCACCCCACAAACATTTTGTTTTATTTTTTAGATTTTTTTTTGTGATACAGCAAAAAAAAATACATACAACCCCTAATTTTCACCCCTCTACGATCAACCAACGATTTTTTATTATAGTAGATAGTTATTTTTCTTGGACTAAAAAAGTTCCCTAGAACTAACATACATGGCAAAACGTTTGGCGGGTCAGCTAGTTTAATTTTTTTTTCTCAAATAATAAAAATACACAAAGACAAGAACTAATAGCCTAAAGCTACCGATGCTCTAAAGCTGAAATGTAGATGGGCAGGGCATGTAGCAAGACTATCAGACGAGAGATGGACCATGAAGGCGAGCCGCTGGGGATGCTCTATTGGGAAACTATTCAGAGGAAGATCGCTCACGTGATGGGCGGATAACATCATCGAAACAGCTGGATGCCTTTGCCCATGACAGAGATACCTGGAAACCCTGAAAGCCTTCACCTGGGGAGGGGTTCTTGCATCCTAATTTGAAATTAGAAATTTACGATTAAGTTTACTTTGATTTTGCAAGAAATAAAAGGCTTTTTATCATTTTATTATTTATTAATAACGATTTATAAACTATGTAACAAATTTTAGTTATGCTTTACGAAACTTCTTCTAAATACGTAAAAATATGAATAAAATGAAACACTATTTTGACCGGATTGAAGTTATGTATTATTATAAATTTACAACTATTTAACATAATTTTAAATTTATCCGACGTTTCGCGTGCTTTACAGCGTGCGTGGTCACCGGATAAATTTAAAATTATGTTAAATAGTTGTAAATTTATAATAATACATAACTTCAATCCGGTCAAAATAGTGTTTTATTAAATGAATAAAAGTTATGTTAATCAAAGACAATACTATGAATAAAATGGCCAACTCGGTACAATTAAGGTTTGCTTTTAGGATTTGACATGAGGATAATAATTTCGATTTTCGTGTGGGAGCTTTCCTTCTTGGGGTTGTAAAAGCGGCGGTCATTCCTGTCCATCTTCACCAATGGTGTATTATACCAGCCGTAACTGTAATTAATATACCAGGGTGAGAAACTTTAATAGTTCGTTCATTCTTCAGTGTTTACCAATCTGAAGCATTATCTTTTCATGGGACACAGAATCGTAGATCTTAAAAAAGAATCGGTTTAACAAGCTGATAGTTAAAGCTGTTAAGGACCGGCAACGCACTCGCGATCCCTCTGGCATTGAGTGTCCATGGGCGGCATCAATTAACATCAGATGAGGCTCCTGCCCGTTTGCTCCGTTCTATAAAAAAAAGGTTCTCTGAAGATTCCTACAGAGCTGTCAAGCACGAGAATTTCCCTTACTTAAACAGGCAATCTACATTTTTTTCGATAGGCTAAATAGGATTATTCAATAATTACACTTGGCTCGTCGTTGCTGGTGCTGGATACTTGCTGCGAGGCCCTTTAGACCTCGTCTGGGCGACGTTGTGATGATAATTATTAACTTTGTCGGTGTACTCCTTGGACTCCGCTTTTATCTGATCATGCGCAGCATAAAATTTCGTCGTAACAGGAATCGCTGTTTTAGATAATTATTATACAGAGTTACATTACTTTTTAGTCAGTAACGTTGTCAAATAATTGCTGTATCATTCGAAGTCCTTCTTCTCGACAAGACATTCTTATGACAACACGAACTTCTACACTAAAAAGTAAAGAAATTTGCGTTTTCTACAAAGTGTACTATGGTGAATGTTCTGAAGAATTGTTTGGGTTGATCCTGCCTCGTTTCAACACAGTACGAGCAATGCAAAATTTCATCAACATCACCGTGATGGCTGGAAGTCTTCCACAGTCTGTTTCACATTCTTTTGCACAGTAGCGAACTGTGGAATCGACTCCCGTGGGCCTTTCCTGAGAGATACGACCTCTAACTATTCAAAGGTAGAATGTACTCCTCCCTCAAAGGCCGGCAACGCACTTACTAAAAATGGGTGTCCATGGGCTGCGATGACTGCCCTTTATGGGCGTTCCGTAGGGTCATTTGCCTTCCTATTAGTTATACCCTTATTACCCTATACCCCCAATGCGGTGGTTACAGTTGTTGTTCATTCATTGTTTAATGCAGTTTCTTATACGAATACGAACTAGGGCTAATACTAGGTCTTAGTTTAGGTCTAGGTCTATATTTACGCAGAGCAAGTCGCAAGTTTTTAATGCTTGTGGGTTTGTTTTTCTAATAGGTTGTATTAAAACATACTAATTATTTTCTCAATAAAACATAGAATTAGTCTCACGGTGTATGCAAAACAGTATTTAAAGCAAAACATTTTAGTTGTTTACCAAGCCAACTCACATCCAAAATTGGGTCTGTAAATTTTGTAATTTCTAAAGTGTTTCACTTCTCGATAAATAATCTCGTTTAGCATGTGAATGTCGATCGGCATCCTGGTGCCAAAAGTGCATTTCGCGTCGTTAACCATTGTACCTGTAACATTAAAAGAAAATCGAAATCTTCGACACTTAATCAAAAAATTTGACCCTTAGATATAGTTTGACTCTTAGGCTCCTTGAATAAAAACTTCGGCAGAACAAGAGACCGCGCGGCCCTCTACCTAGTGGTGGGCTGAGGATATCGTCAAGGTTGCTAGCAGTGGATACAGAAGGGCCTGTGCAGCCTTGCGATTCTGTAACTCACTTTTCGAACTCACACAGCGGTTTCGTGCTCAAATCAGTCGTGAAGCAGTCATTTTATGATTTGGCATTATATTAAGGTCCCTCCTTGTAGTTTATTGTTTATCAGAATACCAAATCGTAAAATGACTGCTTTACGACTGATTTGAGCGCGACCGCCTCTGCGAAAACCGCTGTGTGAGTTCGAAAAGTGAGTTACAGAATCGCAGGGCAGGGCTGTGTACTGGAGGAAAAGGGAAGAGGCCTACGTCCAGTTTTTACCAATTCTTAAAAGGCCACAACGGACTCACGAGCTCTGGCATTGAGAGTGTCCATGGGCGGCGGTATCTTTAACACCAGATGAGCATCCGTTTGCCCTCTGTTCTATATGAAGAAAAAAAAACTGGACAGAAATTTGGCCACAATTTCAACAGGAGGTCACGCCTGTCCAGATGTCTATTTAATTGCCGCTTTAATGAACTCATGTTAAACTGTCAAGGGAAGATGGAAGGGTCTACTCCTTTGCTGTTTTTACAAGAAATGACTGATGTATCTAGTAGTTTCTTTTTTTGGTATTTATTTCGTTATGCTTACCTTATTTAGAAACTTATTTCGTAATCCTACAGCTAAACTAAAGTAATATATAATAAAAAAACAATTGTACTAAACAAATAGCCAAAGATGGAATACACAATATATATATATATATAAAGGTTCAAACGTTTACAAAAGGAAAATCAATAAAAATTAATCAATACATTTAACTAAGTAATACCTAATTTGTCTGTGATATGTGATGGTGTGAGGGTGTGTACTTGAGAGTGTGTATGTGGGGAGTGCTCATGATGCAGGTGATTTTGCGCTATGGATATTATTAATATTAAATGGGTCATTGTTAAGAAATCATGTTCAAAATGGTACTCTTTTCCTTATATCATATATCGTTGGACTAATTGGGGTTCGTGTTTTATTAAATGTGAGTAGTACAATACATTGGAGGCTGTAATTTAGTGATTTTTAAAAAATACATACCTAAAGTTAGCTTTTTACAAGGGCTCAAAAATTATATGCAAAAATAAACGCTTACAAATGTTTTACTGACAATTTTGACTTCACTTAGACAATTTATTTTGACTTTGGCATTTACAATAAAAATCATAGACAATTTCTAGTTACCTTTAGCCTGCAACTCATTCCGGTCGCGTGTTCGATCCCCGGTCGTGCAAAAACTGACTTTGTGTCTATGTGCGCATCTAACATTCGCTCGTACGCTGAAGTATAGCATCGTTAGAAAACCGACGTCTCAAATAAAAAAATCAACGACATGTGAGACTGAAGGCTGATCACCTACTTGCCTATTATATTGACAAATTATCATGAAACAGATACAGAAATCTGAGGCCCAAGGAATGTAATTAGGTTTAGGTAAATAACTGTCACATTACTCTTCATAGTACTTATAAAAATAATAATAATTTATTGTCAAGAATATGGTACAATCTAACGTTTGTATATTCTGCCACACATAATGGCGTGCAAATTTGCCTTAAAAGGTAGAATAGAAGTTACAATTACATTATGAGTCATATTATTATATAATAGTAACTCTTATATTTATACTACTAACTGATTTTAGATACTTTACACTAAACACAAATATATATTTCTATCATCTCAATCTTTGAAGGTGTGCCCTTTTTTGGTAAAGTCCTCCTTAAAATCCCTCCATTTGTGTCTGAACTGTGCCACTCTCAACCATGTGCCTGCTGTTTCCTTCATCTAGTCTTCCCACCTTCTAAATTATCTTCTTTTTTTTCGATAATTGTACCTTAGTATTTTACAGGCCATTTGGCGCCAACTTAGTATTTTATGCTCCAATTTTCTGTTCATTTTCCCAATTGCCGTGCCCATTTTTACTTAAGTTTTTTTTTTATGTAATAGGAGGCAAACGGGCAGGAGGCTCACCTGATGTTAAGTGAAACCGCCGCCCATGGACACTCACAATGCCAGAAGGCTCGCAAGTGCGTTGCCGGCCTTTCAGGAATTGGTACGCTCTTTTCTTGAAGGACCCTAAGTCGAATTGGTTCGGAAATACTTCTGTGGGCAGCTGGTTCCACATAGTTGTGGTGCGCGGCAAAAACTGCCTTAGAAAACGCTCTGTTGTGGAACGACGGACGTCGAGGTGATACGGATGGTATTTTGTATTTTGCCTTGACGTCCGATGATGAAACTCAGCTGCAGGTATTAGACCGAACAACTCCTCTGAACACTCTCCATGGTAAATGCGGTAGAAGATGCAGAGAGATCCCACATCTCTACGCAACGCCAAGGGATCAAGCCGCACGGAAAGTGACTGGTCGTCGACGATTCGAACCGCTCTTCGTTGAATACGGTCAAGTGGAAGGAGCTGGTACTGGGGAGCTCCCACCCAGAGGTGAGAGCAGTACTCCATATGGAGCCGAATTTGCGCTTTATAAAGTTGCAAGCGGTGGCCCGGAGTGAAGTACCGTCTTGCCTTGCTGAGCACACCAAGCTTTTTGGAGGCTAATTTAGCCTTTCCTTCCAGATGACCGCGAAACTGAACGTTATTCGATATGTCAACGCCCAGTATTCCGATGCTAGCTGAGGCTTTAAGGAGAGTGTCTTCAAAGAGGGGAGTAGCGACAAAGGGAGTTTTTTTAGCGGAAAACGCGCATACTTGTGTCTTCTTGGGGTTAAATTGGACTAGATTTAGTCTACCCCAGTCCGAGACTCCACGTAGAAGAGTTTCGACTTCAGACACAAGTTTGTTCCGGTACTCATCGACAACAGCCCGAGAAATACCTGCCCGGCCAGTGTAAAAAGTATCCCCAGTGCTGTCGTCCGCATAGCAATGAATGTTGCTAAGCTGCAACATATCATTGATATGCAGAATAAACAGGGTCGGGGATAGGACACAGCCTTGTGGGACACCAGCATTCACAGGTTTCAGGTCGGAGCATGCTCCGTCGATGACGACTTTGATGCTCCGATCAGCGAGAAAGCTGTAAATCCAGTTGCATAATTTCTCAGGGAGCCCATAGGCTGGAAGCTTCGAGAGCAGTGCTCTGTGCCACACCCGATCGAAGGCTTTCGCTATGTCCAAACTTACCGCCAGCGCCTCCCCCTTGGACTCAATTGCCTCTGCCCACCTATGTGTAAGGTATACAAGGAGGTCACCAGCCGAGCGACCACGACGGAAGCCGTACTGAGAATCGCTAATCAGCTGGTGGCCCTCTAGATACCTCAAGAGCTGGCTGTTAATAATGGTTTCCATTATTTTGGAGAACAAGGAGGTTATAGCTATTGGGCGATAGTTGGACGGATCAGAGCGATCGCCTTTTTTTAGGGATCGGATGTATCGAAGCGATCTTCCAGCACTTCGGAACAGTGCCGAGCGTGTAAAGGTACCGGAAAAGGCGCGTTAGGACCGGAGCCAACTCAGGAGCACAAGTACGCAGCACAATTGGAGGGATGCCATCAGGCCCGCTCGACTTATGGATGTCCAAGGAAGACAAAGCTTTACGGATAGCACGTTGCCGGAATATAACTTCGGGCATCGTAGTATCACACCGCAATAATGTCGGTGGTTCCTTCCCTATATTCCCTTATGTATTCTTTATTTTATCTATTCTTCTGTTCAATCGATATTTGGCACATTTATTTTCTTTGCTGCATTGTAGTGAGAGCCCAAGTTAGAATGATATATGTTAGTACGGGTAGTACACAAGTATCGGAAAACTTCCTATTAATTACCATACTCGTTTTAGTGGACTGATTTCTAATAAAACAGTATAATCTTGTGTTGGTAAATTTTAATAGGAGCCCCTAATTGTTTTAGACTGAGCGGTGAGCGTGATTACAGCTAGATGACGGCTTAATTGCTATTTGCCATTATACCTTGGGGAAGTTTTCAAGGTCAAAATGGTTTGAAGAAAATGAAAAAGGTACCAGTAATTTACGTATAGAAAAATAAAGAAATCAAAAACTGTTATAAATATTTTAAATATAAGAGTTTGCATAAAATCAAATTTACTCATTCAATAGCCTAGAAATATTTTTATAGAACAGGGGGCAAACTGGCAGGAGGCTCACCTGATGTTAATTTATACCTCCATGAACACTCTATGCCAGAGCGTTCATGAGTTCGATGCTGGCCTTTTAAGAATTGGTACGCTCTTTTCTTGAAAGACCCAAAGTCGATATCGCTCGCGGCAGACTGACTTAAAAAACACTCGGTTGTGGAACGGTGGAATTTCGTATTCTGCCCCGACGTCCGACGATGAAACTAATCAGCGTTCTAATACCGTGAATACGTCGTGAAGAAACCACAATATGATTATCATGAATGAAACAGAATTTCAAATGTCCGCTCCCCCATTACGAATATTAATTTTTCTTTTTTTGCCGTTCATAAGTGTACATTACCTATATGAATAAACGATTTTGACTTTGACTTTAATTTAAGTCGAAATATTTTACGTCAGTATTGAGAGGTCAGGTAGATAATAAAAACCAATAAGCTCCTGTAAGAGAGAGCCGGAGTGAATTTAAAAACCATCTCTTATATCTTGCCATTCTTCGAGTTCCAATGGTGCGCGTGAAGAACGCGAACATTGGACACGAGCATGAGCGAAGCGGTTGCAACAAATAATAATAATCTTTATTTATTTTTCTTACAAAAACTTCGTACATAAACAAGTAACAGTTATATATTATTATAAATAAACTTATTTTCCTATATAAGAACAAGTAGAGGCAAAATACGAATTTCCGCGCGTATCACATCGAC